CGTTCTGAGCTGCCCAGTCCTGCCAACTAGTCAACTGACAGTCGATGCCCGCCTAAAGGGTATTAGCCACAAGAATCCATCACCAATGCAGACTCTGAACGATCTCACCTTTTTAATATCAGCGGCCGTCAACAGGTCCATGCCACCATCGTATCCAGGGTTCGAGGAATACGAGAACATGTACGCAACTTCGATGCCGGTATCGCGCTCTCCTGTGGCCTCAATCATCTCCTCAGGGGTGACCTGCTTGTAAGTTGCCGTCTTTCCCGTCACCTGAGCCCAAGTTTCAAGAAACTCGGGCCAAGTGCAGGTTGATCCCTCAGCCATGTAGGCTTTGCCGGGTGGCATTTGAGAGACGGCGTACGTGAAGTTGCCCATATCTCCGGATGGGTCGAAGTGAGGCACGGGCTTCTCCGGGGATGTGGTGAACGACATGGTGAATGTGCCGTCAGAGTTCTGATGAGGCATTAGCAGGAAACTCAGATAATAATAGCCGCGCAAGAGTAGCTCACCTTTCCAAAGTAGGAGTTTGGCAGGATATTGTAACTTGTGAAGAAGTAACCCGTGTGGATGCACGACATCTTTGCAGCCAGACTAGGATACTTCTCGTTCACGTAGCCAGGAAAGATGTCGGCCTTTGCATCGAAATGATACAGCTCCTTGAACTTCCCCCCGCTGCACTTCTCTGCATGACTCAGAGTTGACACCAAGAAGCCGTTGTCGTCGAGCATGTCCACCGTTGTCGCCGCGGCATCAGCAATGTTACGTCCCTGACGATACTCAACATCATACGCGTACTTGCGGCACGAGATGCCAAGCTCCTGGGCCTTTGTGCGGCAGTCCGGCCGGAAAAAGGGTTCCCAGTAGTTCGTCACACTGAAGATGACGTGGGCACCACGAAAGGCTTCCTTCAGCGAGTCTACATCTTCGAGATCTGCCTGCACAACGTCCACACCGACGGATGCTAGCGCCGTGGCGGCGGGAGAGGAGACATTGCGGGTCAGCCCTCGGACGCGGTACCCCGCGGCGAGGAAGCGGCGAGCGACGGAGCCACCTTGATTTCCAGTGGCGCCGACGACGGTGATGAGCTTCTCGGGCATTGTCTGCAGTGCGACCCCGTCGACAGGTCCGTGATGGTGGGAAGCAGAGTTGTGAGGCGGTGAGAGGTGGGGTCCAAGAGTTCGAGAAGCTCGAGCGAATCGTGGGCTGATCTGGCGGTTGGGATGGGGTCGGAATGCGAAGGTTTACGAACTGAATTCGAGAACGGTTTTCTTATTTGCCGCTATTTTTGAACCTGATGGAAAGGTGTGGATGAAGTGTTCGCGCTGGTGGATGAAGAGTTCTTCAGCTCCTGGAGAAAGTTCGCGGAAGCCCCTCCTCCATTGCGGTCCCGTCCCCGCCGCTTCACGACATGCTCAAGGCCTGGACGCCGCCTCCGTCGGAAACACTAATTGCTAGTGTGGACGGTATCAGTGGCGCCCTAGGGAGAAAATATGCTGGATGTGATACGAGTGGATCTCGTCATACCATCTGCCCATCGATGCAGAGACGCATCGGGAGCGGATCCCTATGTGGGTTTAGCATGTTGACACTAAGTACGGGGGCGGCACAGACGCCAATCCGGACGCGGAATAGGGTATGATTTCTGCTGCCTCGCTTAAAGTTGGTTACCCTTAAAGTTAATCTGTTTTATTGCAAGTCACGATAGGGATGTCTCTTAGAATGATTTCGAATAGTGTGGAACATTCACTCTGAAGACAATTCGTCACTAATTAAGGGTAGGAAATTATGAGACGTGCTAAGAGAAAATGATTGATTCAAAATCTGAGTAAGCATGTGTGTTGCCACATATGTGATGAGTTTCAATAGAGATGTACTGCGACAACCTCGCAAGCTTGTGACAATAGCATCAAATGAGCGTCAGAAATTTCAGAAAACCACGCAGAAAATCTCCCCTACCGCAGGCAGTGACATAAGTTCAAGGCGACCTTTCCTTCCTTCAATCCCTCCTTCAGTGTGACAACTGTTTTGCTAGCATCCATAGTTCAGCAGACAAACAGGTGTGGAAGCACTCACTCCACCCGTTGGGAACGGTCCTTCGTTCCTTGTCATGGTCCCATGAAGTATGGAGTTGCTGAATATCAGGCAGCTCAGTCGACTGTGGGGCATCATTGTGAACGGAAATCTCGATGTCGGATTTGTCGATCGCACGAGGCTTGTCGCTGGGTCTGTTTGGGACGCAAACCCTCCTCCCTTTACAAATAGATCTCGGGTTTCGACTGGGAGGCAGCCACTCCCGTTCCAAGAGATCTGGAAAAACAGGTCAATGATATCTCAGAGAATCGAGAGAAACACCTTGAAATCCTTACCTTCAGCCTCTTTTTCATCTTGTGATAGGCTTCTTGCTATCTTGTCTTCTAGTATGCCCGCTGAGTTGTCTGGGGCTGGGTTTATCTCAGTGGACCTAGCTCCTTGCTTCTTGTAGTTGTACGCAACGATGTATTCTGGCCGGGTCAAATGATCTGGCTGTCTGACTTCGAGATCGGAAGTGGACTGCTCGACTCTTGCAGAACCCAGCGGCACCTCTGAAAGCTGAGACGATCGGCGATGAGGAGGTCTCACGGGGTAATGCGGGTCTCGAGAATTAACCTTCAATGCAGCAACGATGTGTCCGGGGTTGATTGCAGCAGCCTGAACACTGGTCGACCAGAAAATGAAGGAGATGAGATGAATGATAAGAAAATAATTCATGTTTGTTACAAACGATCAGTAAGCTGGCTCGTTGAGGTGAAATCGAAGATTGGATGAAAATAGGACTTGAGTTAGTTTCGGATGTTGGTGAGGATGAAGACCGTCGATTAGAGGAAATCATACTACATATTTATATTTATAAACCTTACTGATGGGTATTGTCTCTCGACAAGGCCCAAGCCATTCAGGCTCCACTGTATTCGTCGGACTGTTCAGAGACTGCTCCCACGTCGGTTTGGATTTTACCTAGGTGATGAACTCAGGGCTTCTCGGCGAATCCGGGAATCCAGGAATGGGTGGTCAGAATTCTTGAAGGTGATGTATGCTACGTCTAAAGAGGTAAATACTGGATACAAAGGAGAAGCCACACCAATTCAGTGTAAGCGATGATCAAGTCCTATTATGAAATAGGTGTTTACTGGCCTGGTGTCGCTGTGATTATTATGCCGTACAGACTTTCGGTACCACTATGACGTGGCGCGGTTTCGAATCCATCATGAAAGTCGCATCCACAGAGGCGAAAGCGACCAAGGCGTGCGGCGCGTATATATGTTTGGGGGTGTTGCTTGGAAGTAAACAGCACCTGGGCTGGATCGTGCGACGATCCTAGGGCGCAGTCAGAACATTCACCATCAGATACACAGATCTCCTGAAAAGAGAAAGCAGAAGTCACCACTCAAGCAACACAATTACGATACTGTTCCCACATGCGTATTCTTATATCTTCTTATAATTCGTCGTTGTACTCACCGCTAGCAACACGGGCGAGCTCCTGCAGAATTGCGCTACTGGCATGACGGTTTTGCGAATCATCAGGCGATGCCGTCAAACAGACAAAGAACAAGACTTCATGTCCAGCTCCCACTTGAGAACTGAATGACGCCTTTAACTTTACAAGATGAGGTTTAGAGACAGGCCGCAAGGCTCAGGCCATCACAACCTCCGGGAATCAAGTCAAATGTCATTACTCTGAATAGCGATATTCATGCCACATGATAATCTCCCTTTAATTGATGCATGTTTCACTCATTACGGAAAGCAAGACGCATATTCTGCGCACACGCTGTCAGCTGAACATATCCAGCGTCTGCAAACGCATCCGAGACACCAAGAAGCAACTAATACTTCGATGAGCAGACATGAGGGGCGAGACTGACACAAAAGAACACGCAAGTGCGTGAGAGCTAGATAATGGAAATCAGGCTGGGATGAAGGCGGCAAATCTTATGGTAGTTGCCTCATTCATACTTTGCTGCGGCATAAGCCGACGCGATAGATTTTGTTTGTTTCGCCCAATGACATGGAAGGCGCTTTGTGGTGAACAAGCAGCTAGAGACACAGCTGACAATCATGCACATTCTGTTGTAAGAGTCTATTGGCCCACTGTCAAAAGCTGCAATTGCCAAGTAAATTAGACAACTACGCCTACAAGGCTGGTCGTACAGCCTTAGCCTGGCATAAGTTAGCAACACTGTGCTTGGAGGGGTGTGAAGACTGCATGTGGTGAACTTGGGTGGTAGTTGAGCGATATACATGATGATGCTCCAGACGCCAGCCGCCACGTTGATCATGATGGGCTGAACTAGACGCTAGGAGAACGAGTGATTGTGTATGATCCGCTTAGGCCTTGAAAGGAGCGGCCACAGTCCGATTTACGAGGGTGAAGGTTGTCACCAGCCGGAATGATTTCGTAGTTGATCAATCGGTGGGAAGAAGAGCTTGAAAGATTGAAAAGAAATCGCTTAAAGTTAAGGTAATCTAAAAACAGATCGTTCCCTGTCTTCAAAAAGAGGGAGTAACTACAAGGCTCTGGAAAAGTTTCCACTCAGCCGATGGCGGATTTGATGCAGCAAACGAGTGTACTTAATGAAGATGTGGCTTTTCATGTATGCCATCGTACACGGCATGGGGTCAAAAAGCCCAATGTCCCGGCCATTTCATCGTTGCAAAATGAGTGATGAAAGAAACTAAAAGGAGATGCCCCAGTTCAATACATACCATACAATATGACTCGCGCGTTCGATCCCCGAGACTGACTATCACCGAACTTTCCAACTACTCCATCGTTTCCAAATCTCGCCGGTGGATCTCAGCAGTCCTGCCGGTTTCTGAGACGTAGGCTCAGGTCACCCTCCGAGGACTACCGCGACCACCGCGACCACGACTGCGGCCGCGAATGCTGCCAGCCTCCGCATTTGAATCAGCCCTCTGACCAGTTGAATCTATAGAAGTCAGTGTTTTTAACTCTCTCAAAGATTAACGTGCCACTTGCAATGATCCATCTGCCGGCCTTGGGATCGCTGGAAGATCTTCCAGGAATCTTCTGCCTCCGTATCCATGTCGCTGTTCAGACTTTGTCGCTTCTTGATAGACGGATAGTAGAACCTAGCACCTGAAGATGTGTCTTCAGCATTAGTTGAACAAATGGGTAGAATTATCAGACTGACCAGGGACATCTCTCTCGTTCTTACGCACGGCGACCGGGTACTTAAACCTCCATCTCTTCTGATTGTCAGACTCGCCAAGCCTCTGATCAATACTGCTATCGAGTTCTGAGTCGGTGGGAGCTCCGCCTTCACTCTGAGCTCGAGCAGCTTTGACACAAATGGCCAACGCAACAAGGAATAGGACTTGGAGAATGCTTATAACCTTCATCTTCGGAGTATTTCAAATGAGCAGTAAGCTGCTGTATTGCTAAGATGGAGGGTCAGATTGATCATTAGAGATCAAAGGCAGAAAAGGGCATCAATGGAAATATTTATCACTTTTATGGTCGAATGGTTTAATAAGCACTCTGAGGTTTTCTGTGTTAATTGAGAAAGGTGGGCTGTGATAGTGACAATGCAGAGCGTAATCATCGTATTACACCCAGCCTGTTGGGGCTGGTTACTTCACATGAGCTTTTCTTGCGTCTCCAGCGAATACGAAATTTAGCAACCATGATGGATGCCACCCACTCCCATATCTTTCTGGTCATGCGTATCGCATCAGTGACACCCCCTTGCGCGCAAAGCTAGCAGTCGTCTTCGCGCTGAATAGACCTCATGCTGTACGACCTCGCAATATCTTGTAGTGACCGCTATGTTTTGAGACCTTGCCGAAATTGGGGAGGGAAAGTACACATGTCGCTATCTTGTATGCTGAACAATGGGCATAATCCTTGGGACCCTTCGGGCACAACTGGGAACAACTTGGCCATACGCACCAAACCCTTTTTAAATCAAGCAGCATACGCAGAAGAGACATTCTGGCCGCCAGTGTGAATGAACAAAACATTGACCGTCGCGCCCGGTTGATGTCCGACTTTTGAAGCGTCGCTCTGAAGTTCGCCACTGTTGATCCAGTGCATCAGCCCTTTGGCAGCCTTTCCAGAGTACACAGGATCCATCAAGATTCCTTCGCGGCAAGCCAAAGTCTTCAAAGTCTTTCGGGTCTCATCATCCAACACACCGTATCCGGGACCAGCGAAACGATGGTCAAGGCGGATATCCTCAGCCGCGATGTCGTGTTCCGTATCCAGCCCAACCAACTTGCCGGCATTCCTGGCAATCTGCAACACCACTTCCTCCTGCCCTGTTATGGGTGCCACCATGACTCCAATCAGCTGTCTATCGGGCACAGATGGCTTGTTGGGCAGCGACGATTCGAGGAGTTTAAACCCAGCGACCAACCCGGCAAGTGTACTCCCACTTCCGCAAGCGACAAAGATGTAATCATAACGGCCGGTGCCTCCGAGCTTGAGAGTCTTTTCTTGCTCTTGTATCTCCAATGCGCAGTTGGTATACCCGAGTCCGCCCAAGGGATGCTGGCTAGAGCCCATCGGTATCCAGTAAGGCACCTTGCCTTCAGCTTTGAGTGCCTGTATGACAGCAATTTGATCGTGAGGATCACGCCGAAAATGAACATTTGCGCCAAGGAGATTGAAAACTGGCACATTCCCTGTCGATCTGAAGATCGTCTGGTTTTCGGCAGTTTTCAGGCCGCCGGCTTCTTCATTCAGCAGGAGCACGCACTCGAGGCCGAGCTTTGCTGCCACGACGGCAGTCTGGGCTGCATGATTACTCTGTAGGCCACCTTCGGTGACGATAGTAGTGACGCCAGGCTTCGCGAGAATATCTGGAATGATGTATTCCAGCTTGCGGTACTTATTACCGCAGCACAGCAGAGGCGAAGACTGATCATCGCGCTTGATCCATGTCTGGATAGAGATCTGGCTATCAGAGTCTGCCGCGGCTGATAGAGTAGCGAGGTTATGGATCGGCGATGGACTGTCGTACCGAAGCCTGTGGCTGGGGAAATCAGACAGAGACGCAGGTGAGTCTGGCATTTTGCGAAAATGACTGAGTGTCGCTAGGATTGGGGTTGAGCCGACAGACTGAGTATGTTGTGATATATGCTTCCGTTTCTTGCATGGGACCTGTCTAGTTAAATTCCGCTCTGAGCCCCCGCTCCATCGACAGGAAGGGCGTGTGGGTTGGGGGTCAGCGATCCTGCTGACGTGGGGTGTCCAGTACTTACGATATGGCGAATATTACCCCACTACCATTGGATGCCCTTCTATTACATAAGGGCTCCAATCGGTACGCTACATGTCTAGTAATCTTTCTAATCTTCTGTCAAGTCGCTACTTTCACGAGACGCTCAAGGCTTCGCTGGCAGATATTCAATGCAAGGTGCAATAATTGTTGGGTTTGGCCTTGCCTCTTTGGGTATGAACGCCCGCTAATAGCAGATCCGGTATTATTGGCGCGTGTGAAATTTGAACTTGGCCCCCTTAATGACCAGGTTGATAACACTTAGTCTCATGAGCCATGGCCTAACAGGCATGGATGGCGGCTTGCGAATTCCCGTATAATTGGCACGTGGACGTCTAAGAGTCTAGAAGTCACTAGCCGTCACGCAGTTGCAACCAGTACCGGACCCTAAGCTGTAGTCCGAACAATCTGAAGTCCAGCGTATACTAGAAGATCGAAAATGACATAATTCCAATCATCGCCGGTTCTCGATATGAATCAAAAGATATAGATTCGATCTGGTATCACTGAAAAACAATCCCAGCCAGCTAGCTATATGCTCCGTATAATTCAATGCAATCAAGTAAATCTCCCCGCGAAATGCTCCACGAGTGAATAACAATAAACCTGGATTTCATGAGGATGGCTTAAATGCCTTGGCCTGCGAAACAAAACTGGCACGTCCTGTCGACTCATCGAAGATGTTGTACCCCATGTCCGCAGCATTAGGTGGGGTGTACACTGTGCAACAATGGTCAGAAATGGTAAAGACCCTTCAATTTCAAGGGAACATACAGTGCAACGAAACCGCAACGCTCTGGGGATGCGGGTTGTGTACTCGATGAAGACCGATGTCATCTGATATGTAGGTCACTTGGTCCGCTTGATATGTCTTCTCACTCTTGACTTTGAGAGGACCATTCTCTTTATCCGTGCTTGAAGGGGTATAATAGACCGTCTCAGTCAATTCCCCGGCCAGGACCTTCATGATGCAGTGGGCATTGGCATGGTCGTGAATTGGAGAACCCTTGAGAGGATTCCAAACCAACAGGAGCTGCGAAGTTCGGTAAGAAAATGCATTGAATGTTATTGAGTTGTTTCAGCCTTACTATATTTGCCTTGTGGTTAATGTTCTCAATGGCATTGCGGGTATAGTTCTTTCCCGGGCAGTTATAGTAGTATCGGGCCCAATCGTTGGGATTTGTGGCATATCTTTTGACGAGAGACATTAAGTAATCTTCATCGACATCTTCTGAACCAATGCCAGAGGAAGTTCCCAAATGTTGTTTGATGTCGTTTACTAGGTCCTCAAGACTGTAAGTAGGTTCGGGGCTTGGGTGTGATAATGGCTGATCTCGCGGAACGGCCTGCATCAGAGGCAGTGGGGCGAATAGCGTGGAAGCGGACATGATGCTAAGAATACCTAAGCTTGGGTATTGAGTGTGCAGAGGTGCTTCCGCAAAGAATTTATTTGTCGTTCTTGTTTGAAAAGGGTAGGATTGAATGACGAGAAAAATGAGTTGGACTGTCAGGTGAATACCTCTGAAGGATACAATTGCAATGAGCTTGTTACAAGAGCTGCTGAGTCTACCTCTTATCTCGTGGTCGACCGTGTCTGTTGGTGGCCCATTCGCCGACCGTTTGTCAATCGCCGATCAACGACAGCCAGGTAAACAAGTAGCATCATCCAGACCGCAATAAGTACAAGACCACCTGCACGAAAAGAGCTATCAGATGATAAGACAACATTAAGCTTTGGTGTCATATAAATGGGACCTGAGCGTCCCATGATAAACCCCTTACATCACACAGTGAAGCAGCCGTAACAACGATCAAAGCCCGACCGCGCTCAACGTGGCCCGGCGATCCCCGAGGGACAGCATCAGCTTGGCTGACGCTACAGGGTCTTAGCCTGCGCGATAAGATTACGAGCCAATCACAGACGTCGAGTCATGACCTGGATGGACCCCATGAGCAGTCAATCGGCGACTCAGCCGACGTCGAGGAGAAAATGAGAAGTTCATCTGTACTCTTTTCCCTTTGTCAGGACGACGTCTAGCCATCGCCGACCGAGGTCAAGCTAAACGTGCGCATCTTTTGCTGAGACTTGCGTCTCTTGACGTCTTTCTTTATCATGACCGTGCCTCCAGCAAGGAGCACCAGACAGACTGGCCTGGCCGCTCTCGCTTGCACTGGATGCAGAAAGCAGCACCTCAAATGCGATGCGAAGAGGCCAGTGTGCTCGAGATGCATGCAGAACGGAGAGACTTGCTACTATGAACCTTCTCGAAGAGGCGGGCGAAGGAAACCTCGCCCGCAGTCAATTGCATCCGAGGGACAAGGCACCCTGATGTCCGGTGATCGTCAGATGCAGGATAGGTCGAGCATCAATGCAACTGTCGCGCCGACCTCAACATCCAGAGAAGCCTCAACATGTGTTTCCTTATCTGGCGATGGCTCCCCAACAACGACTGCTGTTACTGATAGTGCGGTGACGGGGAGAAGACAGTTGCAGGCTCCAGCATCGGAACGCCGAAACATCGGAAATCATACGGTCGCACCTAACTCAAGAGATGGGCCTACTCCAGTCAATCCCGATGGTGATCTACTATCATACCTCTCAGACATGACAACCGATCACCTATCGTGGTTTATGCCAACTCCGAGGGATACGTCCAATGGTATCCGCTCTCACACAGACACTTCACACCGGCCCTCTTCTGAAAGCGATCGATATCGCCGGCTCTACTACGAAAACTTCCATACTGCGCATCCAATTCTCGTACCAGCGTCAATGTACGCGTCTCGAGCTTACCCTCACTATCTGCACCTCGCCGTCGACTTCGCCGGTTCCCACTACTCCCAAACGCCCCCTAGCGAAAACTTGAAAGGTGAAGTTGAAGCAGCGCTTGCTGCCAATACAGAACTTTCAACCTGCGCAGTCCAGGCGCTATTGATTTACTCCATCGTTCTCTTCTCTCGAGATGAAATCGACGATGCTCACATCGCGTTTGGCCGGTGTGCTGAAATTGCCCTGGAAATTGGCATGAACCGTGCAGATTTTGCTTCCTCGAGGCACCCAGAGAACTCAGTCGAGGCTGAAAGCTTGAGGAGAACATGGTGGGAGCTCTTCGTCGCGGATGTTTTGATGGCAATCCCTCTCAAGACCATCTCCTTTCGGTGCAGTGCTGTCTCGCCGGAGGTGCCCTTGCCATGCGAAGAGTCATTATACACTGGAAATTGCGACCTCCCTGAACCACGCAAGGTTCTCGAGTTCAAGAGGAGAATCCTGCTCGAAGAAGATGTTGTGTTCTCTTCATTCAGCTACCGCATTGAAGCTGCAACCATCCTTGGCCGGGTGCTGGTTCTCAACCGCCTGAAAGATTACCACCGCGACCATTTGCAGGCTATCGAAAACGCGCTCGTCAGTTGGTCAAATCACCTGCCGATGGAGAAGATGGAAATTGTGGACCCATACGGAAACATGGATGAGATGATGTTCCAGGCGCATGTCATCATCGCTCATGCGAGTATGCTTCTTCACTTGCCACGAAGCCGCTTCTACCCTCTGTTGTCGAGTCCTCAAGATGACTTCATGCCCTACACGCATCTTCACTCTTCATCAGCGTCAACGCGGCTCGTACAGAGCATCAAGGCTATGAACGCTTCAAGACGGCTTTCGGACTACATCTCGTTATGTCCAAACATTCAGAAACACACCCCATTCATTATTCCCGCGCTCGCAATGGCTGGTCTCACTCAACTCGCCACGTCCAAGAACCACTCCGAAGAATGTTTCGACCACCACTACAACAGAGTAACATTGGTACTTGGCTGCTTGAAAAAGATGAAGCGGACGTGGCACCTGGCCGAGCCTGCATACCACCGGGTGCGATCATGTGCCGCGAGGTTGATCTCGGACTTAATGGACAAGCTCAACTCTGAACCTCTGTCAAAGTCTGCGGTGTTGACACAGTCAACGCCGCGTGAGTCTGAAGAGAACAACAGCCCCACGGCCGAAGCCGTACCAGCGGTAGCGCAAGTTCAGCTAATGCCCGAGCTAGACCCCAGTTTCATTGACCCTATTTGTTACAACTACTCTCTGTTCAGCTCTTTACCGGAATTTCAGGACGGGTAGCTACTGTTGAGGGCGCGTTACTCCTATGATGTTTCTGAGAATAATAGTATCTGTAGCGTTACAGCGGTTTATAAGTAAACGATGGTGTTTTAGGTGACGAACCTTGAGCACGTCTATTACCATGATTACCATGCTTTCAATCCTGTCAGAGTCACAGAAATGCTAAAAGAGCGCCAACTTTTGCGGTGTATACTGTATATCACGACACATGCCTTCCCAATTCTTTATTTAGAGGATGTAATTTTCAGTATTAATATTGAACAAAACTTTGCATGCTTCCGAGGCTTAAGTCAATCCCTCCTCCAACACTTTTGTTCGAGCCAACGAGTCAACTTGACAGCATTGACATCCACCAACGCATTGAAGACATCGCTTGCCCATAAGAGGGCAAGTGTATTGACCAGAAATCCGTAGAAGAACGCAAGCCTGTACGCACCCAAAGCTGATTGCGTTAGGTCTATTGCAGCGGCGTCGTTGCCGCTCTCCATAAGTTCCTTAGCCTGACCTCGAGCCAGCTGTAGCGTAGTATACGCCGGAGACAGCCATCTCACTCCGATCATGTGGTTTATGGCACCATGCCATAGATACAGAGAGTACGAGATGCGCCCTAGGTATTGGGCGAAGCTCGTGGTGAAGGGCCGCTGGAGAAGAGGCTCGCGTCTAGCTGCCTCGCGATCCCAAAAAGTTGCTGCTGCGAATTCTTCCTTGTCTCCGTCATTGAGGCTAGCAGTGGTTTGGTACCAAGGGAGGCGGAAGTTGCAGAGCCTCGGGAGCGGAAAATGGAGACTGAAAGATACGGTCGGGGAGTACATCAAGGCAAAGATGAACACAATGGCGCCAATGGAGATCCAGAAGAGCTGAATGCGTTCTCCCGAAGCTTGATAGTAGGCAGGCACCCACTGGGAAATTGTAATGAAACCCGGAGTCGATGAGCCGTCATTCTGGGGGTAAGAGAAAAGGTGCATGCCGAGGAAGAAGAGGACCAAAGTACCCCCGTGGCGAAAGACGTGGCCAATCCTGAGACCAAAATTCGTAATGATCGTTTTGCTGTAGCCGAGGGTCTCATCTTCGGGTGTTTCTGACGACTGGCTGCCGTTGGGAAGGATGATGGACATCTCGGCAAGTAACAGGCCTGCACAAAAAAGAGCCTGGTCCCAGTCGCCGGTGTGAACCAGCCAGAAGGCTATGCCCAAAACGCTGACCATGTGAATCCACCGCTTTGTCCGAGCAAAAATAAGGAGAAGGAAGAATACGAGCAGCGAACCTTTAAACTCGACAGGGATTGTCCATAAATGCCCGTCATACTCGCTTCCCTTCATGTTCTCTCTGTTGATAATAGGTCGAAACGGGTTCATTAGATTGACCGTGCTCCAGAACCAGTGTTGCAGCTGATCATTAAGGGTCTCTCCTCTCGGCGGGATAGATGCTCCCGACGGATCCCTCACAAAGTTCCCCCCGTAGACCAGCAGAGCGATGATGAATGTTGCAGCAAAGATGGGAAGGTACAGTCGCAAAGGGCGGCGGAACGCCGATCCAGCCAGTACAGTCAGAGCCTGGTCCCCCTTGCCGTTGTGAATCATCGTCAGGGTCTTGAGGGTGAGCACGAAGCCCGATATGACGAAGAAGACAGTGACGCTAGCTCGTCCGGAGTGCAGAGCCCGGATGATAGGCATCTGCAAGAACATGCGATGACCTTCGAAGCCATATCCCCAAGCAAGGTCTGGAAACCAGAGGTAAGAAAAGTGGAAGATGTAAACGACAAAGGCTGCGACACCGCGGAGGCCATCGAGATATGCTGTGTGGCTAAGCCTCTTTCGCTGAGGTTCGTTGCTAGGGGGCCTGGTGAAGTATATGAACGGGCTGACGACGAAAGCAGGAAGGAGGAGTGCAGAGAGCTCCAGGGCGGAAAGAAAGCGATTCTTCCATGTGAGGGTACCAGTGGAGTTTTGATGCTTGTCGAGAAAAGATAAAACCGAGTCTTTCGCAGATCTCAGCAAAACGAAGGAGATGTAGTTATGATTTTTGTTGTCGCTGGTTTCGTCCACCGACTCTGTTGACTGTGAAAGTTGGCCATTGTGCTCCGCAATGAGAGAGTATTGTTCGTACGTGTCCTGTGGTGATTGCGAAAATGGGTTTGGGAAGTGCATAATAAGAATTGATCAAAGTAAGATATACAGATTCAACACCTGCTAGAAATTTAGTAGGAGAAGTAAGATCAACCATAGCGTGGAATCTAGAGTGAGGTTCCCGTGATGTTATATCCCATCGAGCGCGAGTTAATGCCACAAAAAAAAATAAAAATTTATAAGCCCCCCTTTTCTCCGAATTCCATGAGGAAAGGAATTGCTCAGTGGCTAAACAAAAAAAGAGTTAGTGTCGTCTCATAGTTACTCATTGGCATTTTCCCTTGATCATGTCATAACCACTCACAGCTGGCCTGTATTCAAATTGAGGAAAGAATGTGTGAGGATTGGCAAAGAAATCTCGAAAGGAATCTCGAAAGGAACCGATGAAGGGATCCTAGGAATTATGGTGGACCTGGTATGCCACGCTGTGTCTCGCCATAAGCTTCTCCCTCCCGGGAGATCTCCGCCGTGGCGCGAGTGGACCGTAGGCGGAGCGTAGGGAGCATTGTTTATGCATCGCTTTCGAGTCTAGTGCTTTGTCGGGAACGTGAAAGCATACGTCGCTGCACTTAATCAAGAAGCCCTGCATCACATGGAATGACCTGTGTCGGAGAAGATCCTAACACATTTCGCAGATGTCGCTTTTGGCTGCAGCTGAAATTTTCGGTTCCCTCTACTTCGCCACTCTTCTCCATCCCTCGCTCGCAACCTCAGCAGCCGCCCTTCCACATGCCGCCTACCGCAATCTTTGCCTTTCCTCCGCACTTCATACTGCAAGGTTGCCGTTTCCTATCTGGTTTCTTTCGTTATCATTGATCAGCACCCCGCCTTTCCTTCCCGATGAAACTGATCAAGGTCGCAGCTTTCTATCTTAGCCCCATTTCGGACTGCGGACGGCTGTCAAGTTCGCCTAGGCACATGTCGTTATCGTGAAACCTTCAGTGATACCTGCCAATGCAGCGTCACCGGCCAGCTTCTGCATTCAATGCTCTCAGCCTCAGTCCTCAACTACGTGCCGAATGCGTGACAATTGTCGGTCGCTTATAGTAACACTGCGCTTACAGGACAGCCATCTGGCTCTTGGTTCTGCCTCGCTGTTCTTCTAGTTTTCTACTTTCTGTCTGTAGAAAAACCACAAACGTTGAATACTGCTGGTCCTTGTCATGAGCAGTAAATTCAATCTCCAGCAACAGGACTTTTGGGTGGATAAGCCATACCGGACGACTTCCGGCCCAGTAACACTAAACGGCTGGAACGTAACCCTACATGAATTGTCGCCTCTTCCTCATTTGAAATGGAGATACAGGATGTAATGTCTCTCTTACCTTTTCGGCCTGTTGCGGTTTTTCCTCTTTGCTGACTGGGGAGAAGGGCGGGGTAGCAGACGATGATAAAGGAATCGGTTCTTCGATGACACTCTTGTTGCAAACAAACTCGGTAAATATGCTACTGGCAGCAGAGCAAGGGCGCTCTGCGGAGGCGAACTTTTAAGAACCCACGAGCATGCGTGAGGTCCCGGATGCTGCCGATTATCATCACCTCCATAGTCAGCAACCTCTTCCGCTTGGACGGCCTCGTCATGGCTAGAGTCCGGGGGGATGGGGACGCAGGCTCCTTATTTCGACGGGGGTCTTCTTGCCTAGCCGACATAGCTTAGTTCGGCGTCCGTATGCTCCGTGTTATGCTCTTTCTCATCCTCCAACAGTCAAGTCCTGTCTACCGAATCACTCGTAATTTCGCGGCTCTGCTCTTTTCTCCTCTTATTCGACAAAGTTTTGGATGAAATGAACGATGCAGATGGAGTTGACGGTAAGCTCGCTTATACACCATCCAGGGGCAGTTGCGATATCCCACCATCGAGAATGGTCGGGTGATCGGCTGTGCTTATTAGGCTGACGTCGAGCCCCAAATGAATCACCATAACATTTATTAATTTCGTGTCATATGCGGATTCACTCGTGTTGACTTGCCTTAGAGGGCACAACTTATTTACCTAGGTCTCTTAAAGCCTCTGCCCTCTCTTTGTCCTGCCGCTTACGCTTATACGTATCATATTCTTCGAAGGACATTACCAAGCAATCAAATGGCATACTCTAACAGAGATGCAAAAACGCTTTTTAACAATGTGCCGAGGAGTTATTATCCGTATCATCCGTATTATAGTGCTCCACATGCCCTCGCTTCGGAGGACATAGCCATATCACCAGCGTTCCTTCAAGTAAACAGTTAACTTCAGCCCAAGTATCGTTTATCTCGTACAGATAAAATCGCGTAACAGTAGATAACGGTGAGCAGCAGGCGCTTGATGTTGACGAAAGCGTCGACATGATGAATGTTGCATGGTGAGAAAAAAAGAGATGCGGGGACCCGCCGACAAACGCGTATTACGGCACGGGCCGTAAGAATACAGCGGAGGGCCATTTACGACGGCGCTGGCAGCAAACAGAACGCTGGGAAAAAATTCTCCGCGGCAGCCGTTTGTCTTCATTTCGCTTGCATCAGGCCAACAAGTCCGCAACACGGACCCTGACAACGACGCGACAAACATCAACAAGAAGGACGCCGCAACATCCATCAACCATACCTAGTCTCCGCCACCTCCATGTATAAGCTTAGTAGGCTTGCCACTATCTGATAGCACGCTCATTCCATCATAAGTTATGTTCATTCGTCGCGATGGCAGTGCAGCGACACTGCTCGCCGATACTACCGAGAGTTCACGTGGAACGCCGGCGTCACCCCCGAAGCAAACAGAAGCAACTCCTCGTGACCATTAGACTGCGCAAAGAAGCCGAAGATTGCATCTATGTTTGCACGAAGCCTCATTCAAGACTGAGTCGTTCGCCGGAGCCACCGGAGCGATTGATCGTCACCCTGCGTTATCCGCCTCCTAAGCTCCGCCCCAAGATCATCCCAATACCTCCATCGCGCCGGCGTGTCGCGTTGGAAAGTGACTCGGAGAGCGACTGGGACAGCGACTTGGACACCGATTTTGAAAGCGATTTGGAAACTGTTTTACCCAGCGAAAGCGATGCCGATGACAAGAAAGCACTATTTTATTCTCCGACGCCTAGTGTAAGAGCACCGATTGATTCTTGCCCACGGAGTTGCGCTAATTTTTGGTAGTCTGCACAGAGTCTAGACCCGCAACCTGAAAAGCCATCGCGTTGTTTAGAGGAAGTTTTGAACACTTGGACACCAGTTATACTATCTATTACAAAACACGTCATTGTTTACAGCGGTGGTGGCGTCTATAACATTCAGCTCTATGCAATCATCGACGCACCGCCAATAGTCGACTACCATCCGTCAAAGTCAGGCTGGAAGACGGAGTTTGAACTTAGTTGGTTGGCCCTAGATGCAGTGCGGAACTACTGGGCCCGATTTCCAGGCGGTCGTGACGGAGCCATCGACGCCGCCAGCCCAGGTCTATCTCGGCTGTGCAGGAAGGTTTTAGTCGTACTCGGACATCGGAAGAAGCGCTATTTTCGACTCGAACTAAAAGTTATCTTTCAAGGCGCAAAGCCGGAGCCTGTGTGGGCTGATGATCTGGTAGTAGGGATGGAGCTGGACTGGAAGATATTGAACGATTATTGGAAGGCTGTGGGCGTTACGGTGCCCCCGCGAACTGAGGACCTTCACGATGTGGCGGAAGAGACGACCCTGAGAATAGACATGCCGCCTGCCTGGATGATGAGGTCAATGGAGGAAGGCGGCTAGGCAACTCTGAGAATCCCCGACGGAGGAAAATCAGGTGATACCTCTCTTCTGGGCTCAGTCACGACGTTATGACATCTCGTTTCTAGCTTTTAGAGGTTGACCTCAGTCAATCCCACTCATTGTACATCGGATATAATTCCGACCTTGACGGTATCGTTAATTGTTTTAGAGCGAAAACGAGCAAAGCGCCCAAGGTCTCATGTTGCGATAGAACTTGGGACAGAACTTGCATTGAGCTGCAGTTTGTCATTTCGATATTCTCAAGTGTCTTACGGTGTAAAATTGAAGAAGTCGGATGAACCATGTCAGAGAACTTACCTCATGAGATGACCTTCATTGAGTGAGTCAGTGACCACATGCTGTCTAAGAAACATGATTTATCATACTTTGAATGACTTGAAACATAACTTATTAACATAACGAAAGCAATAGTAAATGGAAATTGATACTTTCCTTATATCAAACTGGATGGATGAGTAACTTCTGTGATATGAGGCAAATCTAGTCCGGTCAGATCTGTTCGTAGGTCTATGTTATTACCATCAACAGAGACTTGGTTCCCTCAATTCTTATTTTCCTGTTCGTAATCTTCAAGCGATATTTCTCGCAAATATTGATCACGCTTTATTGCATATCAATGGAACAGTTCCGCTAGTGGACACCGTCTGGCGAGCTGAACATGGGGAGGCACGGACGTTGAGCTGAATGAGGACTAGGGGATATTTTCGACTCATTGCCACGCTTTCAAGTCGGCTCAGGGATGGGGTGCCCAGGGGTTTATGAGCAAGGCTCCTCCCAGGAAATTCTTCAAGCTGGGTTCCCGGCCGATCCGCACTTCCCCCCTTCCCTCTCATCCTTTCTCTGCAACCGGGGAATCAAATGAGACTCTGACGTGGGCTGATGATTTGATTGATCCCGTTTTCAACGCTTCCACCCGCGATCTTTTTAGGCTTTTCGCGGCTGTTTGAAGCTGCTGCTGAATTGGAAAAGCATCACGGCGCGTCGCACAGGCAAAGACGCACTGCAGATCTTTTGACACTCTTCCAATGACGTCGAATCACTCAAGTACCGGCGGTTCCAGTTCCGGGTACTCGGGCCCGGGTCAGGGACTGCACCCTAGTGCCGACCCAACGTCGACGGAATCGCCGACACCCGCGACGACTGCGACGCCGAGGACACCCTCGCCTCCGCGGAACACGGGTCCGACGAGCATCCAGTTCCTTCTCAACCCCGTTGAGAACGAGGCCGTCGCGCCGCTGCAGGTTGACGTACGCCGCACATCAGACTTCCGCCGGACCGAAGAGGACGTTTGCAGGCTGACGTGATTATCGGACAGAACGATATCCGCCGGGATGACAATGACTCGGCCTACGGCTCCGACGCCGGGTCCGCGTACACGTCGTCCATCACATCATCCATCTATCATTACCAGTATGAGAACGGCCGCCGATATCACGCGTACCGCGAGGGGCAATATGTCCTCCCGAACGACGACCAGGAGCAGGAACGCCTGGACCTCCAACATCACATCTGGCGCCTGCTGTTGGGTGGTCGAACCTACACGGCGCCTCTACCGGATCCGGCGAGCGAAGCAGCTGAGGGGCTGAGGGTACTTGACCTCGGCACAGGCACCGGCATATGGGCGATTGATCTGGCGGACGAGTTTCCCACAGCGGATGTTTTTGGTGTTGACTTATCCCCGATCCAGCCTGAGTGGGTTCCGACGAATTGCAAATTTCATGTCGACGACTATGAGGATGACTGGACGTATCGTGAGGATGAGAAATTCGACTACATCCATGGCCGTGCGTTAAGCGGCACATCATCAAATTGGGCGCGATTCTATGACAGGGTCATGGGCGGGTTGAAGCCCGGTGGCTGGGTGGAGATGCAAGAGTACGACGCCTGGATCTTTAGTGACGACGACAGCTTCGATCGGGCGATTTGGACGAAGGAGTGGGTCACGAAGCTCGATGATGCGAGTAAGACATACGGCAAACAGATCAACGTTGCGAGGTTCCACAAGCAGTGGATGATTGACGCCGGTTTTGAGGATGTTCAAGAACTTGTTTACAGGGCAAGTCGACCCTCCCTTTCTTGTTCGTTCAATGTCGGAATTCTTGTTAACACTGTTGCAGATACCGATCGGTCCATGGGCAAAAGACCCTGCTTTGAAAGAACTTGGTCGTTATGAGCTGGCTCATATGCAGATGTCAGTTGAATCGCACACGCCTGCGCTGTTCACACGAGTATTGGGTTTTAGTGAGGATCAAGCACGAGTCCTCATGGAAGGCGTAAAGAGGGAGTTCAGGAGCAAAGACTACAGGCTCATCACAAGTTATCGCTTCATCACAGGAAGGAAACCTCTAGGACCACGATGAGTCAAGAAAATTACTAGATAATTCAACTTAATTCATAGAGCGCTTAGACGTAGCAACTGTCCGTCGGGCTGCTTCAGGCATGATATCGCGCTTCTATTGATGATTTGAGGTGGTGGAAGAAGACGAGAGAGAAGGCTGGTTGCCGTCGACTATCCTACGTTTAAGGTCTTTGTGGTATAATAATCATACATGATCTGCCTTGCGAGCCTCACAATGTGAAAGGCTGAGATCTTGTGTTGGTTTTGGTTAATGTTATCTTCTTCAAATCGGGTGTGATTCCTGGTTACCGCGGCGAAATTGCCACATTCACAAGAATAGCTCCCAAATCTCTGAAACCCGGTTTCCCCATCCTTCACGCTATTCCTCCGTCTTCAAGATCTGAAACCCAAATTTGGTGTACAGCCTCCTTGCACCACTGAGTTCCTTGTACGTCTGGAGTCCAACGCGCCCGTATCCTGCCTGTCTAGCAAAGGCAAGACACGTTTCGACCAACATTGTGCCAATACCAAGACCTCGCGTGATATTGTCAACCAAGAAACAGCTAATCCTCGCCCTTCCTGGTACCTCTCGGTGCTTGGTAGGCATAATTCAGCCCAGAAACTGCCCCTTTCTCTCAGCGATCCAGTAACGTTCTGACGCTGGGTCGAAATTGTCGAGAAGATCAGCCGTGTAAATAGACATATGCGACTCGAAAAAGGTTTCGAAACTGAAATCCGCATAATACACCAGTGCGTGACTGTGAGCAATGTAAGTCATGTCGCCTGGGCGGTGGTTTCGGAGTTTAACGAGTTCTGAGGAGCGTTCCATGTTGGGCGTGATACCGCAAAACGCAGCTTTCTTGGCTCCTTTACGTTTTGCTAAGTAGGTTTACCAAGGGGGGGAATGCATTGCCACATTTGTATTCTGGAATAAATAGGTGCATGATTCGACAGACAGCCCTGTATTCCGCTCTTGTCAAGTTCGAGACAAAGTTATCATGTCGAAAGGCGCGCCCATGTGGGGCCAAGGGGCGTGTTCTCGTGAGCATCGTGGGGCTCCTCCTGGTCGCATGGAAAACTTCCTGGCATCCAGCGATTTAAGACATCATGATGGAAAAGAAAAAGCCTTCCAAAACAAAGAGTTCTTCAGTATTAAATTGATATGGGTGAATCAACCTAAGAAAACTATTCGTAATATTCTCAGATTCAGGACCAGAAGCAGTATCACGGATTGCAATTGACTAGCCAGGCTTTATTGACATCTGAGTCAAGGCTGTGGACAGTCTTTTAGAATTCGGATCTAGACATGTCATTCTGCACATGCTCAGGTCGGTATATAGTTCAAGAACGTCTTTGTAGTCTTGAGAACGGGCTAATAGAATGTAATTTCTAGTAACCTGTTTCTCCTCTTGCTGGACAATGAATCATTTACTGCGCGATTGATATTCCGTGGATGTGTCTTTAGAGCATTCTGCTTAATCGTTGGCGCATGTCTTTTAGAAATCAAATAGTTGTCAGTTTTCGTCTTCGATATCAAGAACAGCCTTCCCTTAACTGAGCTGTGTATTATTTGTACGTGGAGCTTGAGGAGGGAAGCAATCAGCACGTTACTTGTCGGTGTCATGCATCTCTTGGCCTGCGGTACGGACCTCGGGCCGACGGTTGTTGGAAAGGGGTCCGTAGGGGGCAAATGTGCCTTTCAAGGCCCCTGTTGGTTCGATTGAGCTGGATGAGCGACAGATAAGCTGCACCTTTTACTGGGCAATGGGAAGTACGATAGGAATAATCCGGCCTGCGGAGCTTTTACTGACTTTGTCCAAATTGTGCCGTTATCAGCAGTAGATATCAGCAGTCAATATGTATTGCACGTGGGAGAAATAATATGACCAATCGTAGATTCTTTCTAGCTCGTTGCAGCTTTCGGTATTGAGAGCAGATGGTACGGAGCTTTGCAGATCAGAGGGAAGTTTAAATAGCTCAGAGTGATGATGTTGTCGCGACAGCGTTGTCATTCTCAAATACGGCTAAATGTTTTCTGGAGATTACTCAACTAAGACACACGTACAAAAGTTTATGCCTACTCTTGCTACCAAAATGTTTTCGTCCTAATACAAATAACGAAAGCTCTTGACCTCAGTCATGGCATCATATCCCACAAAATCCTTGGCGCCAGCCTCAACAGAGTCTTGCATTGCCTCTTCACGATCAAGCTTCTTGTTCTGCGCACGGAGGTAAAACCGTAGCCCAAGAGCAGCAATTGCAGCGAAACCAAGCAAGGCAATCTCTGCACCAAATGACTCAACATAGTACGGGCCATATTTAGCCGGCCAAATGTATGAACCGGGAATGCTCCCGATATTGCCCATGGCGTTGACCATTGCGATCGCGGCGGCTTTCTTGGCTGCTGGGCGGGGTATTGTGTTGGATATCCAGGCAAGAATGACGAATCCAGATGCAAATCCCACTAATTAAGAGGCTTTGTTAGTCAATCTGCCTTCAGTGCGGAACGACGATTGGAAAACTTACCCGTCATCAGAAACAAGGAAACATATCGAGGGGCTGTGGTCGTTGTCGTGGCAGAAATGATGTATCCAATCATACACGTCAACAGCGGCACGAAGTAGTGAAAGAACCGCTCTCCCGTCTTGTCGGCGTGCCAGGCATTCGGTAATGACACCAACACAGCGAACATCCAGGGCGGCGCAGTCAGCAGCAATGTCACTGTTTGGCCGTACCCAAGGCCTTGCGTTATGGTCGGAAAGAAGAAGACAAACTGTAGTGGGAGAATGATTAGAATTCTCCGAAGTCAAGAAAACACGCCATGTCTTGACAGCTGAACTTACGCTCAAGCCCATGATTGTCGCATGGTACGCCAACCCCAAGAGCCATACCTTCACATCCTTGCAAGCCATGACTAGCCCCTGGATGGCGGTAACATCTTCATCTTCGGCGGATCCTCCAGCCAACCCCTCGTCAAGTGCGAGACGATTTTGTGCCACTCGTCTGTCTTCTTCCGTTAACCAACTCGTTGTCTTGGGGTAGTCCGGCAGAACGAAGAGTGCAACGCCAGCAAGAGCAACGGTGACAGCACCCTCGACGATGAAGAGCCACCTCCAAGCGCGTAGCCCAGCAGCACCTTCCATGTCAGCAAGAATTCCAGCAGCGATAAGTCCACCAAATCCCTGTGCCGCCAGATTTCCACTATTCAGAATCGTCACACGGAGCTGCATTTCCCTCCGATTGTACCAGCGTGACAGGAATAGCAAACTCCCGGGGAAGAAGCTAGCTTCGACGCAACCCAAAAGAAAACGGCAAATCACGGCGCTGGAAAAGCCTTGCACAGCACCGGTCGCCGCCGATATGACGCCCCAGACAGCGACGCAGCCGCACAGATACCAGCTTGGCCGCTTCAGCTTGTTCAAAATCATGTTGGAGGGGATCTGCATCGCGACGTAACCGCTGAGGAGCACGGAGATGCATGTCTGGTACTGGACGTCAGTGAGCTTGAGGTTCTTCTCGAGGCCACTGAGGCGGGCGTTGGCGAAGTTGTTGCGGTCGATGAAATTGAGGATGAAGAGGACGATCATGACGGGAAAGATGCGCAGGTCGATCTTTCGGACAAGAGCTTTCTCTGTAGCTGGGTCCCAGTTTGGGATCATTGTAGACGTAGTCGCCCTGAGGTTTGGTTGCTTTGGATGGGAAGCCATTCTTGTCGAAATTTGACCGTGAAACCACGGAAGCAAACATGAAATTGATGGACAAGGTCACGGAGGGCGGCGAGCTCTAGCCTCTTAAAGAGATGAACGGTAAACTTGAATTCCTAGACGTTTTCTGGGCAAGATATCTGACTGATACGTTATCGCAGGTTGATGCCCAGACTCTGCTTGCTATCTGCATCCAACCTCTCGATGTAGCGGCAGAATGGGTAATGTTTGCCTGGTACGCTACCCCTCATATCTCGGAGCAAGGGTCCTTACACCAACACCTGGGCTATCTGGCGTCGCACAACATATCCCAACAAGGCTTTGATTGTCGGGCACGGGGAATAGCAGGGCATATGAAGCCAAGGAGCCTTCAGCTGACTAATTGCATCCCTCGCGGCCCGGGAGCCGTACCGCACCGCCGAGCTCCGTACCGACTTTCGGCCCGGGATCCATGCCGAAGGCGAGGGGAAGTTATATGTTGACAGGAGGACGGGTCTACGTTGAAGGCGTGAGGATGCATCTCACTCTCCAAAAGTATTTCAGCCTCAATCTGCAAATTAGCATAGGCCCCCTGTCCTTGGGCTTTTTCAAGCTCGACCAACGATTTTCCGCCTCGATCTGAGTGCCACCCCTTCTTTTCGTCGCTTTGACCCGCATTCGCATCGCCAAGCAGCGCACAGCAACGAAGAAAAGGCTTCATCATTCCGTTATCAGGGTGAATCACTTGACAGAATGATGGAGACAAGCCTTCTCACATCCAACAAGGCCGTGGTCTGGGTTGGACCTAAGAAATTAGAAATCCAAGAACGTCCTGTACGCCCACCAGGCGACGACGAAGTGCTCGTTGAAATCGTTGCGACAGGTATCTGCGGTTCAGACTGCCACAATTGGGAAAGCGACAAGGTATCTTGCCAACTCGTCCTTGGGCACGAGTCTTCGGGTATCATCATTCAGATCGGAAAGAGTGTCAAGGACCGCTTTGTGGGACAGAGAGTGGCTGTAGAGCCTGGTTTCGCGTGCATGAAGTATGGCTTCAGGTTTCATCTGTCTTAAATTTCAATTACGAAGAGTGTTGACGCTAGTTGAAATAGTTGCGAGTTTTGTGTCAAGGGCAACCCGAACATCTGCGCAAACTTGAAGTACTGCGGCCTCGACCCCACCGATGGCACACTTTGCCAGTACTTCACCTGCACGGCCTCAATGACGGTGCCCATCCCGGACTCAATTTCTTGGGAGGAGGCGGGCGCGATCCAACCGCTCGCCATTGCGGTTCAACTCGCCAGGAGAGCCTCTCTACACGCTCACCAAACGATGGCTATCTTGTATGGTCTTCTACATGCATACAGGATGGCCGGCCATGCTGACGCTTCTCTCTTTCAGTGGATGTGGTCCTTTGGGTCTCCTAGTACTTGCTGTCGCAAAGGCATACGGTGTCAAGAAGGTCATCATGTTTGACATTGAATCATCTCGGACGCAATTCGCAGAGACGTACGGCGCGACCGTCGGTATTGTTCCCCCGAAAAACGAAGATCCATCTGTAGATTCCCTCTCCTTCTATCAGCAATACGCCAAGAAAGTCAACTCCCAACACGACCTTGGCAACGGTTTTGACGTCACAGTTGAGGCCAGTGGAGCAGAAGCCTGTATCCAAATGGCAGTCGCGATGCTAAAATCAGGTGGAAGTTGCATTCAAGCTGGACTGGGTGAACAGTTCACATCGGTGCCCCTATTCTTGGTCACGGCGAAGGAGCTCAATATCAGGGGTAAGTTATGACCTTTTGCTGCCGTTGAAACTGTTCTCATAATGAGACAGGTACTGTGAGGTATACGCCGGGCTGTTTTGCAGACGCGATCAGTCTTCTGGAGAGAAAGCTCGTCGATCTCAAGCCGTTGATTACATCAACATACCCTCTGACCGAAGCTGCACAGGCATTCGAGGCGCAGCACGGGAGGAAGGACATCAAGATCGTGATAATGAACCAAAAGTAGCCTCGAGTCAGCTCAGACCGTACTGTACAAACAAGACACGGGCAGGGGCATGGATCCATACAATAAATGAGGTTCTAAGCACGTTTTGCTTAAAGTATCCCAATCATGTATCCCTGGTCATGCTTGAATCTACAAAGGAATTCTTCACAAAACAATACAGCACTCTGCAGCTAGAAAGATGAGGGAGATAAGCTACTGTGATCAATCTGTAGTTGCTGGATTTTTGAACCACTATTTCCCAATGACATAACCGAAACAATCATGGAAGACGGCTTGTTGAAAGCTTCTCCCGCCAGGATCTTGCATATTTCGATGTCGAACCGCTAGTTCCCCCCTCCCCAACTGACGGTTGTGCGCATTGCTATCGAATCCTTCCTATACAAGGGTGCTCTGCGCTGGTTTCAACTGTGATATCGTTCTTCGTTAGAAACGCCACGCCAGACCTCTCGAAAATCTGAACTCCATCCTCTTCCTTAACCAGGTGCACGAGAATAGCGTACAGCTGTAGGTTTCTCTTGCCTCTTGCAACGACGATACACTTGATTGGTTCTTGAAGCGAAAAGTTCATATCGTCTTGTATCAGCAGTCTCGGCCTGTCTATAGTCTGACCAGGTTCTCTTTCACTCGTCAGCACCGATATCGGGGCGTTGAACTCATGTGGATGCTGAGTATCGTAACCTGTGTCTGTGGCCAGGTCGCTGAGCTGGAAAGGAGAAATAATACGTTCTTCCCAAATGACGTCTCCCAGTGGAACATTCATGTATCTTATCTCTCCATGGAAAGCCATCCATGACCATGACGGTACTCTGGACGAGTGATCAAACGTCACGCGCTCTAGTGAACGATTCTGATCCTGACGTTGCCACAAAAGGTCTCTGGGAAAGTTTAAGTGCATAATACCGTAACCTCCTGGAGAGCACAAGGCTGATATGAGTCTTTTCTCAAGCCCTGCAATTGCCACCGGCCTATCCTTTCGGCTGGAAAGGTCCAAGGAGGAGTATCTTTCGTAAAGCTCATGGTAAAGCTTAAGCTGTCTCCCTTGCTTATCGGACTTAACAGCATTAGGAAAGTCTGAGTCACCAAGAAAGGCTGCTTTGCGACTGGGTGACATGGTTGTTAATCTATTGACTCCTTATCATCTTGGATAACTTACTTCGTGGTCTGAGTGAACGTCTCGCATCTTATGCCCTCGCCGCACTCCCAATATGTCTGACCCTTCGTGAAGTGAAATGTTCGACGTGATAGAGCGCGTTCTTGTAATACCCAGCCCCTCTTGTTCAATTTACCTTGTTCGACGTCATGATCGAAATCGTCGATGTTTTCGCACACATGAAACTTTTCACCATCATTCGTAGTCATGGTGACAACGTCTCTCGGGCTTCGTGCCTTCAGAAACCCATCAAACATATGATCTGCGCAGCTAGCCGCAATCGTGAAGTACGCGGAACTGAACACCTTTTCCATGCGTTGTGACTCTCTTCTCCAGTCTTCCACATGTTCTGAGTCGTGGCCTTTCCCAGTCTTCTGAAGTATGCATAAGGAATCGATCCAAAGATACCGTATACCAAGGCTTCTGGTAATACAAACGGCATCCTGGAAGGTTTGGGGCAGTACAATATCATCCATTCCCTGGGGGCTCTCAATGAGGTGTCGATTCTCACATGTTGTGACGGGGAACGTTACACTCTCCGGTCTTGCTTCGTTAGGGGAGCCCCATCTATGTGACAAGGCTGCATAGCGCATAGAGGTCTTGTCCGTAACACTGGACGCGAGTCGCACTTTCTTGCACTCCTTGTATCCAAGGTCCAAGAGCCGAGATGGGACAAAATCGCCTCCAGATTGGTGGTGTTTGTGCTTCTTGTCGCAGATACTGAGCCATTCCGCGAGTATTCTAATGTGCGTGTCGCTGCCTGCAGGCAACAGAGCAGGAAAACCCATATGAACATCATTCTCTGCGAGCCGCTTTGAGCCTTTAGCAATCAGCGGGGTTCGACCTTTCCCCAGTTGAACAGACCGACACACATAAAGGCTTTAAACAGTCATACGAGAGTCCACTTACTAATTGTAGTACACAGGGAGAATACTGGGCGAAGGTGTTTCTCATGGAAGGTCAGTGCTGAGCTTGAGTCTGATCTTAAAAACGTGATCACATCCCGGCTGAGCGCTGCTCGATCTTTCATGCATCTGTGTAAAACTCGGCAGAAGTTGCACCGGTCAGACCTCCTGACAAGGTCAAGCAACTTCACAGAGAATCTGTAGTCAGGCAGCCAAAGTCGATATTGCTCGCAATATTCGCAGAGTTTGGAAATCAAGTGCTGGTGTCGGATTGTGTTTGGACTTTGACGGACGATGTAGCTGGCAAGGCTGCTATCAGAAGTGTACTTCCAGCTGTTGTCAAGCTAGTCATTTACAGACGTTTAGCATCCTGGCCTCGTCAAAATCATGAAGGGTTTCTTACCGGCTATTGAAGAATTCAAACATTATCAGTTTATGATGTTCAGACTTAGTTCCACGGATCATTAGGGGCTGTAACCCACTGTCTGAATGAGTGCTGATCAGCTTGAAGCCTGTGAAAGTAAAGAAAGAAATAATATTACATACAAACTTCGATACCATAAAAGAAAGCGACATTAGCAACGTCAACCCGAGGGTCAGGAGAAATCAACAATTACCATCTGCAAGAAACCCACGAGCAGTTGTAAGCCTAGCCTCGCTCTGCTACATTCTGGGGGCTGTTACGTACGTACTGAACTCGACGTCAATATATAGCGGGGCACCGGCCATACAGCAGGGATAGAAGTAACTAACTCTCTTTTAACGCCACACGGACTACGTCAGTCCCAGAAACAACGAAGCAAGAATGAAACTACCTCAAACGTGAGGATATACTTGGAGAGGTCCCTACCTCACTTTTCTGAGTCTGTAGTTGATATTAGTGAGTGTCTATGAGTACAAAGACAGGACTTTCCAAACCACTGATAAGCTATGGCGCCGTTGATTGAGTGTCTTCAATTGCTTGTCGGAAAGAAGGGTATCAGATGTTTGCGGTGTTCCCAGTTTGGATGCTTGTTCCATGCCATCCCAGTTAATCCACTCAATCAAACCTTTATCCGCTGCGGCTTCAATAGTTTCCATCTCTTCTACCATCTCTTTTGCATCAGCTCTTGCCAGTGTCGGCTCTGGGTTGATCTTTATAGTCGGCGGCCGAATAATTAATTTGGGGCCAGTTCCCATCGTTCCGAGATCCTTGACTTCCTGCAATTCAGTGTTGTCTTTGGGTTCGATCTCGATATTGACGACCAATAACCTGGCTTCGATGAGGTGGACCAATCTCCCAACTGCGGTTGATGTGAAAGGCGCGCATCTCGGATCAACCTTGATGGCGTCGATCCAGCCCTGAACTTGAGATTTCACTTGAACGTTTCCTCCAGTGGTGGAAAAGAACTCATTACCAACGTCATTATAGAAATCGAGTAGTCCCTTGTACCCATATAGAATCCAGATGAGGAACTCAAGATACATACATCCGAGAGACCAGATATCGTATCGTCGTGATGTGGGCTTCTCGGTCTCGCCTGGGTTGTTAGCTTCTGGGGGAGTATATCGTTGTGTCCCACGCGGGGTTCTCGTCGGGTCAGGCCGAAATTCTGTTGCTTTCTGGTGGATTTTCGCATGCCCTGCGTCGGCAATCACCAGCTTTACGTTGGTTGGTACCTGACCTGGGCCAGGTAAAACATCGCAAAAGCAAAGTATGTTCTCGGGTTTGAGGTCGCCATGGCGGCATGAACCACCTGGATTGTTGACCGGGAAATGAAGGCTCTTCATGGCGCCAGAAATACCAAGAATTTGTCGAAAGAACCATTTGACGAATGTGTTCCAGGTTTCGCGACTGAAATTAAGGCAGTCGTCGCTCAAGCTAGGTTGCTTCTCCCAGAAGTCGTGGAGATTTCCGCCTTTCGCCCACGGGAAAACAAAGTAATGTTTTCGTGATTGGGTATATCTGGCAATGGCCTTGATGAAGTGGTCGTGCTTTTTCTCTTGAAAGTGGACCAGAACTGCCTCCTCGTTTTTGACGACTTCCTTGAATCGCGGCCCGAACCACTTTTCCGAAGTGAGTTCCTTCACAGCGACATGAGGATTTCCATCATCATCGACCACAGTACCCTGTAGAACATTCAGCTTTTATTTGCTCCCCACTCAAAAGGCACATGAATGTAGATAACCTACAACTTGGTCATCATTTGGGAACTTTGGAAAATCCAGGTGACTTTTGTGAATGACACGTTCGGTCACCGCACTGAAATTTGTTGCTCTGTGGGTGATTTCCTTCAGGAATGGCAACCTGCATCGCGGGTCGAACGTATAGGGAGAGCCGCTTTTCGAAAATACGGGAGGGAAGAAAAACCACTGGTGGGGATCTTCAATCGTGTGAATGATTGTTCTATCATCTGGCTTTGCAATGTGTATGTCGACTGATGCCTCAGACAAGGTTGCCTTGGTCTTGAATCGCCGCACTGTACATGTGTTTTTGTTCTTCTGCACAATTTTGACTGGAAATCTTGCATCTCCAAAATTCTGCTCGCAGAAGGCCTCGATCCAATGTAGGCGATCGATATGGATGAGAAGAGCACACAGCCGCTGTGCCTTGCTGATGAATGTTTGCAATCTATCACGATCAACTCGTGAGAGCTGCAGGGTCTTCAGCTCATCTTCTGCTGCGCTTACCACGTCTTTGACCTCAGACAACGGAATCCACGGTGGTGATGCACGCTCTGAGTCGTCATCTTCCAGCTCAGAGTCCTCGTCCTCCAGGTTACCTTGTAGTTCTCTTCCATTCTGCCCTCCTCCTTCAGGGGATCTCGGTCCCTCACTCTGTTCATACGTCGTTTGGACGGTCGCTGCGAATATTTTGCCTTGTAGTGATATTTCTGACATTGTGCCGGGCATCTGGGGTCTAATCTTACGACCAGATACCCGTTGAGACCAGGAAAGACTGCGCTGATTGGGCCCGCCAGCTGTACTATTCGAAGAGGCTGTTTTGATACGGCTAAGACTTGTGACCATTGTCGGAGATCGGGAGCTTATTGATGGGGTCCTTCGGAAGGATATTGTCTGTGACAGAACGCTCTCTCCAGGCCGGGGCCCGTTGCTTGGTATGACTTGCTCCTCTCCTTTTGCGAAGCAACCGCAGGTCAACTGATGCACCCACTGCCATTGGCCCATTTAGCCGGTATCTTTTCTGCACAGGAATTATGGCGCCAACGAACTGTGTCCAGTATGAAAACGAGGCAGCCTATCGTAGCTTTATTTTGGGGGGTAAGCTCTATGAAATATGGCTGCCAACGATTAAAGCAGCTGCTTCGGGACGTATTAGGTCGATAGCAGGGCATGTAGCCATTATGCACCATGTAAGAATTATTGCATGCATCATGCGGAATTTCACTTGGTCTGCTGCAGGTGCGGATTTTGAATGGTTGATCATGCATAATGCAACCACTACGTGGAGTTTCGGGGCTGTCGGTATACCAACATAGTCACCACGCAGGCTGCGGGGGCGCATGTATTAGTTCCCAAGTATGCAGAACACTGCCCACATAATGACTGTCACATGGTTCAACGACGCAGCCACCATTTCTTTCACAATTTACTTGCATAACCCAGCCTGGTGGTATAGTGAGGTATTTACCGCACGATACCACGCCATTCCTGGGAAGAATTCTTGCCAACGAGGCTGTGACAGGCAGGCATCAGTGAAGCGCGTAATCCAGCTCCCGAAGATCAATCATGTAGCTATTTTTCGTAGCTTTATAAGAGCAGTGCATTCCGTCAAGTCATCAGTGGCAGATAATTTTGTCGCATCCCAACAAAATTGGCACACCTGGCTTACGACAAGGTCTTGTACCAACTCTCGTTGACCGAACGCAACCATAATCTTTAGATAAAACAAACTCAGGTCTCTTATCCATGGATTTGTTTGCGAAGTTAGGCGAGGCCTATAGCGAAGACAAACTGGGAAACCGCAGGTACATTGCAAGGAGCGAGCTCGAGCAACTCGTTACCAAAGAGACCGTCGAAGAAGAGCTTCGACAAGCACATAAGCGAGGAATGTTTTCCTTGTTTCGAACAAAACGACAAGCGAGGGTCAAGCTAACCGAGAGAGTGATGGAAAAGGGACGAAAGTTATTTGCCACCTGCGTGTATCTCAGCCAGCCTTGGGGAGTCAAGCTTCTCCTCGACGCCCAATTTACAGATCATGATCTTCCTTTGACCAAGAATGGTAATTCCTTAACATGCGAGAGGAGCAGCAACAAGCGGTTCGACTGGCCTGCCGATTGGGAGTTACCAAAGCTGGACGTGTTCGTCGATAAGCAGTGGCTATTTTTGGCGCCTGTCTTCAGTACCACAGGCAATCATCAAACCATTGATCCAATGTGCCCTCTTCCTTTCTCGTCCGTGGACGAGGTGAAAGGTACAAACAACAATGTTGTATTCAAGGCCATGGTTCACCCTTCTCACCAAAAGGGATTTGAGGTGGGTGCAATTCTTTCGCGAATGATAGATCCGTTCTGGATGGCTGATCTGATTGATAGAATGAAACTCCAAGGCTCAAAGTCGCACTGAAAGAGTTCAAGTACAAGCAGGATTTTCAACAAGAGTTCAACAACCTCGACAAGATACGTGATTTAAAGCACGCGAAGCACATCACGCAGAAACTTGACTCCTTCAGGCAAGGGAACAAGAACTATATCATTTTCCCCTGGGCAGATGGCGGGGATCTCGTCGACGTATGGGAGAATATGGACGCCGAAGATAGATCGCCAGAACTTGCGCTATGGGGTCTAGAACAGATGCTTGGCCTAGCTGAGGCCCTCCAGGCTCTCCATGACGAGATGAAAGACCAGGAAAACTGTCGCCACGGAGACCTGAAGCCTGGAAATATCCTTCATTTCAAAACCAGAGGCTACGGCATCTTGAAAGTCGCTGACTTTGGCATTTCCAAGGTACATGTTCTGGGAACATTGCAGAGAAACGACCCCACGACAACAAAAGCAACGACTCCTGCTTACCAAGCCCCCGAAGGAGATTCGTCAAAGACAAGATCGCGTAAATATGACATCTGGTCACTTGGATGTATCTTCTTGGAGTTCACCTTGTGGATCGCACGCAGGAATACAGCCGTTAAGACCTTTGATGCCGTTAGAAAGGCAAAAACACCGGGTGATGAAGCTTACTTTTATGAGAAAGTCGAGAATGAGCCAGTTGTACTTCATGAAGTGCAAAACGCGTTCAGAGATCTGAGGAGTCTTGCTAAATGTGGCGAAGACACGGCATTTGGGCACCTGCTAGATATTATTGAGAACGATATGATCAAGGTCAAGGTCGAGGAAAGAATCGAAGCGGGGCTACTGTGCGATCGACTTAAAAGGGTCCTGAAGAGGGCGAGAGAAGACACCGTGTATCTGTTCAAGAATGGGTTAAGGATAGACAGCTAAGGAGTTGTTACATTGGTCTTTAAAGAATTGTACGTGGGCTTGGTGGCGTCTGTGACTTTCTGAAGGGAATTCCTCCATTCCACAATGGGGATTTTACATTGTTAAATCTGCACTCTTACTCGAACTCATTGAAGATTTGCGACGCAGCATTAATGATTTTCAATGTATTTCTCTGCTAAGGCCAGCTTCCATATCCAAGAAAGCTGTCGAATATTTGGAAGCCACATGGACTCCAATTGTATGCAGCAGATATTCTCCACTTACCTTCGCTATCTCTTCGTCGCGTTGGCCGGACGGCGACCTTGACGACCCAGTTGATAAGTCCATTGATTCTGCTAATGATAGCTGGGAATTTTCCGCGAATCCGCACGCATCCCATCCAGTGCCAGTGGACTGGGTTTTAAGACGTGTAGGGGTAGATCTACCCAGAAAGAATCGATAGACCCGGCCATCATACGTGAACGACACATGACTTCAAGAGCTTCGCGACTAAGACCCGATATAACGCATGGACGAGGACATACGCTGCATCCGTATGATTGCTTCAGGCCATCTGCAATGTCATAACTAGAATACGGAATCTGCAGTCGGATGGATATTGATCGCTGGGCGCGGGATTTTCCTCAGCTCCAATGTGAACCTATGGCGTCTTTTACCAATGTAAAATTAGCATCAGGCACATAAGCGAGCCAATGGTTGCATGGTGAGATTCGAAAGCTACGGGTGGTGTGCCACACGAACGCCTGTCAGCTGATGTATTTGACTGCGCAATCAGGCTGCTTAGATATCATCAGGCTCTGTTTCTCCACACTGTTCGTTCTCCTCTTGATTAATACAATACTCTTCTTCTCGACATCTTCTGATCTTACGGGTAAAACCCCGACGGGTCTTTGCTAGCCAACAGCGTTAGCCATTCATTTTATCGGCTCCGTCATGGCCGAGGCCTTCGCAGCGCTCGGCATCGCGGCCAACATCTTTCAATTTCTCGAACTCGGCTTCAAAGCCACACAAACCATCATCGCGACGTACCGCGACATTGATATTGATGGAATTGCTCAGCGCAACGGGGAAATTGCGCTTACGTGCTCCGATTTCGAGGAACATTGCCTCCGGCTGAAGAAAGACAAGGCTGTAGTGAAGGATGATGACTTGGCCCCGCTGTTGACAAGGTGCATCAAAACAGCGACGAAACTGAGTACCGAGGTTGACCGTTTGAGGTTCCCTCAATCTCAGCGCCACCGAATGTTGACCAAGGTTAAGATTTCAATCTTTTCTTATTGGAAACGTAACATGATAGAAGGCCTCCAAGCCGATTTGGTCGATATCAGGGCGCAGATCTGTTTCAGGCTTCAAGGGCTATTCTAGTACGTATGGTGTGTCTCCGGTATGACTAGAAGTCAGCAGTCTGAACTTAAGGTTATCCAGCGAACATCATCGTTCCCTTGCGATATCTGTGGACGCCTGGGGACAAGCGTCAAAGGCGTGGAATAGGGTCACTGAACAGAAATTGGATGTTATGGCCCAGCAGGTAAAGGACCTTTTGAAGTGGGAGTCGAAGACAGAATCTGGCGGAGTAAATGAATTGGCTCAAGCCCTGACAGCATCCGCTGAGGAAGCCAAAAGCCATGGCATCACTAGGGCTATCCTCGAAAGTCTTCATTTCACGCAAATCAAGGAACGACAAAACGAGATCCCCAAAGCACACAAGGACACTTTCGATTGGATCTTTCACGAAAATGGCCCTGGCAACTTCGTGAATTGGCTTAAAGGGTCTAACGGCATCTTTTGGGTCACAGGCAAACCTGGCTCTGGAAAGTCGACATTGATGAAATTCATCTCAGGCCACGAGACGACGAAACGTCTCGCAATGGCGTGGGCGAACCCTAAGCCACTCTTCATCGCTAGCCACTTCTTTTGGTTTGGGGGAACTAAACTACAGAAATCCCTAGAAGGCTTGCTGAGGACGTTATTGTTCCAAATTTTATCCACTGCCCCGGATGTCATCAGCAAAGTATTACCGGATCGCGTATTGGGACAATTTCAATACCTGGAGTCATGGACCCTAGAAGATCTTTATGAAGCATTTGATCATCTTCAAACCCTTAAGACATTTCCCTACCGCATCCTCATCCTAGTCGATGGGCTTGATGAGTACAGTGGCCAGGTTACCGATATAACGACATTCCTGCATACTATCACGAAGTCGCCCGAGATTAAGGTCTGCTGTGCCAGTAGACCCTGGCAGGAGTTCCACAACGCGTTCAGCAATGCATACGGTCAAATTGAAATGCACAGTCTCACGTCCGAGGATATGCGGCTCTACGTTCAAAACACTTTAGAACAGAACGAACAATTTAAGACGCTTCAGTCATCACATCAAGCGCAAGGAGAAATGCTGATCGATTCTATCTCAACGAAAGCTGAAGGAGTGTTCTTTTGGGTTTCTCTAGTTGTGAAATCACTTCTAAGAGGCCTCGATAACAACGATGGGCTCGAACTTTTGCAAAGAAGGGTCTCTGAATTTCCCCGTGGTCTTGAACCTTTCTTGAAGAGGATGGTCGAATCTATTGAAGACGTGTACAAGCCTGAGGTGGTCAGAGTCTTCTCCATGTTGCTGATGGCCAATGCGCCATTGCCTTTAATATTGTTCAGGGCTCGAAATTCCAATTTAGTTCTGGAAATGGAGACGAAGAGCTCGAGCACCGGAAGTTCCCGGTGTGAGACACTGCGAGAAACTGCCAACGCAAGAAACAACCAGCAGTCACTTCACCATGGCGAGCTACAGACTGGTGATCCAGGTATCATTGACGAGATCAACCTCTCCAATGACTTTGATGGGGGCACGAGAAGTCTCCTTCGGTACAAAGAAAGACTGCTATCACATTGTCGTGATCTGGTTCAGGCATGGCAAGTCGCCAACTCTGACCTCCCCTACCATCACACCAACATTCGATTGGGCTTTCTCCACCGAACGGTGGTTGAGTTTCTCCAACAGAGAGAGAATTGGCCTGCGATTGATGACCGAATCTATCTTGATCGATACTTCTTAGCGAGATCCTGCCTCTGCGTTCTTTCGGCCACCACGATCCACAAAAATGTCAATACGGACTTCATACGATGGTTTTTATACATTCTTCAAGAGACGAGTTCTTGGACCGATGACCTGGCTTACAATGATGGCTACATGCTGTTTCGTCGATGCGAAGAGCTCATACAAGTCCTCAACACCGGCACAGAATCCCTCCTGGGACGTAAGGATGTCAATGTGGATGGACTTTTTCGATTACTAGCAATTTCTCAGGCACGCATACTAATTCAAAAATATCAATACGAGCAGAGCGATCAACACGCCAATTACATCCAATACTACGAGGACCGAAAGAGCGATTCTATCCTACGACATATCCTTCGCGGCTCAGGGTATATTGAAGTTGGTGACCGTCCTCGGGAAGTCATGTCGGACTTTGTCGACTTGGAGTTGCTGAACAACGTACTCAAGATCGACGGATTCAAGAAACACATTGTTCAACCCCAAAATAGCGGGAGGTGTCCCCGTTTGCTCAGCGTCTGGGAAACATTTTTCACCAGACTCTCAAGTCCGGCCCACGAATTGAGACCACGAAACGGATACGAAGCATGCGAGATAATGGCCAAGAATGGGGCGGCAAGAGTGGCATTCATACCTGGCCAAAGAGATGTCGACGTGATGCAGCATCTGAGGGAAACCAATACCTTTCCCGAGGATAAAATTAGAGCACTTGAGTCATTGTTCCCATCAGATACGTCCGCCGATCAAAGACAGCCGAAGAAGAAAGGAAAAAGGCCTGCTCGCCGTAAGGGTAAAAAGAAAACATAGAGGGGGGCCAATGTTGCTTGTAGAGAAGTTGTGTTTGTTTTCTTTTTATGTATGTGCCTCTGACTCGTGTGTGGACACTCAAGTTAGCCGTTCATTTGGCTTGATGTCGGCAAGTTGTGGAATGCAGATCGCGTGGCATTACCTTGATCTGAGCGGGCCTCATAGTTAAAACCGTATCTCGTGAGTTGGGGGACAAACCACTCTACGGGCGCACTTAGCAATCCTTGAGTACGAATGTCCTTTGCAGCATTTACTGCATCCTTGAGTTGCATGCCGTAATAAACAAAATCTTCACTCACTATGATGGGACTCGCCATGACCATGAATCTGAGGATGGGCTATGAAAACCTTACGAGTTCACTTTGATCAGATCACAGTTGGTCAAAAGCACCATAATACGCATCAATCTGAATAACAGCCCAGCTCGGAAAATGCTTTCACCCCCACCAAACGCCACGATGCAGCCGTGTTTCTCCATCACCGTTGAAAACCCTCCCAGACCAGCAATCTCATCCGCTCGCCTTCAGTCTTCACCCAGACTCTCCCGCACACAAGCCCTACACCTCCTGCGGAAATCCTTATTCTTGCCCTCCCTCTCTTCGCGAAACATGCGCGCAGCCTCAACATTGGCAGGCGACTCGTCGTTGGGCCCGTGGAACAGGCTGATTGTGCTCAGCAGGATCGTCTCGGGGCTCTGCACGGGGCTCCAGCGCTCCGAGGCGGCCTCGTAGCCGTACTGGTCCTCCTCCGGCGGGTGCAGAATCGAGATGCACAGCCGGCCGTCCGAGTAGATATTCGGGTGGAACGGGATCGGGGTCTGGAAGGTGAGGGAGGGCGGCATGAGGGGGTAGGTCTGCGGGAAGGTGAGGCGGGCGCGGAAGTTTCCTCCTGTGCGGGCCGGGAGCGTTAGCTGGTGTGGGATAGGCATGGGGTGAAGAGGATGGAGAACGTACCGCCGTAGTACTTGCAGTCGTCGCTGATCATGAGCATGACCTCCCACTCGAAAATGTTGTTGTCGTTGACCAGGCCGCACGAGATGCCGGGGATGTCCTTCCCCGTCTGCATCTCCTTGAGCTGGCGGCGCAGCAACGAGGCCGCCGCTGCGGATGACGAGGCCATCGGTGCAATTTATTTGTGGATGTGTGTTCGTTCGGTACGTAAAATCGATTCGGGGTTTTTCTCCTCGGTTGCGTCAAGGCAGCTCGTGTCTAGGGGCCAAAGAAGGAACTCTGATCCAATCGGCGAGGAAGGCAAGGTAACGCGTAGAAGGGACGACTCGACGGGGGAAATCGTCGCAGTGATTCGGGTTTGCCCGTGGTTTCGCAGGGTCGAGGACGCGTTTAGACGACAGCGTTGCTGTGGATGGCGGGGAGGAGATAGAAGGCAAACGGAGCTGTCGTGTGGTGAGGTCGTCGAAATCGGAGCCATTGCGTGTGGGGTTACCCGAACTGCAGGGGGCCGGGGGTGGCGTCTTCACCGAGGCTCACCGACTAGCTTCGGTGAAGACACCCAAATGCCTGACCGACCACCGATACCATCATCACCCAATTCCATAGCCCATGACCAGATTTCACCTACTTGCATTGTCATATCCTCAACTCTAAACCCTTACCAGACTGGAGGGAGGGGGTATCATTTGTGTTGCATGCTGATCCAACCATCCACCAATCACTTCTTCTTCGACGTCCCAAACCCGCTAATCCCCATCGCAGCCATCATATCATCCTCGTCGTGCTCCCCCTCAATCCTCACATCCTCCCCATACTCCGTCTTCACCTTTTCCGCCTCCTCCGCCTTCACCCTTCTCCGCTCATCCGCCTCCTTCCGCTTCCTCCTCCTTTCCTCCGCCTCCTTCAAACTCTCCTCCTCCCGCAGCGCCAGCCTCTCCTCCAGACTCGTCACCTTCTCCTTCTCAAAGTCCACCTTGCGCTGCCACAGCATCTCAATCCGCTCCCTCACCTCCTCCGCCGTCGCGCGCCGCACCTCCGTCGTCTGCCCCGTGTTCGCCAGGTGCTGCGGCGTGTTGAGGTGCTCCACGAACTGCTTGTTGTCCTTGAACGTCAGGTCGCACGCCTCGCAGTAGAAGCCCGCGCCGCGCCCGCGTTTGCCCACGCCCGCGCCCGCCGGGACGAGCTGCGTCTTGCCCACCTGCGCGCTGAGGTCCAGCACGGTGCGCCGCGCCGAGGTCATCGTCTCGTTGCCCGTCAGCGGCTTGTGGTACTTCTTGCCCGCGAGCTTCGCCTCGTAGCGCGCCTTGGACTCCTCCTTCTCCTTGGCCTCGCGGTCTTTGGCCTTTGCGGCGTACTCGTCGAGGTCCCACGTCTTGCGGAAGTCGGTGTCGCCTGCGGGCGCGCCGTACGCGCTGCCGTTCTTGTCGGCCATTGTGTGTGTTTGTGATGCTTCGGTGCGTGAACGCGTAGTTTCGGTCGGTATTCTGTATTCTCGCCCGTCGCAGGTTTCGATGAATCGAGTTGGGGAGATTGATGGTGATTGATGGTCGACGTAGGATAACTGATGTTCGGAGAGCGCGGCCAACAGTCCCAAGACGCGTCGATGATGAAATTTGGTGTCTGGGAGATATGGCTTGACTGGGGACCTGATTAGCGGATGAGGCTGCAGGGATTCAGGCCAGGGAAAATTGGGAGGGGCGGACGAGACATGGTCCAGGGGCGTCTCGGTGGTGGGGTTGCAGCGCTAAAAATTACCTACCCCTCCAACCCCTCCCCCTCCAAAGCCGCAGAGGAAAAAAAAAAAAGTAAATGGACATGCGCTCGGTCTAGAAGGCGTCGACTCATTCTTCTGCTTTTGCGACCTCGAGAGCAAAACAGCTTCATCCCTTCCTCTATTTACCCCCAACAGAGCCGCCAAAATGCTGTACCTCGTCGGTCTCGGTCTCTCTGACGAGACAGACATCACCGTCAAGGGCCTCGAGGTCGTCAAGAAGGCCTCCAGGGTCTACCTGGAAGCCTACACCAGCATCCTGCTCGTGGACAAGGCCATCTTGGTGCGTCTATCTCCAATCACACCTCTGTACACCCCTTAGAGTAGGCCAATCCGACTAACATATCATTCCCTCTGCGCAGGAGAAGTACTACGGCCGCGAAGTCGTCATCGCCGACCGCGAAATGGTCGAGTCCAACAGCGACGAGATCCTCCGCGACGCCCAGACCGTCGACGTCGCCTTCCTAGTTGTCGGCGACCCCTTCGGCGCGACCACGCACACCGACCTCGTCCTGCGCGCGCGCGAGCTCGGCATCCCCGTCTCGACCGTCCCCAACGCCTCCATCATGTCCGGCATCGGCGCCACGGGCCTGCAGCTCTACAACTTTGGCCAGACCGTCTCCATGGTCTTTTTTCTGGATAACTGGAAGCCGGCCTCCTTCTACGACCGTATCCGCGAGAACCGCAGCATCGGCCTGCACACGCTGGTGCTGCTCGACATCAAGGTCAAGGAGCAGAGCCTCGAGAACATGGCGCGCGGGCGCAAGATCTATGAGCCGCCGCGGTACATGACGGTCGGCCAGTGTGCGGCGCAGATGCTTGAGATTGAGGAGGAGAAGGGCGAGGGCGTGTACGGGCCCGATAGTCTGGCGGTTGGCGCGGCGAGGGTGGGCGGCAAGACGGAGAAGTTTGTGGCGGGCACGCTGAAGGAGCTGTGCGAGACGGATGATATTCTGGGAGGACCGCTGCACAGCATGGTTCTGCTCGGAAGAAGGGCGCATGAGCTTGAGAGGGATTACATTCGCGAATTCGCGTTCAACAAGGAGACGTTTGACAAAAGCTGGGAGGCGGATTATGGGAAGCAATAGTCATCATTCATGTCCCGTTCTTCGGGTTGTTGGTGCTGATTCTTTTCCCTCATTCCCTCAAATGACGCTGCTAATGTACATGTTCTTCATTGACCATAATCACCGCAATTAAGAGGAAGCCGAGCGGTACTGCTCGACCTCGGAGGACGAGATCTCGCGAAGCTTGTTGACGTGGGCAGGGCTGCCGGTCACGATGCCCTCGGCGACCTGGGCAACCTTGCCAACGATGTTGGTGTTGCTGATGGCGTACGTGGCGCTGACCGTCTTGACGCGGATGACGCCGATACGGGGGTCGTTCTCAGAGCCGTCGTGCTTGCCATCGCCGAGATCACCGAGCCATGCCTTCAGCGAGGAGCTGTAGTGCTTCTTGACGATGGATCGGTCGGTGAGGACGCTTGACACTCCTGAGATGGAAGCCCAGTCGCCGGAGCTGTTGTAGAAGGCGATGTTGACGTGGGGATCGCTGTCGATCTCATCCGTCTTGTGGGACTCTGTGTTGGTGAAGAAGAGCAGGTCGATGCCGCCGTTTTCCTGGGAGGCGTTAGGATTTCTGGCGCCAGCATGGGGCGGAAATAAGCTTACCGTGGCTGCAACACCCATGCAGCGGGAGACGAGGGCGCCCGACTTGGCATCTCTGGTCGTCATCATGCCGAACTTGCTCTTGTTGGCGAAGTTGACGAGGTCCTCGACCTTGTCCTTGACGGAGACATTGGTGTCCTTGTTGGTGGCCTTGTAGGGGTCGGCGGGCTTGTCGCCGGTGGAAGCGTTGGAGAAAGACATTGTGACTAGTTTGTGGTGTTTGTTGAATGATTTGTTTGCAGACGAGGTCAATTGGACAGTCGTTCGCAGATGAAGCTCCGTTTGCTAGTATCGTGAAATGTTGTGTGTGAGAACAAGATTGATCAGCCGCACTTTGGACAGCTCCTCCTATTTGAACCCCAAGGCCAAGCTGACCTCATTGCCATAGCTACCACAGCTGCAGAAGGAACGGCCATTTCATCATAGAAGGGCGCTCGTTACGTGACTGCTGCCCCAGCGTTGGGGAGCTTGAGCTGTAATGGGCAAGACATCATGACGTCAAGAGCGGAGGGAGCACCTGCGGTTCCTGCACAAGCTGCACAACGTGCACAAATCGTAGCGCGATGTGGCACGATGGGGGCACCGCGATGGACGCATTTTATGGGGATAATTCATCATTGATCGTCTGTAGTACATCTTCTAGGCGCTGGTCCAGAATGTGCGCCGCTCGATGTTTGGGCCATGGCCACGAGTGGGTGACATTTGCGGATGATGATTTTGAGGGGAAAGCAGCATTGAGAGGTCTGAGCTACCTTCCTACCTACAGCGTATGGATGCAGTTTCCTGCGCCCAATGGCAGGGAGCCATTCACCACGTCGCGTGGTACAGGAATTGCCCGTTTGGGGAGTGTCACTCAGCTTGTCGGGGTCTGTGCCTCTCGTCCTTTTTTTTTTTCTTCCCTTTTTTTTTTCTGTTTCTTTTTCTGCCCTCTCATTGCTCATGCCCTCGCACGGACATGAGACACAAGACAAGCCAGAGTGACAGCCAGCAGGCTAGGCAATTCGGCCGAGCTTCAGCTTCCGGATCTTATGTACGAGAGGGGTCGTCTGCGAAGACGAAGCGAAGACCAGACTGGACGCGACGCCCATGTCCGCCGTGACAGCTCCGCGATCCGATCTTGCGATCAAACAGCGATCGTAAGGCATTACGGGAAGCTACATCCACAGTACAGAGGTTGTACATAATTGGGTCTCTCCCCCGCAATTGTCATGCCCATTGAATTTCGGATGCCAGGCGTGCCAGGGTCAGTCACTTCAAGCTCTCGCACTTTGTAGTAAGGTCGTCTGGCGCGGCGGCAACTTGAGTCTAAAAAGGAGCTTCCCGCTGGAGCAACGAGCAGAAGTGGCACGCTGTCCGCCAATACGCGTGCGGTGCCTTTGATATTGAGAGTTTGCAGAGGCGCAACTATGTTGAAGCCTTCCGCGATCCTGCAGCATCCACGTACCACACGACTGGCGCCGACCGTGAGGACGACAGGCGAGAGAGACAGCAGCACGAAACAACAAGTCGTCAGATAAGACACCTCACCCACGCACCCACGCACCCCTGCCTGCCGACCTGCCTGATGGATGGCGGGCTGGGCTGCCCCTCCCCCTCCCTCGTCACCATCCGTCCAGACTGTCCCGCTCCGGGCTCCAGGTCCCGGCCAGGTCCAGGTCCAGGCCCCTTCCCTTCGCGCATCCGTGGACACGCATCGTCATTCCCCCATCCCGCTGGGCATCGAAATCTTCAGAGTCATCAATGCAGCTGTGATGCGAGTAATCTTCGGGCAAGTGCAGCCGCCCCACATTGTCGGGAGGTCGCCAACACAATTGGTGCACCGCTGCCCTTGCCTGCCCCGATGCATTGTCAATTCGTGGCAGTCCGTCCAGGCTCGTTCCTTCTCTCTGCACCAGATTCTGCATTTGCACCTCAGGCAGGGCGCATTGGCAGCAGGCACAAGGCAGGAGGAGACAGTCTTAGCCGTAGATGCCATAGCTGAAGGGAGCATCAAGGCAGATGGACGGCAGGACTGAGGTAGATGCTTTTGCTCCTGCTCCTGCTCCTGCACCTGCCTTCCCGAATCGCCAGTGCTTGCAGCTTCCCTGCCAGCCGCAGAGCAAAGGAAGGAGCCTAAATGCGAATATGGAAAGAAGCTCTCAGTTCGGAGTTTCGGCGGACGTCGGCACCGTCAAAGCTGAGACGGCTTTTCACTGGACGGGCACTGTACACTTCAGGTAGGTGCCAGCACCTCAGCCAGTGGAGGAAGGAAGGCATTGGGCGGGCTCTTGCTCTTTCTTTCCCCATGCATGCAGATCCAGCCAGCACCAGCGCCTGCCACTGACCACCGTCCACCGTTCCGTCCACTGCCCACCTGCCCATTCATCATTCATTGCCTGCAGCCAGACCTTCCGTCGCTTGTCGCTTCCTGCCTTCCATTGCCTCCCTCCCCCCTTCCGTCTCCTCTGCCAATAGTCAGTCACAGTCTTTTTTTCCTCGTGATTGCCCGCCTTGGAGCAAACGTCGTCCTTTTCTCCATCTTCATCCTTTCCACCTCATCCCACCTTTCGATGCAGAAAAGTCCAGGACTGAACTGCCCCAGTCCGTCTTCGCTCTGCCCGCAATCTCTCGCCCCTGTCGACTGATTCACGGAGTTTACCCGGGACTGCGCGCTGACGGAAATTCCACGACCGATACGACGCCGCGCCGACTCAGGAGAGCGAGAGAGCACCTCACACTTCAATCCGCTCTCTCCTCGCCATCTTTCCGCACTAATTGCCTCCCGTTGGCTTTTCGTCCGACTCCATCCTCGACCGTCGTCGGCCACCTGGAATCGTCATCCGCAACTGCCGCTCGATTTTCCCCCATTTTCGCGACTCATACGCCTTGTCTCGACTTTCTTTCCTTCTTATCCTTCACTCTCGCCTCTCCGTTTCCTCCGTCTTGACTCTGCTTGTCTGACCCTGACCCCCAATCGACCCCTCCACGAACGTCAGGACGAACGCCCCATCCCACATCCCTCCCAAAACCTTCGTTTCACCTTTCTTCATTGAGCCGTCGGTTGCATCGCAAACACGACTTTGTTCATTCAGCGGTCATACCCTGCCTCATCGAAACTCTGCCCCGAGCTTTCATCGCTGCGAATTTTTTCACTTCCCGATGAGCTTTTTCGGCGATTGAATTCGACGCCGCTTATTTGACCTGAAAACCTGCAGCAACGCCCAACCTGCCTGCGTCGGCTCCTCTCAATCAACTGCCAAATTCCCACCCACGTCTCATTCGTCACTTTTGTCGGACGAGTTCCGCTTGCATTGGACCCGCAAGCTGACTAACCAATTCAACGTCACTCCAACTTCATACCAGTGATTGCGCCAGCCCTTCACGATGGCGCATCGCGACATGGTTGGTTTATCTTCTTTTTTTGCAATGAATCTGCAGTTTTCTGACCTAGCTACAGGATGTCGTCATGCCTTGGGAGTGTCGTGATGTGGAGGACCAGGCCGAAGCTCACTTCAATGCACCCCTGCGCGGCAAGAACAAGGCACTTACAGACGAGAATGCCAGGCTCAAGAAGCTGCTTCGCGAGAACGGAATCTCCTGGTCGCCCGTATCAGCCAACTACCAGAAGCACCACCGTCCCAGCGGTCGACGCACGCGGTCTTCCATCTGCTCCGAGTCTCACCCGTATCCGTACCTGCCGACCGAAGTCTTGCTGCGAATTCTAAAGTACTCCCTGACGTCCAACAGCCCCATCATTGATCCTTTGTCCAAGCTGAAGCCCGAGAACCTCACAACTGGCGAGCGCACCCGCGACAATCAAATCGCCATCCACTTTTTGGCTACTTGTAAGGCCATGTACGAGGAGGGAAGCCGCATTCTGTGGAACCAAAACACCTTTGTCTTCACCAACCCCGATGCAGTCCGCAACTTCGCAGACCTCGACTTCGCCTACCGCAAGAACGTGAAGCACGTCAATTTTCGCATCATAGCCCAGTACTTTGACGACAAGAAGCGGAAGCACAAGCTCGACCGGTCCTACCATCCGTCTCTCAAGAATGACGTGACTCTTCGGACTATTCCCCGTGTCAACGAGCACACTTACGCCCGTGCCGGCTTCCGCTGTTACACCTGGGGCCAGGTGACAGATTTCCTGCGTGCTCTTCGTGCCCCGTACGACCCCAAGCACGACAAGAAGCTTGTTCGGCCTCGGCTGTTCCCCAACCTTGAATCGCTCCGCATTGATCTCGTCAATTTCATGGACGACTTTTTGCCAATGCCTGGCAGCGACCTTCACGACATGGCGTCGCATGAGCTGGGATGCTCGCTCAACGAGTTGCAGGTGACTGGATTGCCGATAGATGACGCGGGCAGCAAGGCGACAGCGGAGCTTACCGGACTGCTCAGAGACGAGGGCCTTTTCCTGGCTGGCTTGCCTTCCTTCGTCCAGCTGAAGAACAACTTGAAGGCCCTCTCTGGCATATCCAGCTGCGCCCGTGTTGTGAGGGCTTGGAAGACGCTGAAGCCCAAGAAGACTGAAGGAGACGCTGACGATCACGACTCGGACTCGGACTTGGACTTCGACGACCACCATCACCCCCGTGAGCCCATCATGCCTCCTGCGCCACGGGAAACGGGTCACCCAAAGTCAACTCCGAGCCGCAAGGATCTCACGATCTGGAAGCGAGTCCCCAAGACTAGGGATGGTGACGAGCGCCAGTGGACTGAGTTCTGTCGTAGCAGCGGCTACCCCATGGAGGATGTCGAGGAATACATGAGTGACGACGAGCTCGGAGTTTGCCCTTGCTGCGGAGAGCCCCATCCTAGTTTGTTGGAGCTTCTCGAGATGGAGGGCGACGATGATGACGAGCTTTGAAAGATTAGGTGAGAAAGGGGGCGTTGTATCTGATCTCGACCGGGGCGAACACTTGCACATCATGGCACGGAGTAACATGGACTGATTGGCTTTGGAAGAACTATGACTATGAATTTAAGCAGGTAGGTCACGGTTCTCGGAAGGAAAAGCTCACGGAGTTGTGTTGCTCAGGTCATGAGATTATGATACCACATTCTGCTAGGAGCACATAGATACCACTTGTAATGAAACCCAGAGGTCGCCTCTGTACGCATCAAATCAATCTGTCGTTCTTGTTCTAAACAATGTCAGCTTTCCCCATTTACCAAAGACTTACCTATACTTTCGCAGACTGCCCAGCAGTCGCCTCTTTTCCCGTATCTCAGTCTCCAAGTCCTCCAGCTTATCCAGCAACTTGTCAATATCGGTCTGAGCTTCAGAGAACACGTCCCGGAGCTTGAACACATCCCAGTCCGAGGAGACTTCATACTTGTCGACCTCCAACACCTTCCTCCTCCGCCTCCGGTACCCATCAACCCGCGGCGCATACAAGTCAAGAAACCCCGTGCCGGCCTCCACGCCGCCCCATCGCCCCCTCTCCCGCCGCTTCGCATCCTCGATATCGCGGTTCACGTCGTGGACACGCCTCTCGACCTCGATCAGATGCGCCTGTAATCTGTCTATATCCTGGCATGTCGCGGCGATCAAGGCGCGGAGTTTCCACGTGTCCCATTCCGCGTCGATGTCGGCCTGCGCGACGCGGAGGGGTTGGTGGGGTGGCCGCGGGAGGGCGGAGGGGGTGAAGAGCGTGTCCCAGTCGCGGGCGAGGTCGGTGGGCGAGAGGAGGGGCTGGGCGGACTCGTAGTCGGAGAGGAGGCGATGGAGGCGCAGGAGGAAGGGGGTGAGGGAGATGGAGGGACCGGTGAGGGAGTGGTAGGTTGCGACGCCGGCGGTGGGGAAGGGTGAGGGAGGGGGGATGGAGGGGGAGGTGCGGCGGGGCGGGGGAGGACGGGGGACCATGGGTGTGTTTTGGGGGTTGTTGGTAGGTTTGTGGATGGGGTTTTGGTGTTGAGGTGGTGGGGGGGTTGAGAGGAGATGTAGGCGCCGGGTAGTCGGGCGTAGAACGACTGTTTTTGACTCAGTTGCGGTATAAAGGTCGTACCTCTGTCATTGTCTTCCCACAATATCGTTGCTCATGCGTTTGACGAACAATACACACCTTGGAGACGGCAAAACCAAACGAGGGAGTAAAGACAAAAAAGGACAGGGGAATGAACAGATGTGTTTAACAATGAAAATAAGAGGTGGTACCCAATTTCTCAATCAGTACTCAAGATCATGTTCATCTTTGTCACACAATATCTATCTCATGAAGAGTTTTGAACGAAAACGACTATGTAGAGGATGAGTTGACTCAGTTGGGTTAGCAACGCCGTTGATTGATGATAACTTTAGTGTTCCAAAACACCATCAACACGTGGTAAGACGTAAGAATAGACAGGCCTCTGCTTAAAGTAGGCGTGCTTCACCGAATTACGTCAAATCGCTCATCCATAGTGACTCATTACACACAAGAAACTTAGCGTTATTGGAAGATTTGAGGTTCTGTCGTCGTGAGGTTTACACTTCGATACGAATGCCCTATTTCCGTCGTCGTCTTTCCGTAGGGGACTAAACACTGCGTCGCCGCGGCAGGGGCCTGCAAAACGTGCGAGACGGATAACAAAGAAAATGTTTCAGACGTTTTTTTTTTTCCTATTTCTTTTTCATTCCCCTCTCCCCCATTTGTATCTATCAGTAACAACGATGCAGAGTAGCAGGCTGATGAACCTCGCAGCATTCTTCAACGGATTTTGCCGGTGAAAGGCAACGGTTGCAGGGGTTGTGATAAGCGTCACCTTTTCTCAGCGGCTGCAGGCGATGCTGCCCCGGTGCAGGAGTCACCGGGGTGTGTGGCCAATGAAGATCCAACGCCGAGCAACTCGCCCACATCCCAAGCACAAGACGTCCTCTCCCCCCAATCACATCGCAGCGGTTTTTATTCCACAAAGCACGATTCCCGCGTCCGCCGAGCAGTTCCAACCGCTGTTGCGACATGTGTCATTTTCATCGTTGTTGGTTCGCGTGAGCTGTAAGTGGGGCCGTCCATTGGAACCCCCATGTTGCATTCGGGCCATATTTAGGGGGGAAGGTCCCTTCCAACAGACATCGAGTTTGTCTCCCACTTGCATGTCCCAAGCCAAGGTAGGCGAAGAACTCCGGAATTCGAAATCGCGCAGGCAGCCAAACGCCAAGACAGTGAATTGAATCATCGCCGCTTTGGCTATAGACTCGTGACAATGCAGACCCCACCGGACACAGAGAATGTACGATCTTTGACATTTAGGACAGACTCTTTATACCGTAGAGGTCGTTGGACCCTTGCTGACAGTCTTCGCTTCCAATCTAGCCTATCAATGCGGACGACGCGTCCGAGGTTGGAGACGTAAGTACACTTCTGCCCCGCTACGTACCCCTTAGCACACAGTGTCAAGAATCTAAGATATTGACCTAATGTAGGTTCACGAGGCCTCATCGTTGGTATCTCTCAGGTCTAGCATTATGGAGAATCAAGTGGAGAATGGCAGAACTTATCATTCTTTAAGCGCGGGGAGTATGTCGTTATGATAACCCGAACACGGCCAAAAATTAATTAATGCTGACATTGCAACACAGAATATAGTTATCCCAACGACGACGTGAGCTTCAAGCCCCTTCACTCGTGTTCAGATGATGTAGACTTTCTAACTGGGGCGTGAATTGAAGAGGGAAAGTGAACGTTATGGTGAGCCATTCTACAAGAGCCCTTTGGGGCCTCTTACTGCGCTGCGTAACTCACGCCCTCTGCAGACTTACAACACCACGTCTGGTTGGTGTGCTTCGACGGCGAATTGGCACTCAATCCTGGTCATAGGACTGCCAAAAGAGTTCTCGACCTTGGAACCGGGACGGGCGTATGGGCAATCGACTATGGTAAGCCGAAACACTGGCATCAATTCATCTCCCGAGGCCACTGGCTTACGTCACACGATAGCGGACGCATTTCCCGCTGCAGAGGTAGGAGCAACGACAAGCAAGGAATATGTTCACTGAGTTGATAAGAGTACTCACGTTAGGTTATCGGCGTTGACCTCAGCCCGATCCAGCCTGAATGGTAAGAATGAGGTAATAATGCCATTTGTGCGTCTCGGGCTTAGGGTGTTCACAGGACACCTACAAATTGCTTCTTCGAGGTTGATGACCTTGAGAAGGAATGGCTATGGAAAACCCCCTTCGACTTCATCATGTGCCGCGGCATGGCCGGTGCCTTCGCTAACGTACCTGCCATCATTCAGAAAGTCTATGAGTAAGTACTACCCTACCATATCGCAGGTTTGGTGAAAGGCCAAGGCTGTCACTTCCCGGATTTCACTTCCTACCATTCATCGCAAATTCTATTTACCAGATGATAGACTAATGATCTTGTGAAACCTCTAGTAATCTCACTCCTGGTGGCTGGTACGAGGTCGGTGATCTCGCCCTCCCCCTTGGCTGCGACGACGACACCGTGTCCAAGGACTCAGCCCTTTGGAAGTGGCACGATGCTGTTTATCAGGCATCGAAGCAAATGGGCAGACCGATCGACAGTCTGTCGGTTCACATGGATACCATGAAAGCGACGGGCTTCGTTGACATGAAGCTGCACGAGTTCAAATGGCCTCTTAACCAGTGGCCCAAGGACCCGCACCTGAAGAACCTCGGCGATTGGCAATTTCACAACCTCAGCATGGGCCTCGAAGCAATCTCACTTGCTCTCCTTACGCGCGTGATGGGTTGGACCAAGGAGGAGGTCTTCGCGCTGTGCGCTTTGGCGAGGAAAGAGCTTCGCAGTCTCAAGATCCACGCGTACTGGCGGATGTGAGTGCGACGCGTGTACTTGAGTGACGTCGAAGATGCTGACGCTGGGGGTAGACAGTGTGTGTATGCCAGGAAGCCTGAGATAGGAGAGGATGAGCAGTAGGAGTGCCGAATGATTGGTAGTCGGACCAACCGCACCAGCATTTGCCATTCAGTGAGATGGACACAGTCTTAAGTGGCACGATGATCATGTACCCAAGCAACTAAATGTCTTTCATTTGTGAATACATTATGCCTATGCGTTGCTGCAAAAACTACCTCTGGTGATATATCTCTCTTAGATGTCCTCAGCAACTTTCATCCCTTCAACCCCGATTAGCGACATCTTTCAACAGGACACCGGCGGCAAGCTTTCCAAGGTTATTCGACGTAAGCAATGAGTCGCCCGTCAGTAGGTACCGGTCTTGCGGGCCCTCGACTGGAGCCAGCAAGAGGTTCTCGCGCTGTGCGCGTTGGCGCGGAAGGATCTGCGCAATCGCAGGATCCACGCGTACTGGAGAGTGTGAGTACAAATGAGGTATTAAGTGAGCGGCATCGGTAGCTGACATTTAGTGCAGGCATTGCGTTTACGCTCAGAAGCCTCATGATGAGAAGGAGGCATAGCTGGGGTTGCAGTTCTTTTGACAAGACTTGCGTTCAATTGAATGTGGAGGAAGGTATTGTGCATCATCTTCACAAGTCGCAATCGGTTTCCGCGTTTTGTCGTTGATGGGGTGTTATAGTGGAGAGAATATGGACTTTCTGCATGGTAATAGATGTCGTCCTCGGCAAGCGCATGGGCTCCCCGGCTTCGACTGTCCTAACCGAAGAAGGTTCTGCCGGTATATTGTAGTCATAGCCAACATGGCTTCGCTCAGCACCACATTCAAACTGCTACATTCAAGCCTTGCAACGACTTGATGTTTGTGACGTCTCCGCTTTCAGTCGAACCCAGAGGGGTAAACATGGCCAGAACGTGGATGCAGCTGCAAGCTTATGCAGCAATCACCTCGCAAGCCAGAAACATCTGCAGCCGTGGGCCTTTTGGTAGACGTGTCCAATCATGACCAGTATCGGTCCTGCAGTCTACTGAAGCGAGCCAATCAAAGTTGTTGCAGAGTTATCTTAGGATCTGACACGAGAATATGAGCCAACGGGACTTTGGTCCCCGGCTCATGTTTGCTCGTTGGTGGCTTGTTTGGGAGTTCACCCAAACAACGCGGTGTGTTGGACGCGAAGATCCACGTACCAGCCGCAATTTAATACTGATTCTCCCCACTTCTTAATTGAGAATTGGGAATCAACTTCGGCCACTCTCTCGGGCAACATGCTGGCACAAAAGCAGCACCCGGAAGTCCCAAACAAGAGAATTACCACTGGAGGATTTTAGTGACGCGCAAACGGTGTGATTTCTGTATTCTTCTCTTACCTTTGCCTACTTATTGACCCCGCAACAACTTAGCCCGCTGAAGTGGACCCCTCGTCCGACTATGAAGAGGTAATAACAGCCCCAGCCCTCAAAGGGATCAGGCCTAGAAACAGGTCTGAAAACAAACGTCTCGAGTGATTGCTTGGGGGCTATTACACACAATCCATTGGACAGATTGCTGAGTTTCAGTCCAGAGCCTCGAGAGATCGACACTGAAGTCCCTCAGATCGAGTATACGGGAGCACCAGAGGGAGAATGGACGAACGTATCATTCTTACTGCGCGGGCAGGATGACGATTCACCGGGCATGGTTTCTCTGATGACAAACCTGAGCTGACGGAAACGACAGAATACAATTACCCAAACGATGATGTAAGTCGTTGAATTCGTCAAATAATCTCGCCACTCTACTACGCATGGTAACCTAAAGCGCTTTTAGAAAGAAAATGAGCGTTTAGGTGAGACAGGATGAAACCAAACGCAGTGTTGCTAGGTTGCTAAAGGGATGTATCTCGGGTGACTTAGAATTGCAGCGTCACATTTGGTTGCTGTGCCTGGACGACAACTTGGCATTAAATCCCGGGCACAGGGGTGCCAGGCGCGTTCTGGACATTGGTAATTATTCTGGAATCTGGGCTATCGACTTCGGTTTGTTGAGCGACTGTGATTTTGAAGTTCAGTAACGCGGAAGAATGCTGATCCACTTTGCCACATTAGCAGACGAATTTCCTTCGGCAGAAGTAAGACATCATTATCGCTGTGCGGCTTCTGAGCGTCTTGATCTACGATGTTTCCTGGGTAATTGGAGTCGACCTAAGCCCGATACAACCCGAATGGTACGCAGAACAAATCACTGGGCCCCTTGTTGAAATTGTGTAGGTACGGACGCTAAATCTCTGGCTCCAGGATCCCGACAAACTGCAAGTTTGAAATAGACGATCTCGAGAAGGACTGGCAATTCAGCCGGCCATTTGACTTTATCATGTGCCGAGGGATGGCGGGTTCTTTTTCCGACGTACCAGCGATGATTCAGAAGATATACGAGTACTACCTTTGCCGCTACCTGCAGAGTTTCCTTCAAAGATCATCACGAGCCAAAGGAAGTTCGAACTGACTTTCCCGCTTCCAAAACAGTAACCTCATCCCTGGCGGCTGGTTCGAGCTCGGCGACCTCAGGCTCCCTCTCGGCTGCTATGATGGCACCCTTAGGGAGGATTCTGCTATCGGCAGATGGCATGATGCTCTTTATCAGGCGTCAGATTACCTCGGACGTCCAATTATCAGCTTATCTAGCTATCTAGACGTTATACACAAGGTGGGGTTCGTGGACGTCACTTGCAAGGGGTTTTCCTGGCCCATTAATGGGTGGCCGGCGGACTTGAAGCTCAAAGAGATTGGAATGAACCATTGCGTGAACCTGGAAATGGGGCTAGAGGGGTTGTCATTGGCACTTCTCACGAGAGGCATGGGATGGAACGAGCAGAATGTGCGTCAGCTTTGCGACGAAGCGAGGGTTGACATTCGAGACAGGAGAATCCACGCTTTTTGGCCCATAGAGGTTCATGGAATCACCGTCTTTGATGGTTGGTGCTGACAGCTTAATAAGACACTGTGTCTACGCGAGAAAGCCCTAGCAGGGTTCACGATTGTCCAGACATGGAGGAGAACAACACCAGGACGGTTCGAGAAGACTAGACACCTGCCAGATTGCCAACTTCTCTTCATATTTGAGTAGTGCTTAGAATTCGACTGAGTCTGTTCTGTAATTAAAAGTTTGTCGCTTGCTTGTTTCCATCCCGAACCGAGGAGATCTTGAAAAGCCGAGCTACGATCTCGACATCCGCACGGTTCTATCTTGTTGCGGCGAGGAATCAAGGAGCCTTGTATATCTTTCCGAAGTCCTACTTACGATCGACCACGTCTTTCAACAGGACACCGGCGGCAAGCTTTCCAAGGTTATTGGACGCAAGCGGCGAGTCGCCCGTGAGCAGGTACCGGTCCTGATGTGTCTGACCAGTGATACCCTCATTCAACGTCTTGACGCCAAGCTTTCGCAGGCGATCGCCAACAAGCCATTCCATTTTACCAGGGATGTATCCGATGTCGATGTTTGCACCCGAGTCAAGCGAATCGGGGAACACCACAATCTCGTAGCCATCATAGATGAACTTGCTTCCTGCAGGCTTGCCCACATCTGCGGCAAGCATGCTGGCCGGTCCGTGACACAGAGTGATATAGTATCGCTCATTCTGATGGGCCCAGCGCAAAATGTTCCCGACAGTCGCTGAATCTGGAACACCATTCAAAACACCGTGACCTCCTGGAATGAAGACAGCGATGTAGGGCGTGTCGGCCGAGAAGCCATTTCCCCACACCTCCTCGAGGTTGAGAGGATTGCGAATTTTCTGCTTGTACTTCTCATAGATGCCCTTCACAGCTTCGTCCTCCTTGGGAAAAGCCCACATCTCGAATTTGACAGGGTCGCCGGAGATGGTAGCGATATCGATGTCGAAGCCAGCAGCGTCAAGATGAACCATGGGGAGCAGCATTTCGACAGGATGGTTGCCTGTCGAGAAGAACTCGCCACCGGCCATCTTAAGATACCGTTCCTGCGTGGCAATGAGGAGGACCTTCCATTTCCCCCCTTTGTATGCGTTGGGGTAGTTGGCGCCATCGAAGTCAGTCTTGGGAGCGGTGTATTGCGTCAAAGAGAAGGGAGAGGGGAACCAAGCGTCATCCTCGGCTTGGTCAGGGACAGGCTTGCGCTCGCTAGAATTTGACATTGTGACGAATGGCTGCCTGAGAGGAAGTGTTGTTGAGGGCGCAATGTCGGTTGTATCTAGAAACAGGAGAGTAACCGTGGAGGACGCGAAGGTGGCTTTTTAAAGTGCTGTATGGCTCATGAGTTCATGAGACTGTTGGTGGGGATACCGGACAAGTGAGGGGGATTTGCGTGGAACGCGCGGAAATCGATTATTATTAGTCCACTTCCCACGCCAATGGTAAGGTTTTCCGGAAACGAAACTCTGGAAATACGGAGTGTAACGCAGGCCAGTTGTCTTACCGCCGTAGTTCACCAAGTCGACGAAATAGTGACGTCGTGAACCTTATTCTGAGGAGACTAATTGCAGCCTCTAGTCCACATCCGGAAGAAGCTTGATATGTCGCATTACAACTAAGCCTATCAGCTTGGATAATAGTTCAGCCTCTCGAGAGCTCTGAAGAAATCAACTCTTCAATTAAAAACGCTTCATATCTTTTAACAGTCGGCCCTTTTTTTTTGCCCCTTTCGGCATTGGGCTGTCAATGGTTAGATTGTGCCGCTCTTGAAGCATCTGCTCCCTAAGAAGAACTCTATGCGGTTCTGAACCGTCAAGACTTTGTCTAAGCATGTGCAGCTATTCCAAAAATTGCAGAGCTTTCTGAATACAGTACTTGCAAAACTCTAGCATCATCCAAACTAGATATACGTCTCTATGCTTATCTAATCGGTGTTCGGCATCGATATCCGCCCACCTTTGCCCGCACTGAGTGCATCAGCTTGCATCAAAAGCCTCAGAAAACTTCGAAATTTTCCAATTCGTCTTCATTGGCGGGCCACATCTCACCACTCATGGCACCTGCAAATACCGTCGGACCGACAAGCGTGTACCTCCCGTAGTCACCCTTTGCCGGCCGCAAGATAAAAAGATGATCCAGTCCAGCGATGAGGCATACTGCGTCGCCCTCACGTACGCCGGTGACAGCAAATCCAGCGATCTGATCCGAGGTGAAGAACAGCCTCCCGACGCGAAGCGCGACTCTGCACTGGCTTCCAAAGTGTCGTGAGTCCCACTCGACTAGCGATGACACGGCCGTTATGCCCTGACCTGTCAACGAAGATGGTGTGGATGAAGACCATTCGGTCTTTTTCGGACCTTGGATAATCCACCACGATAGTCGACAAAGGCTGCTGCTCATCTTGTCTACTGTAAAACCCGGCTCTTTGAGACACGATACGTCCTCCTTGAAATTCCCTAGTACATCCAGGTATGGACTTTGACAGTCGTGCTGGAACGTCTGTCCAGACTTCTGCTCCTTCTCGCCGTTGAAACTGTCGTCCGAACCGCACCTCGTGCCCTCCACGCACTTGCTGCTTGCTGGAAATACACCACTCACAGGACTCGCGACTCGCTCAACACGCACTCCCCGGAGATGAACACTTCTACCGTCTCTCGAAAACGCGAAGACCGGCTTGCTTCCCCCAGAGGCAGCGCAAAGGATCTTGTAGTATTACTTATGCGAGGGTCTCATTTCGGCGTCATCTGTGGCGAAGCCAACGGTCCAAGAGGGCAGAGTATCCCAAGGAACGCCAGCTGTGGTCTTCGCTCGGTTCGAGAAGTACAGCACCCCGCAGACTTCCTTCTTATTCGATGATGAGTCTTGTAGCTTCATGAAACACTTCCCCGATGGGTTGCTGGTAATCGACCCTCATTCTTCCCAGGACGCCGGGCGAGAGCGCCCACAAAGCAAAGAGTTTGTCTCGTGGCTCCGAAGCCTTCATCGAAAGCACCCGTCGCAGTTGATTCGTCGCTGCACGAAAGGGGCAATCTGTTGTTGCCTGCCACTCATCAAGGTTCACATGCAAATCTAGCCCTTGCTGGGTGGGCATGGTTTTGTCCTTGAAGGCCACCGCAAGGAGGTGAGCAAGATTGGCGAAGAGGAGAAGATGCGAATCGCATTACAGTATCGCGGCAGCTTTGTGCGCGAATTCTTGCAGGGTCCAAACCCGTGTCCAATATGGCGCCAATCTGAGACGGTGTAAGGTGGTTTCGTCGCAGACTCTGTATTGGTCAGACGAGTAAGAACCATATACCCAAAGTGGGCACATCTATCCAAGAAAAAGACGGATCGTGATACTAAGTGCCCTTCAGCGCCATCTTCGCCGTGCAGCGCTTAAGTCTTTGGCCATGGGTATCCACGCTTGCCTCAATAAGGTCACAAGTGAGGTCTTGGGCGGGGCTGAGATTCGCATTTCGATGGAGCAACACCAGACGAATGGAACGCGGACTCGAAAGCCTCTGGTGACGATAAACATCACAACTCGTCATTATGAACAAGATTCTCTATCTCGCGCCGTAAGTGAGAAGAATGCCAATCAGTTGCGCTTCTTGATACGGTGAGTAGGAAGACATGGGAGCGGGCCCGTTTCTTTAAATACATTTGCTAGCTCGTGGTGCGGAATATTGGGGTCTGGCAATGTTAGTACCAGACCACCAGACAGCAGAACAATGGCGTCATCTGACAGGATTGAAGCAAGGGATGGAGGAGAAGTGTTGGCAGCTTTTTGGGCCTGATCGCCGGACGTGCTGAGTAGATGCGGCCTTGGAGAGCCTCAGAAACATTAGCGGTCATTTCTCACCAGATGAGGCAAATAGAGGTAATGGTAGAACTGAGCCCAGAGTAGTGAGATCTACAAATAGGCAACAACTCGAACTCTAGCCGCTACATCATCAGTGGTGCTATCTTGTGGCGTGTGACGTTGTCGACTGGGCTGAACAAATTTTATCACACAACACTCAATATGTGCTGCTCAATATGTGCTAGGCTTGAATTTTCGAATACAAGCATTTCAACTGACGCTTTTTACTGATCAAAGCAAGCAGCGCGGAGTTTCAGTCACATTTACTTTTGTCAACTTCTTTTCTATCTCTGCATGATTCTATGAAAAGGTACGACAGGGAGCGTTCGAATTCGACACTGACACAACCTAGATGCTGTATAAGTACAACCACACATGAGTCGTAGGTCAATCGAGGACTGATGCGAAATAAATGATTCGAGGTTTGGACCGACACGAGTAACAGGGTTGAGTGAGGCATCATGTTAACTCAAACACAACGAACCAAATTTCATTGTAAAAGCAATAAAATTCACTTATTGACGTACGGTTTCCATTTATTTGTATCTAACGATCTACCCACAGGGTCAGCACTTTCGCTACATGTACAAGGTGGTTGGCTTCTTGGTTTGTGTGCAGCAACCGTGGGCCCACTGAAGTGTTATCTGCGAAGGACGACAGAATCCATTTGAGAGTAGTTCATCACACTGACTGTTGACAATTGATCCAAAGATACAATTAAAACGTCAATTCATAGCTCACCGGTGCATTTCTTTAATTGGCCCAGCCAACCAACGTCCCAGGTTGTCGACGCCTCACGCCGACAGCACCCGCTAACCCGGATACTGTCATCTCAGCATGCACACATCACATGGAGCCCCATCTGCCAACAAAACATCATGCACGACAATGGAGCTGTCCAGAACCACCAACCCCATGCCAGACCTCCCCCGCGTCATTTGCCTGCATGACGCCTTTCCTTTTTCTGAAATGTCGCCGTGGGTGCATCATGCCATCTCGACAGTCGTGCCCAGCCCTTCATTGGCCAGCCATGCCAAGACCAAGTGATTTCCATCCCACCGCCAGTTCAGTATGCATCAAACCCCATGAGGACTCAACGTCAAGTTGACCGGGCCTTTCAATCCTGCTGCATTCAATTCATATCCCGGTTCAAAAGTGAGGTAAAGTCTCAGCCATTGATATTGCGGAAAACATAGGCTTTGGCCATGCATTCCACCCACCCTCCGGAATCGCAATCCGCATCCGGACTGGCCGCATCGCCGCAAACCCTCCGAGACACAACAAATGCCTCCACCAGGACCACGCCGTTCCCGCTTGAACCCACTTCCTTCCTTCCTTTTCCTCTCCTCCTCTGCCTCTTATTCTCTCGAAAACACCTCCTCGAGAGACCACTTTCTGAAGTCGCCTGATAACCTACACCATGTCCGCCCCAACACCAGACCCGACCCCGGCCCCGGTGCCCCCCGCCGCCCTCGAGGCCGACCCGGCCCCCACAACCGGCACCCCCGCCGCCGACCCGAACACCGACGACCCCGACACGTCCGACTCCGACTCCTCCCTCGGCGTCGAGCTCCAATCCTCCACCGCCTCCCTGCGCTCCTCCATCCTCCAGTACCGCCACGAGAACGGGCGCACCTACCACGCCTACAAAGACGGCGCCTACCTCATCCCCAACGACGAGACCGAGTCCGACCGCCTCGACCTGCAGCACCACCTCTTCCTCCTCACCCTCGACGAGCGCCTGCACCTCGCGCCCCTCGACCCCGCCAAGCCCCCGCAGCGCGTCCTCGACATCGGCACCGGCACCGGCATCTGGGCCGCCGACTTTGGCGACCTGCACCCGTCCGCGACTATCATCGGCGTCGACCTGTCGCCGATCCAGCCGGCCTTCGTGCCGCCGAACGTGCACTTCCAGATCGACGACATCGAGGAGGAGCCGTGGACGTTCTCGCAGAAGTTCGATTTTGTGTACTCGCGCATGATGACCTCGGCTATTGCGGACTTTCCGAAAATGTTTCGCCAGTCGTACGAGAACCTGAACCCCGGCGGGTGGATCGAGGTGACGGACATCACGCCGATCACGTCGGACGACGGCACGCTGACGGAGGAGACGGCGCTGTGGCGGTGGAGCGATCAGCTGCTCAAGGGCACGCAGGCGGTGGGGCGGTCGTTTGACGGCGCGAAGCTGTATAAGAAGCAGCTTGAGGAGGCGGGGTTTGTGAATGTGAGGGAGGTGGTGTTCAAGTGGCCGCAGAATAGGTGGCCTAAGGATCCGAGATATAAGGAGCTTGGTGAGTCGTTGGTGGAGGAGGCCTTTTCATCGCGAAGACTTCATGTTGACTGACTGTGTGCATTCGGCGTAGGTTTGTGGACACTCGAAAACATCACTTCGGGACTGGAAGCGTTGAGCGTGGCGGTATATACCCGAGTTCTTGGGTGGAGTAAGGAGAGCGTGGACGTTTTCCTGGCGGAGGTGAGGAAGGACATGAAGAACACTGCGATTCATTCGTACTGGCCCATGTGAGTGACCCTATTTTTCCTTCAGCTGGTGCGGAACGTTTGCAGACTGACCCTGGTTACAGTTACGTTGTTTACGGACAGAAGCCAGAGTGAGGGCATTGTGGCTTGTTGGGTTGCATGGGGTAATTATCATCACGGTCTGGGGCATGGTTGAGTACTTGAAGGGCATAATAATATCCAGAGAATTCCTTTAGCGTTAGCCTTGCTACGCGATCTTCCTCAACCCAATGTTCCGAGTTTCTAGAGCCTATGTGCTGCCAAGATTCTATACGTCGAATGGAGAACCCTCTCACTGCTGTGGTCGTGCTTCCAAGATAATAGGACTGCGTGACCAAACTTCACTTCATAACAGAAAGTCTGGGTGGAATGACTTCACAGTCAAGGTGCTCATGCGTTTTGCCGTCCAAATACACTGAAGTGTTCACAGGGTGCAAGGTTATCGACATAAGTGAGTCAAGTGCGTTTGTACAGCTACCTTATGTATACTCCAATATGTACAAGGAAATTGTATCTTTCCACGGAATTACTCGTTGGTTATAAGTACCACCCCGTCACCATCTAGTAAACAGGCATCTTGAACGCATCAAAAGTGTACTTCCAGGTATCAATCGACGCCTGGTCATACACACAGCTGAACCCAGCGCCATTGTCCGTCCACAGCGGGCGCTGCGGCCACCTGCACAGCTCACCGATGCCCTCCCCGGTGCTGTTGAGCGTCTCCGGCGCAGCGCCCTTCTCAACCCAGTCAATCACCGTCTGCAGCGTCGTCTGCGGCCACCCACCGCCGGGCTGGTGCGAGTTCGCCCCGCAGTGCGCGCCGCCAGGCACCAGGTACAGCCGGTAGAACTCGTCCATCGCCGCGGAGCTCTCGTTGAAGCCCTGGCCCGGGAACATGATGCTGCGCACGGATTCGTAGTAGTGCACCGACGAGGCCGCGGGGATGGAGTCGTCCTGCTCGCCGTGGACGTGCAGGATCTTGCTGCCGGCGGTCTGGAAGGCCGACAGGTCCGGGTGCGTCGTCTGCAGGGAGTCGGCGTACTTGTTCATGCCGTAGAGCATCCAGTCGCGGAGGGTGTCGGCGGTGACGTTGGTCAGAGACTCGAGGGTCGAGGTGTCGCGCAGCTGGAGGTAGCGCGCGACCCATTCGCCGCCGAGGCCGGAGATGCTCACGCCCCAGGTGTTGGTGGCAGAGTCGAACTTGGCGTTGGCGTCGGTGAAGGCGGAGCCGGGCTGGTAGTTGAGGTAGACGCGCTTGCCCTGCGAGTCGATGAGGCCGTCGTAGTACTGCTTGACGAGGGCGGCACCCTGGGCGGAGACGGTGCCGTTCTGGGCGGGGGTTGGGTTGGAGGGCGGGCCCTGGCGCTTGGCAAGGTCGCCGAAGCCGCCGGTGCCGCTGCCGGAGGTGGCCTCGCAGGAGTACGCCTGGCCAACGGTGGTGTTGAAGTCGAAGGTCATCTTGCAGAGGTCGGAGCGGGCGACGACGCCGTCCGTCTTCCCGTCGAGGGGGTCGCAGGCGGCGATGGTGAGGTTGAGGATCTTCTCAAGCTCACAGGAGGGCGGGAAGTAGTTGGCGGTGGTCTCCATGACGTTGGCAGTGAGGTGGTTGACCTGCTGCTGGCCGTAGCGGAAGGCGGGGGCGCCGGCGACGACGCCGTCGAACTGGTCGCCGAAGCGCTGGGCCTGGCTCCAGCCCTCGCGGCCGCCCTCGGAGCAGCCCTGGTAGTAGGAGTAGAGCTTGGTCTCGGCGGGGACGGCGAAGAAGTTGCGGGCGAACTGCTTGCCGAGGACGGCGAGCTCGTTGTGGGCCTGGTAGCCGAGCATGTAGACGGACTGCCAGTTGACGGTGCCGTTGGCGGCGAGGAAGACGGCGTCCCACTGGGTGTTGAAGTCGCCGAAGCCGCCGTCGGTGATGCCGGAGACGGCGCCGGCGATGATGCCGGTGGGGATGTACTGGGAGCCGGAGTTGATGGCGAGGCCGCCGCCGCCGGTGGAGACGTAGCGGTTCTGGAAGGCGTCCGGGGCGGGGACCCAGTAGGTTACGTGGACGACGTCGTTGGCGAGGCCGTCGTGGGAGTAGGCGAATGTGACGTTGCAGTAGTCGATGGTGGCGGAGGGGTACCACTCCGAGGAGACGTTGGCGCCGGTGACGACGGCGGTCTGGACGGAGGCGGAGTCGATGGTGACGCCGGGGATGGTGCCCGCGGCGGGGAGGGCCTGCTGGGCAGTATCTGGCCTGGATGAGGTAGGGAGGTTGTCTGGCTACCAGATGTAAGAGGAAGAGATGAAGTGAGAGGCTGAGATCGAGAGATTCTTAAGACGGTGATGGCGACAGAGGAGAGGCGTTTATATCTGAGTGCCTCGCCTCAACCGGCAGCCGTGTACCGACCACCGGGAATTCCGAGGAGCTCGCCATGGCACTGGATATTTTTCCCCATTTCGATCGTCCCTTAAATCTCGGCGAATTCTGCACCCCAACTGACGCGCATTACGACGTCGGGACCTGAGTGCTGCGGCCGTGTCTGACTTCTCGGCACGCCGCTGTCTAGGAGGTGTTGGGCGATGCGGGCCAAGTGCGAGGCCCCTTTGCAGTGAACTTCCTTTGCGATGTGTTTATGGTAGGTTGCGTTGGGGGCGGCGATCGGCTTGGTTTAATAGTCCTCGGGTTAGCCCCACTGTGGGTCCGGACCGAACGCGCGGGATCCAATTTAGCGCGAGTCGGACTGGCCCCACCCGCCCCCGCCCCGCCCCGTCGTCTCCTCCCGGCCGACCGGGACCGTCTTGAGATGCGTCGAGGTGCCATCGCGTGTTTGCTGCTGATGGAAACGTTTGGACGGTTCATCATCGCCGCTTGACCGAGCTGTCGGACGTTAAGAAGATGCGTAGCGCTCGGCCGAGGGCTCGGGGCTCGTACTACGTCAAAATCCAAGGCGTAGCATCGGGAGAAGCCCGGAGCAAAGGTCGCCAAGAAACAGCAAACATTCAGGAACGAGCCGACGGGCGCCTTGTGGGGTCCGTTTACATCTCGCTTCCCACCGGGCTGATCGTACATTAGACTTAAATCGACTATGGAGCTCCGGGGGACCTTGCAAGTTGTGGCCCTCTGGGGCGCTGCTGCTGCCACCCAACATACGGTACCTGCATGCACGTCACCCGATTATGCACTCTAGTGCTTCTACTGCTACGACAATGACAATGGGGAATCTTGAAAAAACTAGAGTATCGCTAAGAAAAACTACACGTACAAAGGCTTCGAACATCTCATACATGGCAGATCCGGCACCACAATCTGGCCAGGCTTCTGGTCCAGGAGGTACTCCGTCTGGTCGTGAACCACCCCGTCCGCATCCTTCTTCAGGAAATGCACCGTCCTCCGGTACGTCGTCGTGCCGTCTTCGTTCTTGATCACGTCGAGCTCGTGCTCTATCGGCGCTCCAATCAACCTCTTCTCCTCTGGCGGGAACGACAGCTTCGCCATCGCCACGGGATTCCGCTCCAACACGCCGTCATCCAGCAGCACTCCGTGCTCAATCTCCGCGCCGCGTCGACCGACCCGGTACAGCGTGCCGACATCCAACAGCGCCTCCTTCGGCGCGGGAATCTTCGTCATGAGGTCAATCGCCTCTAACCTCGTCTGCAAATCCCTGCACTTGATGGACACGAACCCCATCATCGACAAGAAGCCCTGCTCGAACGTAAAACTCGCCCGCGGCCGCTCGCTCGGGAACGCGACCTTCATCTCCGCCGCCTGCTTCCCCAGCGCCACGATCCTCCTGAAACTGTCCGCCCACTCGTCGTACCGCATCTCGCCCTCGCCGTCGATCGTGTTGACCTGTATCCGCGCCATCTCCGCCTTGATCTTCATCCCGCACAGCGCCATCTTTTTGGACGACTCCTGCGGCGGCACCGTCGCGTCCAGCTCGCACACCTTGCCGTGGAACTCCTGCAGCCGCGTCTGCAGCGGCTGCTTCCCGCTCTCGTCGCCCCTCGCGAGCAGCTCGATCGCGTGCACGGTAATGTCGTCGATCGCGCTCTGCGCCTCCTCGACGCTCTCGAAACGCGGCGGCATCGGTGCCTCGAACCCGATCAGCCCCGGCACGAGCGCGTCCTCGGAGGGCTTCACGCCCAGGAAGAACGAGATGAAGCTCAGCCGCCGGAAGATGGGCATGACGTACTCGCGCGCCCACGACTGGCAGCCGACCTTGTTCAGGATCAGAATGCCGTGCTTGCAGTGGCGCAGCGCGGCCTCAACGTCGCCCTGGAGGTACTCGACACAGACAAAAAGCACGCACACGAGCAGCATGAGCTGCTCGTCCTGGGTGCCCTTGATGCGCTCGATGGCAGCGCTGTAGTGGCTGATGGCGAAGGCGTTGCCCTTCTTCTGGCGGGTGACGCGCTCGCCCTCGTGGAAGTCCTCGTACAGCGAGCTGATGGCGAGCACGGCGTGGCGGACGGCGGGCTCGAAGTGGGAGAACTGGACGACGAGGTGCGTCCAGAAGTACGAGTCCGTCGGGCCCGAGAGGACGGGGCCGACCATGTGCGAGAAGAACTGGAAGGCGCGGCCTTCACGCTGGTCGTGGGCCGTGAGCTGCTGCGGGCGGTACCAGGCGAGGCCATGTTCGATGGTCGGCTCGTAGCCGGCGCACTGGCGGCCGGAGGATGTGCAGCGCACGCATTTCGGCTTGGCCTCGTCGCATTTCACCTTGCGGGCTCTGTGCGGGGAAGGGCGCCTGGGTTAGTTTTCTGTTGGTCTTGTATGCATTGCGGGCTTATGGGATCGTGATATGGGTGACGTGGTGATTATGTGAACACTGATTCGATGTTGGGAGGAAACAAAAGCAGGAGAGGGGGGTGTGACGAGACGAACAAGAAGGGCATTGGCAGTAAGGTTCAGATAAGGGAGCGGCGGCGCTTTCGAGGGAAAACCCACTTGCATGTCCGGCAGCCCGTCTTGACCTTTGGACTGCCCTTCCGGGGCGGCATGACTTATCGGGCGTAGCGATATTGAGACGGGCGCCGTGTTGGATGAGGTTTCGCTTCCTTTGGGATGATTGATGTGCCTTGTTCCAGCGGTTCAATGACTGGAAACCGGCGCCGAGGCCCCCTCGAAGATCGTGGGAGAGTCTCCAGAGTGGGGCGAGACCGAAACGTTTTTTTTGGTGGCGGTCGGGGAGTGAATCAAATCTCTAATTGGCGTCACTCTCACCTCTCTCTGTGTTTCTCAATTGACTATTGCCGTCGGGTTGCTGTAGACTCCCGAATTCCTTTGCCGACAATTTCCTGATTGACCAAGACTGGGTAAGGTAGGTAGGGTCGTACGATGGGCTAGAAGCAAGAACACTTGGCGCCTTCAAGGGATTAGCCTCAGATGGAACAGCGAATCTGACAGGAAAGAGGGGCAAGAACGAGCTGCAACGGCCGGCGGGATGGGTAAAGGAGGAGAGAGAAGAGCACTCTGTCGTTGGGGGAGATTGAGTAAGAGGACAAGAAGGTTCGAAAATCCTGCCGGTTCAAGGGGGCGCAACGGAACAGACGGGGGCATGGTGCAAGTCTTATGTTTGTCTTTATGGGGCAAATGCGAGCTCGCTCAGCCAGTGAGACGCGTAAGAGCTTCCTGTTAAGGGGCGGGCGCGCATCGTGGCACCGTCGGCACTAGCCGGGGGGCCCATTAGCTATTCGTACTAAGGTATTTGGGTGGAGGATCAGATAGACAGATTCAGGTGCGGGGAGGGCTGCTGCAGATCCCTGCCGGGCTTCTTCTTTGAGACTTTTGGACTTATCGCCGACCGAAACCGAAGGGCAGAGCGGCCCCCTTTTTTGCTGCTCCGTACATGCAACGACTCAAGCAGAATTATGGCCGGGCCGGGACCACCAGTCGCCGTCTGCTCGCCTCCTGAAGCGGAAGGTCGGATCATCGGATGAAGGTTTTACGGTTGTTCTGGTTCGGAGGAAGGCAGCCATTAATAAGCTTTAACCTACGCAGATTGGCCCGCCTTGTCTGCCCTGTCTGCCGGCTTGCCGGGATGTGGGTGTCGGGGATGCCGAGCCCCGGGGCCGGTGAGCAAGAAGCGGGGACCGCACTGCACGCGGTGCCTAGCGACTGCGACTTTCTGTTTCCTTCGATCGACCTTCCGATCTTGGTCATGGGGTTGAGTGAAATTTGACGACATTTCAAGGTGATTGTGACTGTGTACGTGGGTCCTTTGGCCTTACATGATGTCATGCGCTGCCAACTGAAATGTTGTGGGGGCTAGAACGCAACATTTCAACGATGAAAGATTTATGCATCAATGTTGATTGTGGGATAACCAAGGGTTCAAGTCTCTGGCATGGGTTCGGTCCCTTAATTGAATAATTTTGATGATACCGAGACCAGGTCATTTGCGTTTGTGGAGGCAAAGAGCTTTGGAAGCTGGACTGGAAGATTTAACGGGAACATGAAAATTCAGCTGGACTAACAGAATCACGCATATTCTATGGTCGAATGTTCGAGTACTTAAGACAGGTATGAACCATTTCCAATTATTATAATAGTTGACCCTCCAGCTAACAGTTCCTTTTGATAATACAAATCATTAGTTCTGATATTAAGCTTTTTGCCTCTCGCGGTGACCCATCGTTCTGGGAACTGGGCTGAAAAAGAAAATGAGAACTAACAGACTTAGCAGAAGACTGGAAAATAGGAGACATAAAAACAAATAAGATGGGAAAAAGCCGTTTAGAAAGATCAGTGATTCATGTCAGCCCGCAACCACCTAGCCAGTAGAAAACAGAGCATTGTTCAAGCACTGAACGACTGAATCACCATTCGTCAGCCCGGAGGTAGTGCAAACAAGCGCAGCGCCAGTCGCAAACGGCCCCAATGCCGTGACGCAGAGCGGCAGGTCCACCGCCAGCGCCACCGCGTCGTCGCCCGCGAGATCGAGACAGGCCTGTGGCAGCGTCGAGATGCACGTGGCGCTGAGCGCATTCTCCAGGCAAGACACAATGGAAGAGCCCGTGGTCGTCACGCTGATAGCCGTCGTGGCGATGCACGTCGCGGCGTTGCCAACAGCGAACGCGCCGAGAGCCGCGGTACAGGCCGGGATCGCGGGGATTAGGGCCAGGCCGTCGACGGTCGAGAGGGACTCGCACGGCGCCGGGACCGTGGCGCAAACTGAAGGTGTTGCTGTCGGCGCTTGTGTCGGGCAGAGCGCGGGGTTCGTCACCGTGACGACGGAGGGAGCCAGGCCGAATGCGACTTGAAGACATTCGAAGACGCTTGAGCCCTGGGTGAGGGCGCTGATGGCGCCGGTTGCGAGGCAGGTCGCGGCGGTGCCGACGGCGAAGGGGCCGAGGGCGGCGGTGCAGAGGGGGATGTCAGTGAGGAGGGCGAGGCCGTTGGAGGTTTGGAGGTTGACACAGGCTTCAGGGAGGGTGGTTGGGCAGCTGGCGGCGAGGGCGTTGGTGACGCAGTTGGCGATGCTCTGGCCAGTGGTTGTGAGGCTGATTGTGGTGGAGAGGCAGGTGAGGACGTTGCCGGCGGCGTAGGGGCCGAGTTCGAGGGTGCAGGCGGCGATGACGGGGGCGAGGGCGAGACCGTTGGTTGAGGAGAGTTGGGCGCAGGAGTCGGTGAGGGAGACGCTGCAGGCGGAGGCTGTGGCGGAGGATGTGACAAGGCAGCCTGTGAAGGTGGAGGATTGGGAGGTCTGTGTGGTTGGGGTTCCGGGCTGTGTGGTTGAAACGGATGAGGATGCTGAACTAGGCGATGATGGAGAGGAAGTCGTGGATGAGACAGTGGCGACAGTCGAGGTTGGAACGGACGACGAGGAGACTTCGGAGGTGGCAGAGGTCGGGGCAGTACTCGAATCCGAAGTAGTTTCCAGAGTGGAAGGAGCTTCTGATGGTGAAGACAGTTCGGAAGTGGAGGACACATCAGTGGTAGAAGGAACATCAGACGTAGAAGAAGCTTCGGGCGTAGAGGAGACCTCAGAAGAGGAGGAAGCTTCGGAAGTGGAAGAGACTCCAGAAGTGGAAGAGACCTCGGAAGCAGAAGACACCGTAGGAGTTGAGGCTACCGCAGAGGTCGAGGATGATTCGGAGGCAGACGAGGACTCAGAGGTTGCCGTAGTAGATGCCAGGGTAGAGGTTGACGTATCAGTGCTTGACGAGGTCGTCGATGACGCTGCAGCCGTGGGCACGAGTACAACAACAGCGCCAACAGTGCCGCCTTGCGAAGGAAATACAGTGGTAGTCGCAGTGACTGATCCATCATAGCCGCTCGTCAACGTCGAGTACGATATCAGACTCGGGTCCAGAATGACAACTGTTCCTGGTTGACCGGAGACAGCGGGAGGAATGGTTGAGGTTAGGGTGACCGAGCCAGTGTATGCGCTGGTTACTGTGGTGAAGCTTGCCGCTGCGGTAGTTGGTACGGTTGTGGGTTCCAGGATGACGATAGTTCCAGCAGTGTTGGTGCCTGTTGGAGGTATGAGGGAGGTGGAGGTTACTGTGCCGTCGTAGCCGCTGGTGATGGTGGTGTCAACAGCAGGCAGAATGGTAGAAGCGGGAGCAGAGGTGGTTGCTGCGGGACTTGGGACAAAGATGATGGTTGCTCCTGGCTCCCCATTAGGGCCTGAAGGTAGGGCCGAGGTTGAGGTAGTTGAGCCGGTGTACGTGCTGGTGAAAACTCCGGCAAGAACTGGGGCGCTAGTAGGAGACGCTGATGATGAACTCGGAACAGACTCGGCAAAGGTACCGGGTGCCGCGCTTGTGGGAGCCAGAACGATGACGGTTCCTGTGTTATCTGCTCCATTAGGCGGGACTGTGAAAGTTTCTGCCACACTCCCTGTGCCGGGGGCCGTAAGAGTGGTGAATGGACCAGTGAACTGACTAGCCGTTGTTGTCGGGTACAGAATAAGTTGAGTGCCAGTGGCATCAGTTCCAGCTGGCGCCAGAGAGAGCGTATTGGTGAAAGTACCAGCCCAGACACCGCTTACAGTGGCAAAAGGACCAGTGAAGATGTTGGGGGCAGGAGTCAGGACGAGCTGAGTTCCGACAGTGTCCGTACCGGATGGAGGGAGAAGCAGAGTCGTAGGTGTCGTGCCGGTGTACGCCCCGATTGCTGTCACATACGGCCCAGTGAAGGAGGTGATCGCGGGACTGGGTGTCAACACGAGTTGAGTTCCGACAGTATCGGTTCCAGATGGAGGCAGTGCCAGAGTAGTCGGCGTGGCGCCGGTGTAAGGTCCCGAAATCGTCACATAAGGCCCAGTGAAAGATGGGGGTGTGGTCTCGGGGAGGAGGACGAGTTCGGTCCCGACTGAGTCAGTGCCGGCTGGAGGCAAGATGAGAGTCGTCGGGACTGTACCGGTCCAAGCGCCAGTGAGTGTAGTGAATGATCCAGTGAAGGTGGTAGTGGGAGGTGTGATGGTAGCAGGGTCGATGAGGTCCGTTCCGGTAGGGCCGGCAGGTCTCGTGATGGCCCAGGGGTCACTATCACCGGTCTTGAATGGGTCCAATTCCTCGTACCAGTTAGAGTCGGCTGGAACGCAGACGATCTTTGTTCCATTGACGTCGTCTCCGCGAGGAGGAAACACCAGCGTAGTGGGTTCGGAACCGGGAGGGCCATCTCTAAACAGAGTGGTGCAGGGGCCTTCAAAGACCACAGATGGATGGCTGACGGTGTGAGTAAGTAAAGGGTCACGTTGAAATAAGATGAGCGAAAAGCAGCTGACTTACAGAGTCGACGTAAACGTCGTGGTGCTCTGGACGACGAAGTCGGACACAAGCACCGTAGGAGCGTTGGTCACAGATACAACTGTGCCAGCAACATCGATGGCAGTGTTGTGGCAGACGGCAGCACTTAGATGTACGGGAACGTGATCGACCACAACAACCTCCTGAGTGATTGCTCCTGCGTCGTCAGCCGACGAGCAACCTTGAGATCCCGATGCCAGCCAAGGCAGTACGGATAAGGCGCCCAAAGTGACATGAGACCGTCGGGAACGCATGATGACAGTGACGGTATAATTGAAGATGGAAAGCGTATGTGAATGAATGTTACGATTTTAGGGGGTCGTCCGAGAAGATGAGTACTAAACGAGTATGTTTGGTTGTTTCTCTTCTGTAAACCCGGGCCCCGAGAAGACTTTTATGTCTTCTCAGATGGTGAGCCTCTTCCGCAAAGCTGATCTAGACCAGGAATCAACATTCTTGAAAATCAATCTTATCGATGAAGGTTTACTGATGAGCCCACATTGATAATTGAAGTCGTGGGCAGGAACGCATGCAGTCGATAGGATTCATGAAGAGTGGGTACCGCCGAATCAGCATCCACGTACTTGGTCAACATCCAAACATGCTCTCCCACACATGAAGTAGGAATCCATCATGGAATAATACAGCTTGAGGTTATGTTGACGTTCCGCTTTCAGCCATAAGCAATTGGACTCGGATGAACCAGCTGAAGAAGCTACAGGCATTGAACGGAATGGGCCAAGATTCGGTGATCTTGTTGAATTTCCCGTCTACTTTCGAGTCAGTAATCTCGTCTTCAACATGCCGAATGATACGATGTCCGATATCTTTATGAACGCAAACGGCTCTTGAACTGTTCAGATTTCCTCAGTCGGGAGGGGAATGTGATTTGATTGCTTGGACAAGATGAAGAAAGCTTCAGTAGCATCCAACCACGCAAAAGACAAGATTAAAACTGAGTCATGCTTGTTGCCGAGAAGATGTTTTCTTCGGCATTTAGATCAAAGACTCATGTTTAACAAGAGTGGAAAGAACCTCTTCCACGGAGTATATAATGAATGCGAGGGTTGCCACCTCATCACACTGCTCGTTCTCTCGTTATCCCCAGCCTCCCTGACACCTTCATATCACTCCCCGTCACTCGTTCAAGATTCCCATCATGCGCTCCATCACTTTGGCTTTCTTGCTACCTGTGGCCCTCGCGGCGCCCCGTGCGAGTCCCAACGAACAGGGCTGCGAGCTGACAGTTACCTCGATCCCCGCAATCACACATACGTTTCTCGCCCCAATGAAGACGTTCGTGGTCAACGCGGCCCAGAGTGATGGGTGCCAGTTGCCTCCTCTTATACCGTCTGCAGTCCAGTCCTCCCCTGCAGGCCCAGGCACCACCGGCCAACCCAGCACCAAGGGGCTCCCAGGCACCTGCCAGGGCGCGCAATGCCAGTCAATCAACAGCTTTACCGATGGGGCCGTTGACAGTGTTGCGCAGACTTCTCCCTGCACAAACTGCATTGACCACCCGGCCACTCGACCGACAGATGCCCCCGGCCAGAAGAATGTTCTTCCCTCTGCGCGCCTTCCTGGCGCAGGGGATGACAGTCACCGCCAGGGTCCAAAGACTTACCCCACTAACATCCACTCCGGTACTCCCAGCCCACATTCTTCTTCCGGAGCTGTACAGCCGCCTCAGAGTCCCGGACAGGACGACAAAGATGGAGACGCCTCTACGCGACCTACGCAGGGTATCTCCATCGAAACGGGCACGTCCATCGGAATCGAAAAGACGAGTCAGCCAACAGCAACATCCGGCGTTGCCAATGCCCTCACGACAAGACCCGCTATGGATTTATCTGGACCTGGTTCCACTGCAAGCAACACTACGGTTTACCACAATCCTGTTTCGCCCTCTGTCGAGACTTCAGTCTGGTTTACGTCTGCCACAAGCAATATGAGCCAGCCTGAGACTACCCGCGTCCACGTCTCCTCCGCCTCTCACGGAATCGGAAAGCTCTGCAACGTACATGTCCTGCTATGCTCGGTCGCACTCATCTTGGCCGGTACACTGGCTTAATCAATAAGACCTCTTCTGCAAAGCCTTCGTCATAGCATCAAATCAAACGAACGGGGCGCTGAATTTTGTTGTTGGTCTTATTTTAAGGGGGGGAACACACTATGTAATGCATTAATCGCCGACCATCCATTTCTTTCGTAATAGTGTCAAATAATATGCCGCATTTTTTCCGCCGTGTGTATCACGTGTTCAATATCTCTACAACGTGAAACCATCGCCACAGGTCTTTACCCTGAGCCTTCCCTATTCGATGCATTATATTCAATGGCTGGAGTTCATGCTTGTTCATCAAGAATGTCCTGGTCGTGTCCTCTTTGCCGGCCCATTTACCGAGCATCTCCCTACCTTTTACGAAAATGACCTTGGCCGAAAAGAGGCATCTCCCAGCATCATGGGTGGGGCAATATCCAACTCGGCATAGAGTCTGAAGGAAACGGGCCCATTTCATCACCACACTCCTGCCCTACGTGCAGAGCAGGCCTCGTCATCCAGCCATTTCCCTGGATGAGCAAAAGAATTCCAGAAGATCTCGATACATGATCATATCAACTCCGAGTTCTTCTCCGGATGTCGGAACTGTCAGGCCTAGTGGCCCCCAATCCCTCAGAGCCGGGGAGACGAGAGGCTGTCAGCTGCGAAGCTCGAGACATGTCTTAGCAGCTAGAGCTGAAGTAGCAGGGCTTAGAAGACCGTTGCACTTGAGCTAGAGCCACTTGAGTGTGAATATTTAGCCGAGCTAAGCTAGTAGCCGTCGTTTGGCTGGATGGGTTAGCGCCTCATTAGCGCCAGTCTGGGTTGGTCCAAACACACGAGCACAAGCAGATCAAGTTCCCAATTCCGGACCAGATCGTGGGCAAAATGATAGGAGTGGGGAACGCTGCAGCACCAAGGCAATGCCCCGGTCTCTGCTCGGTAGAGCAATAGCCGAAGCTGAGAGACGGATGTCTTGGAGCTCAGCTGCCCAGGCAGCGACTGCTCACAGACTGCAGATAGGTGTATGTGATCACTGTAAATCTAAGTCTCAGTGTTTCTGTCTGCGGAGACTGAAAGTGAGGAGAAGATGGAAGTCTATGATCCTACGACTGTCCTTGTTCACACAGGCAAACAGCGACTCATAGGCTTCTAGGCGGAGGTAGATGAATATCGACTGTTTTTTTTTCCCTCCAAAGCTCGTGCATCCACAGATATATGTCAGCCGTCAGTACCTTACACATATGTCAAAAACGTCGCCCGGTGGCTTTACCAAGTTACGAAGGCTGAAGCTTCATTTGCGTACCTGTACCGCGTCGGTACTGGGAAGGTCACGAGCGTGTATTGAAAATCAACTGAAGCCCATTCTGCAATGCGCCTATAATTTCTTGCGATTATTCGCTGGGTACTCATTACCTGAGGCTGACACACAATATGGACCGGAGGCCGCGGCTAGGTGTGGTATACGGTGCTTCTGGACATCTGACTTGGGCCTGATCTTCACTCTATATTAATCCAACTCGATGCCAAAAGCTCGTCTGGATGAATCTACAATTCCTCAACATCAAATATTCTGCCGCAAAGAGTACCCGAGGTGTGCCTTCTGACTCGACGTCGTGGGCAAGGGTTGCTAGATGCGCCAAGTCGCAATGTGGGCGGGGTGCAGTTGTGGAGCTTCGATGCGCAGCATACCGACAAGCGTCCAAAAAGGAAAGCTTTATCGTGGGCTCCAAGGATATTTTGCAACACTAGCTACTTCATAATTACTTTCCTGCGCACGCGTATGGATCGTAGCTGTGGGCTATGATCATTTCTCGGCCAAGTCCATTGAGACCTAGATAGTTGAGGCTGGCCTCGATGATTTCTGCCTTCTATACAAGGATTTAACTTGAAGAACATAATCTTAAGACTGGCGACTTGAATGCATAGTAATATTCACTTGCTTCTCGAACGACAGCCCGAGGCGTTTGAACTAAAGCACAACATTCCTAGTGGAATATATCGTACAGCCAAGCTATGCAAACCTTGTTGTGCTATATGCGGCAACGAAAGACACATCGCCTAGCCATGAAACTCGAACGGGGTATCTTCCATAGCGTCCCTTGTGTTAATGCGCAGAAGGGCCTCCATATTCGGATCTTTGAGTGCATTGCAGTCGTCATTATGCTTCTTGCGATCCTTGCCAGCTTTCATACACTCCTAGCAAAACTTTCAGCACGACTGTTGTTCCAAGAAAATCGAGTATGCTGCCGGAAACTTACCTTTCCGCAATAAAAGTACCAGGGACAGCTATCGCACTGCTTCATTCTCTTCCCTTCATTACCACAGGCATGGCATCTTTTTGTCACGCCTTCTTCGTCCAGTGTTTCCCAATAATCAGTGAGGACCTTGTTCATACTGAGCACCCGATCCAGCTTAAACGGGAATGCCTGCGGAAGTCAATAGGTGAACCATGTCTCGGCTCATTTCTCCTCTCAAAAGCTCTCGGCGGGGCCCACTCACATGACAAGTCTTCAAATCCGCCACCCGGACACCCTTCGTGCCATCCACAAAGTTGACCCTTTTCGCATACACAACAGCGATGGTGTATCCAACCTTGAACTGGCTTGGTGTGAAGCGTAGACCCTTGCTGAGGTCGAATCCAACGATGAAATTGTCCCCGTTGCGATCATGACAGACTAGACAGAACGGATTGCCAGCCGATGTAGATGCGGCATCAATCTCGGCGAGAAGGCACCACGTCTCTCCCTCCTCATAGATGGGCTGACCGAGGTGGTATTCTGACTGCAGCTGAGCGAAGGCTGGAAAGAAATAGGTATCGGTAAAGCTGGCGGGTGGCTCGAAGTCCATATCCCCTGCATCGCTCGCCGGAGCGGGACTCGATGTCGTGGAGTCGGACATGATTACGGAGATCTTTACCGAGAACTGCAGTGCCGGGGTCAAGTGAGGTGTGAGATGAGAGAGAGTAGTCCAAGATTCTTGGAAGACAGGAAGAGAGGGGTCAGCCCTCCGTGGCGTCTCTGGCGGTGTTGCACAGGATCCCAAGCTTGTGGCGTTTGTCGAACAGGTTGCAATCGCATCAGCAATGAACTAGGAAAGATGGAATATGAGCTTGGCATGTTTCTCAGAGCTTCAAGATAGAAACTTCAGCCCGGATGATTGCAAATTGGTTGGTGCCCGTGGAAACAGCCGCATGCGGTGGAACGGCGCCTCCCATCCCCTTGCATTCTTGGGACTGTCGGCCGGAACAGGATTGGGGTGGTTTACCAGCTGAACATCCTGGCCGAGAGGGGTCGAGCGGCTTCAGATGAGTCAGCGCCAACCCGATTCCCCGTCACCACGACTACGAGTAGGAGTTCCATCTCAGCAATTGGTTACGCATGAAGAAATACCGAGTCTGGAATCTGAGAAGACAGAAAAATTTCAGATTTGATATGCGCTTTATCCTAACCAGTCTCTTATGTGCATCAACTGACGCTCACAAACGCGTACATGTAATCCCACAAAGCATGTCTCACCAAGACTGCTTGCTGCCCTTCTCATTACCTGAATCTGAGAACCAGACATATTATGAGCTTTAGACGTCATGGTCTTCAGTATGACTGGTTTGACGGGACCCCTTCTTGTTGTTCTCTCCGATTTCCATGGCATCCCTATCGTCATTATCATCTCGCCCATTGACACTATGCCTCCCTTCTTGTGCCAAATGAGACTGATCCATTCTGTTACCCCCGACTTCAGTGGAATTAGAAGTACCAGAATAGTTCATTTCTGATCGTCCTTGAAAGCTCCGGAGCAGACTCAACCAAGGGAGCCATGCAATCAGATGACAGGTCTTCCTCTACTTTTCGCGAAATCATCTGCTTCTCTAGAATCATGTGCGAAAGTAAATTTGCGTTTCATTGCGGGAGAGAAAAGCAGAAAAATGTCCCTGACATGCCATGTGCGCGCAGGGAGCGGCGTTGGAGGCGCAGAAAGGGACGGGTCAATGTCGTCGGGTGATCGCCAAGTTTCCAGCGGAAGAAGCTGTGCTGGAAGGCTAATCTCATTGTCTTGGCCCGCCCCTCCTAGAACCGGAGCAACATGGTTGAAATTAAGGGTGCATTCGACGAGTACAATCGAGTAAAGTACGAAGGCAAGGTTGAGCCAGCGGAGCCATCGAAAAATGGTTTCTAATCTGTTTAGTAGACATCAGCATGGCTTCAGTGACTCTTGCAGGTGGAAGATATATGCAGACTCACTCTCCGTACTTGAAGCCTGTCGCAAAATGCAGGCGTGTCGTCTCAGCCCATCGTCTTTCCCTGTACAAATGCAGCACTTGCCCTAGCCGTGCCCAAGCTGCGATACCGGAGGCGAGGAGCATTATCCCGTAATAGACGATACATCCAACACACATTATGATGTAAAATATGCGGTTTCTAGCATCAGCTCGAACTTTGGCAAACATGAAAGTATACAAAGTCGCGCAATCCCGCGGGGTTGGCTCTTCGACGATTTCTTCCTCCGTCCCTGGGTGCACCAGCCCATCAACTACGCCGAATGTGCAAAACCACAACCCAAAATCGCTTATCATTAGGCTGACCATCAGTCTCGAGTGTGTCCCGAAACCACCAAAGAAGCGAATTCCCCGAGGTCCGTTGTCAAAGTACTGTCGCGTCCGATATCCCCAGATGCTGAGAGTTCCGAAGAGAAAGCCGCCACTGAGATGCATCAGAATTAAACCATCGATACTGGTGAGCATGCCATTGGCGCTGCACTTTATCATGGCGATCAGTATTACTAGCAAGAAGATGTTGTTGGTGTCAGATGCGCCGGCAATCTCAGATGGTAGGAGTGTGTTTGCGATGTAAGCATTGGCCCAGGCAAAGTAGATGCCAAGTCGGACTCCAAAGCCACAGAAGTCCGCTGCGCCATCAGTTTCACATGCGAAAGAATCAATAGCCCGGGCAAGCAGCCCCGGGTGGGCTTGGATGATCGGCACCAGGAGAGAAATAAGGGCTTTGACGTCGAGAAGAGGTTGGTTATCAGCGTGGCAAATCGTCGTTAGCATCAAGAAAGGCCACAGAGACCAGGAAGAAGTAAAGGAGGAGAAACAGATAATACGCAATGGACAATGTAGATATACTTATATTGCTCACTATTGCAGTGTATGGACATGTATTCTGTTTTAAACTTACGGGCTCTTCTACTAAGATTACCACGTGATGACATTCTCCTTCTCGTCGGAGGGCCTTCATGGATGGGTCAACTCTTTGCATCTTTCCGTACTAGGGCGTTTTCACGGCAAGGCTAGCAAATAATCATTACGGCAGTTGCACCCTCGCCAAGTCTGACATTGCTGATCGCTTACGTTGCATACGGACTATAACGGCGGAAAAGATGTCATGCTCCGACCTGGTTGGTTGATAATGGCACACCAACTTCCAAACTGTGTGTACTACCTGTGACGTAAGATCTTGGGAAGTCAGCGATGGACTGCAGATAGATGTCTTGCAGCTGAAGCGATGACACGGTATGCATTGACATGATAAGTCTGCTGTGGAGGTGGAACTCAATCCGTCAGTAGCCACAAAAACTGTCATGGAAAAAAGCGACGCGCTGAACTTTATCAAATCCAGTTGATTTAGTTCTCGTTGAGACTTGTGACTTTACAAAATAATAGTTCGTCAAAGATTGGGGTGACAGGTTTCATTCACGATGGTAAATTTAAGACGCTTGGCGTCATGTGGCTTCTAGAAGACATGATGTAAAGGGAAAAATGAATGTATCTCTACGCCAGAAAGCTCCACTCATGTCTGCCATCAGTTCTCATCGTCAGCGTAGCGATATCAAAACGCCCTAATCGTTGCGGCCGAGCGCTTGATCACACCGTCGGCCTCATCTACTTGCAGTTGCAGCGCAAGAGAATCCGCCCCAGAATACTTGCCCTTTTGTTCCCAGAAGAAGTCCTTGCCAGTCTTCGTTGTCGCGCGGAAGGTGGCCGTAACGTCCACATCCATTTTGAAGCTGGTATAGAACGAAGAACCGACGCAGTACTTCTTGGCAGGGCACTTGAGATTGACAGTGGATGACTTGGTCAACGTTTCGGACTGGGTGTCCTCCTCAGTGGTGGTCTTCCCAACCTGCCAGTTGAACTCGGTGGACACCTTTGACTTCCCGATGAAGGGGATGCCGGCCTCGGTCTCGACTCCGATTTTGCCGCCGACAGTCCACATATTCGCAACGCTAACGGTGTGAGACTTTGTGACCGCGTCCATGGTCATGATAGTATCATCTGCTCTGTGCTGGAGTTGCGGTTGTCGAGGATCTGAGAACCAACGGTAACGGTGGTACCGGGGCCGGAGGGCATGATGTTGTCGGTGAATCCAGAATAGGCCAGGTTGCTGATGCTGACTGACTGCAAATCATCGATAAAATCCCATCCGACATGACCAATAAGTCCGATATCGCACCACTGGACGCGGATGCGACCAAGGATGCCAGAACCAATTGGAACTTTGGTCATCGGTGGCGGGTCACGGAGGGTCTGGGCCATGGCGGAGTAGGTTTTGCCAGTTTCGGTGGTGAAATTGAAGCCCAAGAAGGTTCCTGCTTGCTCCATGACCCAGAATTCTTTGATGCGTTCGTTGTTTTCGAAGGTAAAGCTGCCGGCGTCTGTGCTTCCATCTAGCTTCTGAAAGATAGAAGAGTTACGTTAGCTTCGAGGTGTTCACTACGCGAAGCCTATTGGAAAATGCACTTACACTTGTAATTGATGTCGTATTTCCACCAGAGGCAGTGATATTCATAGCCCGAATGTTGGCGGCGCCCATGAACACCTGCAACGCCTGCAGAGGACCATTGAGGGTCTCAGAATGACAGTCTGCAGGGTTGTTGTCGATGAGGTTAATGTCGCCAACATCAACAGACACAAATGCGTCACTGGTGGCTATGGTGAGCGTGTTTCCGGTCGCGGTTGACGCCGCTTGTCTCTTGGCCCTACTTGGTTCAGACGACGGCGTGGGTCGATTGGATGCAGTCAATGAATCCTGTAGGCGAGCCAGAGCGGCGTCATCTAGTGGCCCATGCTGCACAATCTTGGGTGTAATCGTCTGCAAAGAAGCCGGTACGGTTACTCTGTCGGGTTGGGGAACAGGGGAAGTGTAAACCAAGGCTGGGAGAAGAGTTGTGCCCAGCACAAGTGTCTTCAAGGAGGGAATAGAAAGCATTTTTCAAAAGAAAAACTTCACAAAAGACTGACTGATTCCAAAAAAGAAAAGAGAGAGAATGGCCTTTTTGGAAGGAAAGAAGGAATGATTTGAAACATACTGTGGCTGTAAGTATGTAGTGTAGACCCAAACCAGTTTTATAACTGATCCTCAACCTTTCCAATATGTCAACGTTGGGTGCTGGTATCAACTGACGCCGGCCCCAACACATCATTTACCCATCATTTACCCACCATGGAGTCTCGAATAGAAGCAGATCCCCACATCGCTTCCAGCCAGATCATACTGTCTATGAAATCAGGAGAGAACGCACGTAGTCACAATGATGAGTACACAGACCAGACTCAAATTGTCGTGGTACCGACCGGGTTGAGTGTATTTACGTGTCGATAGACCGCTTTTTTCTGTTAGACAAAATTATCTGCTTTGGAAATGACATGCTGGAAAGAGGCCGTGATGATGCGGCAGTGAGGCATTGGCGGTAGAGGTGATGGGTCCACAGAGGCTTGTCTTCTATTAGAGGGACCAATGGATGCTGGTCAACTACACCAGTCACGGATTAAGCGAGAGACATACATCAAATGCGATCGGATTAAGGGTACTGTCTCGTATTCTAGCCCACGGCAGGTAGATGACATATCCGCATGTCACTTAGCTTTGATAACAGGACGTGATAAGGCTGGTGACTAGTTGAGGACGTGTGTTCCTCCAGGTACTGTTGGAGTCCTTACACTCACAGCCTCCTCCTGACACTGCGAATCACAAGAGCTCAATCTTGGAGAGGAGGAGCTCCAGATCGGAGGTTTACCTACTTGGGGAGCTTCAACAATGACACCCCGAGCCATAGCCAGACATGAGACCTTACCCACGAGGGTCCAATTACCATGCCTGGGCTAAGGCAGCTCGCTTCGGGTTTCAATTGATCGGTAATACGAGCTATTGTGGACTGTTATCACCATTTTCATTTTCTCCTTGTATTTCTGTGCAATGTGGAAACATGTGTACAAGGAAGTGAGCTCAACTTAAACCATACCTGTCAAACCATTGCGATATATATGGCTGGGGGCTTGCTAATGTTTGGATTAGAGCTCGCTTGATGGTGAAACATAGCACCACCTTGCTGTTGTCCCCCGTTGCCCTCGAGATCATAAGCAATATGGGAGGAGAGGGAGTTCGCTGTTGCAGGTTCCTTGACTTTGTGCTGATTCTCCATCATTATCCCAACCGATTGACAGAATTGCATGGCGGTGTTTTCATCCGATGGCTACTAGGTGGGCGGGTGGGTCCTGAGCTGAAGCCAGGACCAAGGACAGGGCATTTAGACTGGGCTCTGATGGATAATTATCCTATATATTTCCGATCCAATGAATTCCACGTAAGTCTTTATACTACTTCAAAAGGTCTGTACCAACGGACTGATACCGAGGGAACATGGTTTCCAGGACCTGTTGGGGGTAGGGTCTGTGGGGCACGATTCTGGCCGAGAACAGGAATCGGCTGATGGACATCAATGCAGGGTCATGCTACCCAAACAGATCATAGGCTACCAAGGCACTGGAGAAGAGGCCATGTCCCCACGGAGAGCTTAGCCAACCCAAAAATAACCTTTTGCGGGGGTCCGGTGAATTGCATGCTTCCTCTTAAACCGTGGAACACAAGAAACCTGCCATCCCGCATCCTCACATAGCGCGAGATACGGCGACATGGCCCAAATATGAGTAAATTTCTTGCTATGCAGACAAGCTCAAAATACAGTCGTATCGTGCTGTTACGTTACAATAAACGCACCACCAGGAGAATGCTGCCCCTTCACCCCCTTGGAGCTATGGCCAGCAGGCGTAAGAGCACAAGGTAGGCACGAAAGTACTGAATCAGTCAATTCTCCGAATGGTCATAAGCTAGCTTGCAATCCCGGTGCTGATGCGTTCGCTTCTGGGGACTTGACTTCTTGTTGCTTGTTGACCATTCTAGCTGCAACGACAGTAACAGAAAACCTACAGGCTACATTCCATTGTACTTGAACACGCGGTGAAACATCGGCTACATTTTCATGCCGAATTCGATGCGCAAGTTTTACCGCGTGATTACGTATTAGTCGAAGACGGACTGGCGAAAGTTTCCTTCTACAAACAATCACAGCAGGTCGTCGCTGTTGGTAACTCAGCTGTGATGTAGTGAGACACGATGCCCTGGCATACCGCACCCGTTAACACGTGCCTTATTCATGAATCTGCGAGGCAGCTACCGGGGTCCAGTCTATTTTGGGTTGCCGTTCCATCCGCTGAGTCATCCGCCGTGGAGATGCTCAATGACAGCCAACGGATGTATCGGGCCGTAAGATTGTGTGCAGAAGCTTGATTAACGAGATCTTGCCTTCCAGCGTCGAACAAACTTTCAGCGGAACGTGGAGGGATCGAGGGACGTTGCACCCCACGTTCCGGACTCGACAGCCCTATGGAAATCTGACAGCCCAATCGCAACTCAAAGATGCGATGGCTGCTGATGTTTGGATTACTGCCCGACAGAGTCAACTTCAACTGAACTCGAGGGGAACCTTGCTTGCAGATAATAACGCCATTTTCGAAGTTAGATTCACGGTCTGGCTTTCACAGGCGCCTAAGCTGCCAAAACCGAACCGGTACGGGCTAGATCGTTCCAACTTGCGATGCCGAACACGATTTTCTGACATCGTTTCCAATGCGGAAAGTGGATGTAACTCAACGGGAACGAACTTCTTCGTAATTGGTCGAGATAATCATCGATTCGGACCCACATGCGCGTCCGTTCGTCTCAATCCCGTTCGCAATCTGCCGGGGTCTCCCAATTTTCTGCCAGCACACATACTTCCAGCCACACAAGCCGCACTTCCACAAACAGACAGTTCCCGGAGGCCCGAGCTGGTTTCCAGCTTGCCGGATTCATTGTGTCAGACCAAATGCTATTATTCATTGACAGCCTCAAGCTCGGTCCACTGACAGTTGTTGCGGTTGGGGTGACACTGGTCCTGTCAGCCCCGATCGGCTATCACGCGTTCATTCGTGACGGTGACCGCGATTTGTTGTCGTCCCTGAAGAGACTTGTCCGGCGAGCTCCCCGATATATCCACTCAGAACTGCACGAAGGCTCGTTCCGGCTGCTTCATCTTCTTCCAGGACGAGATGGCGATCCCGTTGAAGTGAAACTCACTGTCGCCTCGATCTCTGACCCGCCGGAGTATCACGCGGTATCGTATGCGTGGGGTGACCTAAGGGATAACGCATACATCACCTGTGATGGGAGCGAGATACAAATTACGAAAACGCTATTTGAGGCACTCAAGCGATGGCGTCGCCCCGACAAAGTGTACACGCTCTGGGCAGACTCAATCTGCATCGACCAGCATAACACAATGGAGAAGACGCACCAGATAGTACGCATGACGGAGATCTACTCAAGAGCTGCTTCTGTTCTTATCTGGCTCGGAAGCGACGACAAAGACGTGGATGGCGTAGTGGAACTCGTCGACCGGGCCTTGGAACTCATACCGGAAGTTGTAGACGACCCAAAGAAAAATAGAGAAAGCGCGGAACTCCTTGGGCATCGGATCGCCGAGGGGGGTGAAACGGACGAGCTCACGACCAACCATCTCGACTGGAAGCCTCTCAGGTCGCTCCTGAATCACAGCTGGTTCGAGCGAAAATGGGTCTATCAAGAGGCAGTGCTCAACGACAGAACATGGATGTACTGCGGCAAGCTCGAGATGCCTTTTGAGTCTGTGGCAGAGCTTGCTTTACGCATGGCAACATTCGGCATCCAGGCACTACCGAATGATGGTTCGCTCTCGGACCAGACGGTGGCTTTTATCCCTGGGCGACTGTACAACCTCTCCATGATGCGTCTCAGCCATTGGTATCGGGGAACCACGCCGATAACGCTGATGGACGGGGTTAAAGCGACTAGGTCATTCTTCTGTAGCAACCCTAGAGACCACATCCTTGGTATACTAGGACACGCATCAGATGTCGAAAAAGACAGCATCATCTCTCAAGACAATCTGTACTCCTTGTCAGTACAAGAGAGTTATTTGCGCTTCGCCCGCTCCCAGCTTTTGGAGAAACACAACTTCGCCGTCCTAGCGTTGGCGCCGCAAAAGCTCATCACTGACGCACTAGCCCCTTGGTATCTTCGCCCGTATATTCGGTGGCAGAAGCGGCGTCTTCCAGGTTTGCCCTCGTGGGTTCCTGATCTGCGAAACCAGGAGATCGACACACTGCCAAGTTACACCGTCCGATATGGAAAGTTCTCTGCTGGTGGGGCTACGCCGGGGAGAGTCGAAGTCGTAGACGACAAAATTCTCGAGTGTACGGGCATGTTCATCGACACGGTCAAGCAAGACGGTATCTTCTGTCCAGAGCTGCCGTTCCCGCCGAAGCCCAAGCGGGTGCCATTCCCATTAGATCAGCTAGGCAGCTATCATTCTCGCAACGCGTGGAGGTCCCTCAACTTTTATAGACAATGTGTAAAGCTCGCTTGCGGTTCCGAGGATATCGACGAGATGTCTCCCGAGAGACTCGACTCTTTCTGGCGGACTATGACTTGCGAGAGAAGCCAGCTCAGCGACCGTATCGATGTTGACATGTCGGATCATCTGAAGACGATGATAAAGGGTATAGAAGTATGGCTCAACTCGGAGGACGTGGAGGAGGCGGAGAGGGCGCGGGTTCGGTTCATTTTGTCTGCGCAGTCGGTCGAGATGAGTGTGCTGTCCGCCGCAACCCCTAGGAGATTTTCGACTACGGCAGAGGGCAGACTCTGCATGATACCGAGGGAGGGAAGAAAAGGCGATCGGGTGTGTCTTTTACTTGGGTCTGAGGTGCCATTTGTCCTCAGGCCGACTGGAGCCGGAATGTACGAGATGGTCGGAGACGCCTACGTGAGTGGAGTCATGGATGGGGAGGCACTCGCATCCGGCAAGTATCCTGAGACAAAGGTAACATTGGTGTAGAGCTCTTGTTTCTTTCTGTCTCTCAATTTGCAACGAGCATGCCGTATTGATAGAGCCAAAACAATGCTCCACAGCATGGTCTCATTTAAGTCAGAATGCCGGTTGTTCAATGCGTCGGAGAAATTCTTCCCCCCTTCCTTCTCCCCTCGATGCCTCGCTTGCTTGTTCGCATTGCGTATGCTCGCGGTTCGACCACTTTGGGGTGGTATTGTATGTCTCGCGTCGTGTTTAATGCCTTTCTTGATTTTGAGGCTTGCTGAGGGCGTCGGCGCGCATCCTGACGCGTGTCCGGCATTATCGTGAGTGGAGGCTTGGATGCTGATGATGCTTCCGCCGACTCTTGTTGAGTTTACAGGTCAACCAATTTGAGTCTAAACTGAAAGACCTAATCAAAGGCAGAACTTACTGATGGAGGGGGAAAGTGTTCTCGACAAACATAATGATACAGCGTTGCGCAAGGCTTGACGGTAAGTGATAACAATCTATTAGCCCGTACTAGTCATTGCACGCTCCCAAAGGAATCAATGATTAGAGGCATAATCTCGGGCCCTCGTCAGAACCAATAGAACTACGTCGGCAATTGGTAGAGTTGGTTGGATGCGGGTAAACCGATGTGGGGGACTCCTGATCAGCCTTGAATGCAATGATGATCTGACAGGGGAGAAGACGCCAGCCACCTGCTTGGAACTTCCACCGCCGAAGCCTCCGTGAGTCTCGTATTCTCGGCTCAATGTCCATTCGTTACATGAAAAGGACGGAGTAGGGATTCCGAGGCGCATCGTACCTCGTTCTTGGCGGAAGGACATTGGTGGATAGATACGTGTGCTGGAACTTTTGTTCTGTGTCGGCGCATAACGCACGCCGAAGCTCTACCTCACATATTGGGTCTCGAAATTATCGTGTTTGTTGGGCTACTTCCCTCCTTGCTGCGTATGCGGCCTATCGACTCTTCGGGAGATTGGATAGATGCCCGTAAATGATGGTAAAAGCTTTTCTATTCGAAGGGTTTGTCCTCTGCTAACAAAAACAAGCACAGCGAGCACAATTCATGATGTTCAATCTCACTCACCTCATCCATAGACACAAAAAGGGAAGATTGCGGCCAGTGTGGATTGAACACACGACCTTCAGATTAGATGATTGAAGTTTACAGGATCGAAACCCACTTCAGTCTGACGCTCTCCCAACTGAGCTATGTCCGCCACGTTCTTCGGTGACCACGGGGACCTCGGGCGTCTTCAAGCCAACCAGCTCGTGAGATGAGGCCAGGAGGTCTCCACTGCTAGGGCTCGATTCCCACCCGAGAATCGTCAGCTCCGCTTCTGTGGGCATCCGCTGGCATCCGCTGGCATCCACAGGAACGAACACCACACAACTAACTTGCCATCTTCATTGAGTAACCATATGGTCTGGTGGTGTAGTTGGTTATCACGTCAGTCTAACATGTCGAGTTTTCCTCACACGATCGAGAAGCTACGCGTCTTTCACTGAAGGTCTCCGGTTCAAGTCCGGGCTAGATCAATACAGAAATCTTTTGCCTGCCGCGACAAGTTACAAAATCATACGAAGGCTGAATCGTGCCAAACTTCGCGGCGACTTTAGCGGCAACTGATAGAGCCGTTTAGCCGTCGCTCCTGTTTTTGTGACGATGTCCGGTTTAAAGTGGGTAATTTCGGTCGGTGCCCGTCCGGATTATGCCGGAGATTGCCGGAGCTGTGGACTACGGACCGGACTCCTCCCGGACTCTCAGGGTTTCAACGTCACGCTAGCCACGAACTACAACATCAAACTAAGCAATGCGCATCTTGGCGGACAACGCGCCCCACAACGAACCGCCCGCTCCCTCATCTTTTGGGACATTCCCCTTTTGTATAGTCCCCATTGGGATAGTTCCCGTAGCCGAAGCACTTGTCGACACTAGCTTGGGGGGCACGGTAGTCGTGATCGCCGATTGTTGTTTTCAGCTTCCATCCAAAGGATACGCAAACCCAACATCAGTTCACGCCACAGGAAGATTAAGCATGCCTCTAATTGTTTGGAAAGAATCGTCTTTAATCACTCGCAAGAACTACCCCGATGTCTCGGCCGAGTTCTGAGACAAGTTTTCCTGGAGCTTAAATATGTAGGTCTGTTGCCTTCCTCCAATGTCAGTTGACATGACAACAAAAGGGTCTCGCCGTTTACACAATTGGCGGATAAGCTTTTTTACCCGCTACAACCCTTCGGGGAGTTAGGTTATGTCAGTGGCTCGTGGTCGGCCTTGAGCAGGGTGGGCAGATATAAAACGTGGCCGTGCAGCAAACGTGCGGGCGGCTCAGCTGCCGCATGGGGCCACCAGATGAGGACAGACACCTTTTGCGTGGTTAGACGTCGATTACGGGACGGTATGGGCCCCCGCCCACGCAGGGCCATGACTCGTAGGTGCGGCTGGATATCAACGATACACCTGTAGCGACCTATCAGCGACCTTCCAATATTGCTAGAGTATGTCCAAGCAATTACCTCAAAGGGCTAGACGCACCCCAATAGTCTTGTCGGCGTTTAGCATATGAGATTCATGTGGCCCGGCTGTCCAGAATAATGGCCATAGCCACCCCTGGAGACAAATTCATTGTGGTCCGTGGGAAAGTGGATGGAAACTGGGTCCATACGCAAGCCGAGACCATCGTACGCGTGCTTCTCTCTTTGTAGAGAAATCTGCGAACGTCTGGGGAACTGCAGGGATTTACAACACGGCCTTGTTAGTTGGATCATGGATGCGGGAGATGTGTTGGTGCATTGAGGTTTGCCTGCTGGGAGCTGGTGGTGTGATCGGATAGTCGAGCCGACCTAACACGAATAGACCCTGCTCAGGCGTAGCTTAACGGGTACGTACGCCATGATCTGGTTGGATGGGTATGGTAGCTAGGTTTCAAAGCTCTACCTGTCAGACAAGTCTGCCCCGACAACGGGTATCGTCACTATGGCATATGCCATGTTCGAGTTTGAGTGGGGGCTTCAGGATCAACTGTGTCGTAGTCGGCGGCCGTCAGATATCGCCAACCCCAGAATCACAGTCCCAATATTACTGAAGAAAAGCATCCTGCTTGGTCCTGGTTTTTTTTTTTTTTTTTGGTAATTTTTATACAGGGTTACGTATGACTCAGCGGACGTCAGCGGTTGTCGTGTACAAGACAAGTGTGGCGCCGGGCGGCCCAATTGAATTAGTCCGTACACTTAGCCCCTTAGAACACCCGAGGAAGTGCGAATACGACCGATATACGATGGGCTCCGCGGACGTGGTGTGGGTTATGCGTCCCCCTCTATTAATCGCCCTTTGTATTCCTCTGTGCTACCACCCGAGAACGACTTCGCATTCTTGAGGTTGTGGTTCGGTGATTGTTCTATGAAGACGGTTATCACTGCCGAGATGCCAACCACAATCCTGTGCGGTTCTGCTTACTGTCTCGAGGCTCTACGCGTCACCGCCCAGCCACTCCCTGGCAGCTTCCGAGTACGAAGCTCGCGAATATGCAGTCGAATCTCTCTCGACGATCGCATCCGAAGACTCGAACTGGTTGTAAAACCTGCAAGTCAAGGAAAATCAAGGTGAGTACACAATATCTCATGATACCGCGACAACCATCGGGGTGGCTTTCACCAGGTAGCCTGGCACCCTGGAGCTCTATCATCTAACTCCCGTAATCCATCATGCCCGTGCCCCTAATATCCAACGGCGGCTAGCAGGCTGACGGGATGAACGCCTCTGTATCATCGTCAGCAGCCAAACAGCGACTAACAAAGCAACGATAGTGTGACGAACAGAGGCCAGCGTGCAAGAACTGTATCAAGCATGGAGTCGCCTGTGGCTTCTTATCATCTTCGTCACGAGATCCAACGTTCTCGTTGGCGGAGCACCCGGGAGGGTTGAACTTTCTCGACCTTGAGCTTTTGCATCATTACTGCAACTTCACGGCCTACACTTTATCAGAAAACTCTCTGATGCGCGAGTTTTGGCGTTTAAATGTCGTCAAGCTCGGAATCGAGTGCGAATATGTTATGCGGAGTATTCTCTCCGTTTCAGCTCTACACCTCGCGCACCTCTGCCCAGACAGAAAGGATCACCTGTTGGAAAAATCCATGATGCATCACGAGATGTCGTCTAGAGGAGCAGTTGGACTAATGCAGGAAGTCCAAGAGAGCAACAAGGCACAGTTGTTCATCTTCTCTGTCTTAACCATTTACATCGGTGAGCAATCTTTCACGAGCTGTAAAGAAAGTATGTTGACACGTGATTTGATATCTAGTACTAGCCAACTCGCAATATCATAGTGACGCTCCGCTGGCTGGCACTGAACAGTCACCAGATTGGATCGTACTGTTTTGCGGGACCAGGTATCTGGTTGGAGAGCCGAACGACAACCCCCTGATCTCGCCCATTATCACGCGTACTCTAGCGCACTTCCAGACGCGCGAGAGGCCGTATCATCATACGCACCTCGGAGACCTCGAGGCAAACATCAACGCTTCCGAGCGAGACGATGGATTACTTGCTATTTACAACCATGCTATCAACGAGCTTTACAAGTCGTACGGAGCGTTTTACGAGTGCACGGAGCCACAGGACATCACAGATGTGTTCGTCTGGATTGCGATGGTTGCCGATGACTTTCTGCCGTTGCTGAGGGATTCCAGACAAAAGGCGTTGGTGATCTTCTTGTACTTCTGCATGCTGCTCAAGCAGCTACCTAGTCAGTGGTGGCTAGATGCTTGGTCGAATAATCTGTACGGAAAGACGTACGGGTCGTTGGACGACGAGCACAGGCCGTGGGTTAGGGACCCGACGATGGAATTCAGCGACATCTGTTCGTGATATCAGCCTCTCCTTGGGGAAACCTACCACGTGCGGCAAAAGCATCGTCTAGATTGCCAGCCCTACGTGATCCACGATCTGCCACTTGTGAATTGCCCTACCACAATTGGGATGTGGATACCACGATGCCGCGTGGAAAATCTCCGAACGTCGCAGCAATTGGTGCTTCTTTTGTCTGCCCACTTGGTCCGCGGGAAGCGCGGCCTCCGGGTTGACAGCCACCTCTTTCCTTGTCTAAATATTCGGTATTCGGGTCGCCTGCGCCGAGAATGCATTGAAGGTAACTTCAACGATTCGACGAGCGACAAAGGCTGAGGGGAGCATGTTGTAACGAGTAAGGTTGCCAGCCGTGTTCAAGCAAGGTCCGGAAAGTGGGAGTCGATTGCAGCAAGAGTTGCAAGGCGCTCTTCAACATGGGTCAGGGTCTTTTGTGGTTTTGCTTTGCTCGATGTTATCGATGGATCAAACGCGACCGATGACAGTTTTGTTGTTGTCGTCCTTTTGACAGGTTCCTGGGAGACTTTCTAGAGAAAGCATAACCAGCAATCCCCTGGTCTTCTCAACTCCCCTAAAGCTCTGTAGCTCGGCTGTCTGGATACCAACGGCTAGCGGTGTCGAACTTTTCCCCGTCTGTGATTCGAGGTCGTCGTTTAGAGCCACACGGTAGGCATAGGAGGTAGTCGCTGCAAGCTCAAGTGGTTTCGGTCGTTGACAAAGATTCGGACTATTTCGAACGGGAGGCGCGAGATCGCTGCGTTGTCAACATCCCCGAGGAACTGAAGACAAGACACGGCCGCAAGGGGCATTTGGCCGAATGAAGAGCCTCGCAGGCTTCAGAACATTATCTGTGGACGTGGCAAAGAATAATCAGCAACAGGTAGTATGTAGAATGCCAGAGATCTTAACCCCTGGGCTCGATCATGTTGTCAAGGGGGGCGCGGCTGGCGATACTTAACTCGAACAGGCCCTCGCCAGTACGTGTTCCAACGCTTTCAAGCCGTAGTGAAGACCAACGCATGATACTGCTGTGAGGCTTCAGGCACAGAGGGTTAGGAGAGCAAAGCTAGGAATCCCACGGAGCGACAAGCCAGACATTTGCTGCTTCTTCAACCATTCTCCGGGCTTCCGCGGCGCCCAGCACTGTCCTGATTATTCGTTTTGGCTCCGCCAATCACGTCGCTCTGTCTCAATGAGGTCCAATGAGCGTGAAGATTTTGCACAAGGCCCATGTCGTCAGTATGGGTCGTCGATGTTTGGGAGGACGAGGCTCCCGGGAGATGCCCCGACAGTCTAGCGCATGACAGCAAGGGAACAACAACAGAAACAATGTTGAAGAAGCTACTGCAGCGTTTGTATATAGCGTAATCAATAATAATATTTCTCAAATCATTGAAAGCCATCGACTTGGGCAAGCCGAAAGATTCGTACATCTCGTATTATTGTCCGAGTCCGAGCCCCTCGGACTATGACTGTGGCTTAGCTGCGGAAAAGGAGAGCACTAACCGAAATGTTGGCCATCTCTGTGGCTAGTTTGTCGCGCCATACTGAACACCCGAATTACCCGAGGATCCCACTCAGTCTTTCAAGCGCGGCGCTTACATATCCTTTTACGGAAAGGACCATGCACTACCTGAGGTTGAAAACGTCAGCCCCGAAACAAATTTCATCGTCACCTGTCATGTAAAGCAGGATGCAAATGCGTAGGGAATATTGGCCATAAGTACATTCTAAACCATGAAACATTGCAACAAAACTAGGGCTGGCCTTAGTTACCCAACAGCCGCAGCTCTAAGCCAATCTTCTTTTGCCTACATAGTAAGGGTTAACTTGATTCTCCCGGAATGATGCTGCTCAGGATCCACATTTCACGATGACTCAGGCGTAGGGAGATGCATACGGGAGTTAAAAGGTCATATCTGAAGCATAGGTTGTGCATCACCGCCTTAGTTCTTCCACTGAAACATCTTTCGCTGGATGTGTGTTCAAGTCTGATGTAGTGGAATTGCTGTGGAATATTTTGGTCCGAATAATGGAGCGCGTCATGTCAACGCGATATCTATTATGGTTAATGCATCTGCTAATTGGCCGTGATATTTAGAACTTGAAGCACTGGCAACTTAATTGAACGTATCTACTATCGAGCTTGAGTTCTGTTTCGGCGACACTCATCCGTACCCAAGAAGGTTTGCAGCTCCCGAGTCAGTTTATGACAGCGGAAAACTGAAGAAACATAAGAAATAAGAAACCTAAGTATGTGATAGAGGTGGCTATGCAAACAAGCAAAACCCGTTACATACGATGAGCATTTGGTTGAAGAAGGTTACCGTCCAAGGTTTTCAGTAATTTAGAGAACGTCTCGAGCTGAAAGTTCAAACGACTAAGTATAATATTTTGCGCGGAATTAATGATTTGTCGGCTTTCACCTCGCTTTAGTGCTAAGGTTCAACATGTTAGGTGCATTCCGAGTCAGATCAGATGTCTAGGTGCCTCAGTGCAAGTAATCCGGTGGAATTTTCTTTTGTGCCTGGTCGCAATCAAATATACAATCTCCATTAACGGAGTTATCCTGTGTTACGAGCACGTCAGGGCAACTGAACACACCACAAAGCAAGAGCTTCAGCAATGACAAAGCCACTATCCTTCATCATCCCTTGGTCTGCACTATATACTTTCGCTAGCCAGCAGCCCAACTGGTTGGACACTCCTGTATACAACGAAACTAACAGTTCTGCCACTTTTGTTCCACACAAGCTATCTTACAAGATCAGCGCAACGCATATACGTCTCTTATACTCTCAACAGACATGTTATTCTGCGCCCTTTGCCCCGCGTGATCTTCTTCACTAGGTACCATCAGCACAATCCCATGGTCACCGACAGGCCTTAAATACTTCATCTTTTGAATTTCTTCCCCGGTTGGTCGTATATATCGCTGGCCGTCAAGATCATCCATCAAAAGCTTTTCCAACATAAGAAGGGTGAGGCTGAAAAAGGAGGATCGCACGCCGGGAAACTCTTGAAGAACACTGCAGTGCAAGCCATGAACTCCACGCAAATCAGTTTAGATACACAGCCTGCGGCCCGCTCTTGCGCAACGCCATTGCCTCCCCATCCATAATGCCATACACGAAAGCATCACCTATCAGGGAGAACACGGGAGTCGCACTACTTCGAGGGCTTTTATCGCCCGTTGATGGCCGCAGAATGAACGGCACCTTGCCGCCCGAAAGTACCCAGACCTCGTCCCCTTCGACTGAATTCGATGGACCGACACCAACATATCCTCTCTCCGTGACAAAGAAGGTCTGACCAACTATCATCATGCGCACGGAGTCGCAGATGAGTTTGTTCAAGGGACTGCCTCCATGAAATTGCAAAGCAGCTGTGCGAGCGTCATTGTCATTAGCCCTCCGCAGCGGTAACTCTTGCATGAGAAGGTCTCCCATCATGGTTCGCCAAAATACATCAGCTGGAGTCTCACCACTGGGATACCTCCGGTACCCCAGCGATCGTTCCATTAGCTGCTGCCAGATCTTCGTGGATTCGATGATTTGCTCGTTCGAAACGCTCTCCGGGTCATCTCCTCTAAGTGGGCTTCCGAAGTTTTGTACCGTGTCTGCCAATATGCCCCTTAAAGAGAGCAGGCTGCCTTCATGCAATGGCGACGTGAACTGTAGATCCTCCCCACAATCAGCCGCAAACTTCTGGTACCGGTGGGAGTGGTTCCACCACCAATGGGGGGTGTTGTCACAAGGTGTTTGTGACAGGTCAATCGCGCATGAAGGGAGATATGGGATGCTGTTCGGCCGCAGGCCGACAAGTGGTCTGAGACCTTTCTCACTCTGTATCAGCCCCGTGGTAACCTTCTTGTATAGATTGACGACGGACATGTCGTAGTCGCAGATTTGCACACCGGGGATAGGTGTGTGTGAAAACACGCCCATCAGTGCAAAAGCTTTGTCCCTCGGGTCCGTTGCCTTTCGGTATCGCCATCGCTGGAGTATATTCAGCGGGCTCTCCCCGGCCTCCGCAATCTCTAGTCCTCGAACTGGCCCTGTAAAGTTGTTGACGATGTCGCGGAATGTATCCAGGATAGAGAAATGCAAGCGTGGAAAGCGCGCTGAGCACAGCCTCCTTGCCGCCTGCTTGAACGTGATCCAGGGCAGACACAGCGGGCCCCATAGGACCAAAGCGTTAGATGGGAGCACGACCTCCTGGACCGTCCATATCCGCGACCACCAAGGGTTTCCATCCAGGACCAGAGCCTTGAAGGCGTCATGGGCCCTTGCTAATCGATCAGGAGTCGAAAGGCCCGGAGGGATGAACTCCGAGTCACGCCACTGCCCCGCGCACATGCAAATGAAGTCGAATGTTCCCTCTGCATCGCTAACAGCGAGCGTATCAGGAAGTTCGCCGAGCCAGATCAGACATCTCGAGCAGTTCTTGTAGATTTGACGCATTATGGAGACCTGTCGCGTCTTATCACGCGAATCCAACTGATTAATGCATAGCTGATCGACCCAGATGGGCCGTATCGCACTGGGCTGTCGAAGGCGTCTGAGGGCGGCCTGGAGGCTCTTTGTGATTTTGACTGTTGCGTCTGCTACCCGGATTGGCTCCAAGTTCAACTGGTCTCCCCAGACGTACGACAGGGCCTCGTATGGCTCACAAGTTCCGAGCTCCACGTTGCGGATGTTGCAGCACAAGTCATCATCGTAGTTTGCTGGCAGCAGGTCGAGAATCCGAAAACCGGCTGTTGAATCCATTGAAAGCTTTGGGGTGATGCTTTGAACCACGAATGCCTCCGTTCGTTAAAATGTCTGGCGCTTGTTGAAATGATGATGGGACCAGTGGTGAAAGCATGAGACACAAGAGCCTACCAAAGTGCTGATGTGTGTGGGAGGCTTTACAGAACGGTACACTACTTCTCGGCGGAGAGAAGCTTATTATGGGAAGAGACTCTCGGTGCACTTGGCACTTGGAGCTGAATCCATGCGATGTCACATAGTTCAAGCTCAGGTGCCGTGTCTCGATGTCATTGGATCATCACCGCATGTTGTAGAAGATATAGCTGCTAGGTATTTGTTACAAGTAGAGGTCAGGATACCCAACTGCGCCACAAAACAAGGGCTTTGGTACAAAAACCCGTTGTCATTATCCCCTATTGTAGCTTCTACTGTAGATGGGCTGGGTGCTAGAGTAAGAAAAGAGGATATCATGGCAGGTTGGTTTCTGATAATACAGGTTCCTCGCTGTCTCGTACTGTCATTGAAATCGCATGATGATCCGCTCTAGGCCCCTGTTTAATCACTTTGAAATGTGTGAGGTGCCGGGCTCTATCAGAGCGAACTAGGCAATTACGGGACATACGAGGGCCTAGTAATGAGGCAATGTGGGTGCTGTGGGAATTGAGATCTAATTATTGGGTCTGATAAAGGATAAACTTCCAAAATGCTTGACGTCAAGACCTGGAATTGATCGACGGTAGTTAAGGGAACCTTGCCTTTTGCAGGAAACGGCTCGGAATCCGAGGTACCTAGTTCGGGGTTGAATGCGGGGTCCAACAACCACCGTTTCTCAACGCCTTCACGCAACCTCTACTTTCAGCCAGTTTCATTTCATCACAGAAAATCGTCAAGAAAAGATGACAGACAGGAAACTCCATGAGGCCGAATCCACTTCGCAGCTGGAGAATCTCCCCACGGAGGTGTTGCTGCAAATCCTCGCACGCGTAGATGATGTGCACTGCCTGTGGAATGTCATCACCTCCTCACCCGCCTCATACCGCGTGTTCAATCAATACAGCGCCGAGATATTCTGGCAGTCTATCTCAGAGAGTACGATCACGCCGCAGACACAGGATATCATTCGGTTTGTGATACAGCTTCGCGCCGGCGCCCATGAGGAGACCGGCTTGGACGAGATCATGCGGAAGATCAAAGACCGGGAGGCTGGGATTGTGCTCGGGAAAAGTGAGGAAACGGGCTACGAGTTCGCAAGCCGGAACGCCTCGAAAATCCCCTCCATCGGCGTCTTACGCACCGTGCTATCGACAGCATCTCAGGTTCACTGCTTGACTAGGTCATGCATTGATCATCACCTACAACAGCTGATTGATGCGAAGGCAAGGGGACGGCTGGAGTGGGCCCCGGAAGACGAAGGGGCGCGGCAGCCATCATGGGTGGAAGAGCAACGGGTTCTTCGCGCATTTTGGCGGTTGCAGCTCATATTCGAACTGAAGTTGGCGGTAACTACGTCGCGAATCCGGGACACTCATGGGGTAAGCAATCACGCGAACGACTTCGACATCCAGAGTTTCTACGACAGCAGCAACAGTAACCTCAAGGTCGCTTACCACGAAGTCATGACAGCGATTGAGTACGTTCGGCATTTCAAGACTCGCAGAAGAAATAGCTCGGGGTCTGAGACACATCGACTGCCCCAGCTGACTTGGCCTGCGAAGGATGTCCAACCTTCATCAAGGCGGGTACCAACAACTGCTGCCATGAGAAGATCGTCGCTAGTGCTACCAGCCGACGGCCTCTGGATTGTGGACAGTATGAGTCGGGGCGCTCACTCGCCGATCAAGTACGCGGGCTTTGAGCCTTACAGGGCTTTGGGGTTTGCCATCTGGGACCGGCATCGGCTCGCAGAGCTTGGTTTGGCCAGCCCTCCTGGTCATGGTCGTGTCACGGGTCTGGGGTCTTACTTCTCCTACTGGCTGAGGCTACTGGACACACGCGACTTGGCTCGAGCTGAAGAGGTGATGCGGGAGGTTGAAAACCAGGGAGGCCGACTGGGTCCGTTACAGCCTATGATCCAGGATAATGCGTCTTGAGATGTGATTTGTAGAGTCATGGTCATGGGTTTTCGACCTACATGATGGTCACAAGTAGTTGTACGTGGGCTTCATTTAGGTTAGACACTACATTACACACGATGATTAGATGCGACTTATTCATTGGACGGGCTAAAGTCCTAAATATCTCTTGCGTCTCTGCTCTATCTCTTCTTGATGATGATGACCACTTCTAGTGTTGTTCCACTCCAAAATATTGCGCCCGGCGACGAGAAAGAAACCCGAAGCACTTTTTCACTTCCTACTCACCCAGTCAATCTTGACTTTTTGGTGATTGCATCTTCGCTTTGCGAGTGCACGACTCTGTGGCGTCCCCTAGGCTTTGCCCTGAGATCCTTCATCGCACGATATCCTTCTGATCTGGACTTAGTGCATCAAACTTGCGGCCATCATAGAGGTTCCTGAATGCGAGACTGAATGTCATGAGTCACTGCCTTATCAACCTTAGCTCCTAGATCAGCCTGGTCTTTGATAGACTCGGACACCTCAACACGGCTGTCTGATGTTCCGGGGAATCCCAGCGGAGGTTCTCGGATTTGCTTCTCTGCCGAATCCGTGGTCATCTCTGTTGTCTCGCATGCGTTCTTCGTGGGCATTCGGCTGATCTCCCGCGCGTCTTGGAGAAGACCAAGTCCTAACTCTGACTCAAAGCGAAGACGACCAGTGCCGCATTGCTGCAAGTACCGAAGGACACGGCGGTACGCTCTGAAAATGGGGTTGTTCTCCCATGAACGGATCTCATTCGCTTCCAAACCCATCTGAAGCTGTGCTTTGTACCAGATGTCTGCCTCGGGGCAGCCGTCCCGGCGTTTGTTGAGTCTCTTGGGATTCGCAATGATGAATGCCATAACAGTAATCTCATCGATGGGCAGTTGTCCCCTGAAGATCTTCAAGGCCTTTTGTGTGACAGTTTTGAACTCGGGGGAGGAAGCAAGACGATTCAGGTAAACGTCCATGGTGACACCCGGGACCGTTAATATGCTGGAAACTCGAAGCTTGACGTGTCGAGGCAGCACCCCATTCTCGGCGTCGGACTTGAAAATGAACTCTGCAAGCTGCGTGGCCGTGTTGAAGTGAGGCATAGTACCCAATGGTTGTGCCTGCGATGGTTTGGACACTGCTGGGGTGATGAACTTCCTAGGGTCTTCCAGTCTCTTCTTCTTAAGCTTTGGTGTTCCATCTGCAGAAGAGCTGTTTGACGTCTTGTTACGCTCGCCACTGATTTGGCTATGTGCCCTCTTCTCACTGGTCGTGACGGTCTGCCCGGCTTGGTGCTTGATGGATTGCTGGGTTCCTCCAAATTTCGATCGAATTTGGGTGCCGGAGCCAGGTACAAACGTCTTCCGAATAGGAGCAGAACTGTACCCCTTCACCTTCTTGTCAGGCAGGGATGTCTCTGTGGTCTTGCCTCCGACACTGGCCTTTGCCCAAAAGGGCAAGGGCTTCGCAACAGAAGGTCCGCCTTTTGACATCGCTCCTACCTTCGACGGGGCGGCTGACGTGTCCTACAAAGAATGATTAGAAGCCGTAGCATGATATCTGAGGGGAGATACAAATACCTTCGGTTTGGAAGCCGAGTGAGTATGGCCCTGTGAATGGGCACTGCCAGGTTTGACGCTGGCTGAGGAGGAAAGTGCTATAGTTGATATGTGCGAACCTAACCAAATATTATGGTGAAGCGGTGCTATATGCGAGATATGTGAAACTAGTTTATCATTTCTGTTGAGGCGCGCTCCTTTGTGTTTCAGAGTGAGAGTGGAAGGAAAGACGGCGAAGGGAAAGATTGAACGGATAGACTTTTATTTATGGTTATACCTGGAGTTGGAATGTTGGAAGGTGTGATGTTCTGACATCCCAAGGCAAGTGCTGCCCTGCGTATTGAAATGCGATGGGGAGTCAGATAGAGCCCTGGTTTTCGATGTTCAAAGGATTTGACTATGATTCTGGAACAGAAGGTTTTTATCGTTGGATTTCCCGAGTTCAAAAGTGCGAGATTCCACTGGCTAGGTACTTACCGAATGAGATATATTTACATCTCTGGGCTCTATCCAGGAAATGGAAGGCAGACTGTAGGGTCAGCAACCACTGGGGAAGGTACGACCAATATGCAAAAGCCATATGGAATAGTGAGTCATATCCTTGGAATAGATAAGAATATTTTTTATTTCTTCATCAATGAGATCTGAAGTCTGCCATCGAATCACGGTGCTGTAGGTTCCTCTGGTTACTTTCTTTGAAATTCTAGCGGTCTCTTGTTGTTGGGAGTGACTTAAGCATTCTCCTCTCAATTAGACATTATGTGGCATGTTGTTTAAATAGGTTTCGTTGGATACAAAGACCGAAATCAAGATAACACCTCACCTCATCAATGACTCTGTCAAAGTCGATGAAGAATTCGACAACGAGCCAGCTGCCCATTTCGCAAACTCAGCCATCCAGAGCCAGCAAAAGATGATCGGTACCAACGCAATCAACACCCACCAGAGCTCAATCGTCAACCGTCGTCTAAGCCAGCGCTGACATCGCGCGCCAAGTTTCCTGCGATGAGAGCAAACCGACGTGCCGTACACAAGACAACCCAAGCCCGGTCTCGACTCGCACTCCATGTGTTCTCGCCGCCGTTGCATCAAGAGTCTGGTCATCGTTAATCAATATGTTGAAAGGTTTTGAGTGAGAGGGACTGCATACGGTACGCTACCCCTGCAAAACCGTAGATCACTGCCAAGATCACATCGCTTATCGTTGGGACACTCGAGATGTAACATCCGGCGTTCCATCAGCCATTCCACCTTTAACCGGACACCAGTGTCCACGAGGTAGTAAAAGTAGCTGCTGGTATGCTTGAGGGAGAGCGCATCGGGATAAATGAGCTGCTTCGATATGAGAAGATGGATTTCCGGAGGCAAGTCGGTGAATCCGGCATGAGTGCTATCCGCCGCCTTGCATTCTGAGTGCCGGCCTCGGGCGTCTGCGGGGCCCGGGGTGGGTCGTCGGAGAGACACGGAAGGCTCCATTGTCGGAGATGAAACGGGGCAACGCCGCGTTGTAATCGAAACAATACGGGCTAAAGACCGCTGCGCCGGTGATAGGGAAGATTTCTTTGTGAGGTGAGGTGAAAAAAGAACAAAGGCTGTCGAACGTTGTTGCGCACAGCGAGTCAACCAAATATGTAGCCAGAAATCCTGCTGCCTTCGAATGGTGTTTTGGGGACACCTGTAGCGTGGCACCGCTCCTAGCGCGTCAGACACGAAGTTTCAGTCCGTCCGTCACCGGGGAGGGGCAGCGGTTTTGCGTTGTCAGCGTCAGGCACACTCCTAGTGTGGCTGGTTTCAGGAGCCGCTTTGCCGAATTCGGAATTCAACGTGGCGCGGTCATCAGGCAACATTCCGAGCTGGAAGGATGTTCCGCGTTCGCCTAACTGTGCGCTGGGGCCTACTTAAGAACTGTAAAAAAGGAGATGGTTTTGGCCACTTGGCATTTCAATTCCACGGCATGCTGAATGCATCTGAGTCACCAACTGTGGCGATAAGTGCCGACCGCTTATGTCTGGTAGGGCGCGAGCACAACATGCAGCAGTCGACAGGATAGCTACTCACGAAACTCGGTATAACAAGACTTGTTGTGTCGTTGGACCTGACTGGAGTGGATTTGGCCTTTAGATACGCCCCGCACGCTTTTTAGTTTTGACATGCTTGACTCTCTCGGAGCTGTATGCATCATACCGTAAAACCCATACGCGCAAGCTCTGCTCAAGGGTTTCCACCCTCGAGCGCAGTTTCTCAGTCCCAAGATGCTTCATCGCCCCGCTCTCCAGAAGATATCCCTCCCAGGACTCCTTGGCTTCAAATCCGTCTTCGTGTGTCATCATGCTCTGCCACGCTTGGAGAAACATTTGCACCTTTATGACCAGTCTTTCACCACCGTCGGTGAGATCTTGGATCGTCTCCCTATCATCTGCATTTTGAAGATGGGTGAAATACTGTACAATCTTCGACAATTTATCGTCAAGCTTCTCCAGCAACATGGCCAGGCTTTTTATCATTGCCATGTCCTTGACGCCGATTGATTGACCATACTGCCGGCAACTCACGATCGTGTCTTTGAACCAAGTTCCTATGGAGATCAAGTCAAAGACGCAGTAAAGGAATAGTAAAGGCGTTTTCCTGGGGTCCCATCTGGAAAGATCGTATTTTGGCGGAATTCGGTACTTCCCCGCGTCGCTTTGAGTAGCAACGAATCGTACAACTCGCTGTCCACTAGCACTGTTCATTTGAAAACAGTCTCGATCCTCTGCCTTGCCAGCTGACTTCGTGTCGGTTTTCGTAAAAGCCTCGTCAGTTGATATATCCTCCACATTGGGTTGTGCGCGGATGACTGTTGTAATTTCCCTTGGCTTGTTGATGTAGGGTTCGGCATGCACAATTGGTTAATCCATGATTAACGTCTCTTGTGTAGTTGCCTTTGACTTTTTGGGGGTTGAAGTGTGCTTTTTTGAGGCGGAAGATGACTTCTTCGAGGACGATGTCTTTGAAGACGACGTTCTCAAGGACGATGTTGACGACCAAGGCCAAATACCTGCCCAGTTTCCTTTTTGCTTTCTCGACGTTGCTGATGTTGTGGCAGGAGCCGGGGGATTTCGTTGTTTATTAAGAGTCAATTTCGATTGATTTGACGAAATACGATCGGGCGACTTCTTGGGTTTGTCTCTTCTTTGCCTTGATTTGGTCTTCTGTTCGCGTGAACGCGGTGTCGGCTGATGCATCTCTTCTGGACCAAAACGAAGGCATTTACGTCGTGCTTCCGGTCGCGGTTTCTTTTCTCCATAAACGTCAAAATGCGCCATATCGTACTCAGTCCTGTGTATTATGCCAACCTCGTCCACGAGGAAACGGGCTTGGTGAAGCGGATCTTGTGGTTCTGTTCCTCCTCTCTTGCCGAGCATGAGAAGCCTTATGCCACCAGTTAAACCGCTTTCCTTAAGGTCAGGTGGAACTCCAGACAGTGTATGTGTCTGGCGGGTAATTGTTATTGTAGACGGTTTATGTGTCTGGTTGGCAGTTTTCGCGCAGATCATTGCGGTGCTCCATGCCGCGGATGCAACGGATCCAGTATTATCTGTTGGATCAACCTCATCTTGAGACTGAATACCACCCTCTGAAGTATCATCATTTGAAGAATCATCCTCTGAAGAATCATCCTCTGAATCGTCCTTTGAATCATCTTCCGGATCACCCTCTGAAGAACTATTTTCTGAAGCGTTGGATGAACTTTGAAGCCAGTTATGACTCATGATTTCCGTTATTGTCGGTCGATCTTTGGGCAACGGGGATAGAAGTGATTGCAGAAAGCTTGCCAGCGATTGCGTAACCCCACAAGCACTAAGATCCCATAATGGAAATTGCAATTCAGCTGTAACATAGTTACTTTTGGAGCAAACCAAAGTCGGTCATGAAAAGCGTATTGGTCACCATCGTGAACACAACAGCCCCCAGTGACCAGATGTCAACGGCGTAAGGATGGGTACGATCGGCAATGAATCCAAGCATTTCTGGCGCAATAAATCCCAAGGTGCCCCTTCGCATGGTGCCAAGAGTAGATTGATCAGGACGCAAGCGTCCACTGATGCCAAAGTCGGAAATTTGGACGAGCCAGTTGGGACCTCGAGACACCACCAGAATGTTCTGCAAGTCTTCTGGTCAGCGATTCATCGTTACCAATCACCACCACTAGTCACGTACTCCTGGCTTCAAATCCCTATGTGTAAACCCATTCATATGCATATGATGAAGACCTTCCGCGAGTTGGCGGGTAATTATCCTCGCCTCATCTTCTGGCATGGGGCTCGAGAGGTAGTTTTGCAGGTCACCATGCGGCACATACTCCATAGCGATGAAGATAGCCTCCGAACTCTCGAACCATCCATAGGACTGGACGAATGATGGCGTGTACTGTCGATGAACATCAGCACTGCTCGGACTGATCTTAGCACTCCGCTATCGGCACGAATACTGCCTACCCGCTCCTGTGAGAACTTCATGACAGCTTCGAGTTCCCGATAGTAGTCCACTTTCTCCGTCATAGTTGAGTCAATCGGTATTTCCTTGACTGCTCTGACAGTAGGGCTTGTTGTCTAGCGGGTCGATCGCAAGTTTCCAGCCACACTGTGCCATAGGCATCTTGACCTAACCGTCTCTTTGGCGTCCATCTTTCCTGTATTTGTATTTTCCATTCGCGTCCGGATGTCCCACGCTTGTAAAATGTATGTTGGGTATAGGCCGGGGAGAACGTTGTTTCGAGCTTCGATTCCTGCACCAGGTCCGACGACGGCGACATGCTGAATCATGCGGGGTAGTCAAGGGTTTTTGCTTGACAATGTCATATCGTGATCACCTCTTCTGCGGCGAATGTACCAGTTAGCCGCCAATGACAATCATACATGGGCACACGTACTCACAACTCTCAAATAGCAATTCGGTTCGGAAATTTATCGAATGTGGGTGTGAAGTGCTCGTTTGATCGTCAATCCGGGTCGTCAGCTTTGCGCGCGGGGTCTTGGCCGTAGTCCTCAGCCTGATCGTAAGGCCTGCCTGCATGGGACCTTGTATCTGTGTTCGCCAACACCTGCATTACAGCGGGACCCAAACCCGCCAGCCCCAGTCAAACTAGATACAAAAAGGCAGCCTGTTTGTTGTGCATTGAACTTACCTCGTCCTTGCCGCTATTCTTCCGCGTTCAGTTGTGTACCGATCCAGTCTTGATGCTGCCCAACGATGTCAGTTGAGTTGGTTTTAGCTGCCGTTTCCAGCTGCAGACCTATGTCTCACATATGGTTACGAACTTCCATTTCCTCAGGTGCATAAGCGTTGCTCATATAATATAGATACGGAAAAAGGTTGATCGAAGCCTATCGCGATATCAGAGGTGCCACTGAGGCTGTTCAATCGAAACTGCTCGTTGTGGAAGCTATCTGGAGCAAAACTGCAGTTCAAGTCGAGTTTGTGAAGAGAATCGCCCAATCACTAGAAGAGGATACTTGTCGAATTCATCTCGACGTCTTAGAGGTTCTCAAAAGCAAGTTACTCTTGGCTATTTCAATGCTCGACTCCGTCGTTAGAACCGGACCCAACTCGTCAGTCAAGAGGTGGAAGTATACACGAATTCGAGAGGCCATCGACAACTCAATTACGCAGCTTCAACAATGGCAAAGTATCTTTGACCCAACGTGGTATCTGATACTTCGGATGGGAAACAAGTTGATCGACGATGAGTTGTCCAAGCACGGCGACACAGAAAGCGAAACAATGTTCTTGCAAGCAGGCAAACCTAGCAATACGCTAGCATCTGCACAGAGTATCCGAAGCATGGTGAAGGGAGAAGGGAGCAAAGAGATGCATGTCACACTTCCAGAAGATGGTCTGGATTGGGCCAACACCTGGACCATCAAATATTCTAGCACGGTTTTGATTCGCAGAAAGGCTTCCGAGAAGCTGTATGCAGTAGACACCATTACTTGCGACAGTAGTTACGACCTACTTCGTTTGAGAACAGACACTGAGACCCTCGCCAAGAAGCTCAAACGAGAGGACATAGAGCTCTTTGGTCTTCTGCCCTGCAAAGGCGTCGTCAAGCGTAGAAACCCGGAGACGAAAAAGCTTGCGTCGATGAGCTTGGCCTCCCAGATACCTGGCACCGATTTGCGCAGACCTCCTATCAGCTTACGAAGCCTTTTGCTGCAGGAGCGCAGTCTTAGCTTGACTCGAGCTGTCGAGATTGCGAAACAGCTGGCTAGAGCGGTTAGCTTCATCCACACCCTGGACTTCGTTCACAAGAATATCCGCCCCGAAACTACCTTGATATTTCCCGACCACGGCTCCGACAAGTCTTGCGAGATATTCTCGGCATACCTCCTTGGCTGCGACTCTTTCCGCAATGTGAACTTCCACACGCTGAAGGTTGGCGACGATGCGTGGGACAGGAACCTATACAGGCACCCGACTCGCCAGGGCATCCAGGCCCAGGAAGCGTACATCATGCAACATGATGTCTACAGCCTCGGGGTTTGTCTTCTTGAGCTTGGATTATGGGACAGTTTTGTGGAATACAACTCCGATGCGGGCGAGGCCAGCAGTAAAAGAGTGCCAGGGATGGGACTAGGGTTGAGCCTGGTCGATTTCAAGTCCCAGTCAGGCAATATTGAGCAAACTAAGAAGATCAAGAATCAGCTGGTGAGCCTGACGAAGGCTCGGGTGCCGGCTCGAATGGGGGACAAATATGCTTCCGTGGTAATTACTTGTCTCAATTGTCTGGATGAAGACAGCCATGATTTTGACGGATATGATATGCATTTTGATGAAACTTTGGGACATCAGTCTGTGACTATCGAGGTGGAGTAAGAACTTTCTCTCTCATGGATCTTTGGTCCTTTTGGTCACTTTAGAATTCGATACCAACGTTGATTGAGGAGTGAATTACGGCAGATTGTCATGTCACATGAATTCCCTGAACCTTGTGTTTTGGCACATAACATGTGGTGCATTTCTTATCACTCCTATCGAAATGCTCTCTTGGTGTCTCTTTAAGGTTATCCGTCACATCGCTGGCGACGAGCGTAGACTCTCCACGCCTTTTCGTCAGAAGACTGATCTCTAGAAAGTCACTCAAGAGTTCACTTCCTTGGCACATAACCTGATAGTCCAAGTCGGGTCTACGACACAAGATTACACCCTCCTCCTCATCCTACTAGCAATATTGCGTTGCCTTCACACCCCAGAATCGTTCTGGACGTTGGTGGAGTCCTTGCAGGAAGGATATTCTGCTTTTTGAGAGTTGCCCGTGTTTCCAGGCCACAAGTTCTTGCAGTCATATGACCAACTGTTCCAGCTGGCACAAAGTTTGTGAGCTTCATTAAGAGCATCAGAATTTCCCGGAGGCCATATCCCGTTAGCTGCTTTCTGCCGCTCCATAATCTGCAAGGAGAGGCCACCAGAGGCGTGTCCTGCGATGTGGCAGTGCATCAGCCATACGCCTGGGTTGTCAGCCTTGAATGCAATAACCGCATGCCCGGTTTTGGTGACCAACACTACGTCACGGCGGGGAAAGTTGACGTCGGGTCGATTCTGATTGAAATTGTTCATGTCGAAAGAACTGTTGTCGCTCTGTTGTACGATGGCGAAGTCATGGCCGTGAAGATGGATCTGTTGATGAGTGAGTCTTAATGATTCTATTCAAAACGGTGCATCTAGGTTTATACTTACTGGATGGGGCCCAAGTTTTGGCTTGTCAATGACCAGGAAAATCTGAGAATCATCATTAGCGACATGGTTATTCAGAGAGGTTGCAGACAACGAGTTACTGTTGACTCTGTGACTCGAGAAATGCGCGCTTACCCAGTCGTTGTCAGTGTAGTTCTCGGGCACGACAAACCAGCCAGCCGGCCACTCGTCGCCTACATTGTCCAAATTCAAAAAGGTGGGGTTGCCGTACGTCGTTTGGAACGGGCTTACATCCGTGGTGCCGTTCCGTTGGAAAGCAACGAACGCCGTGGCGTATTGTCCTTCGCCTTTCGTTGGAACAATGTTGAATACCTCCGGTGAGTTGTCCCAGTTTGCTGGTTTCTGGACTGACCACTGAAGGATGGGTTTCAATTGATCATTGATGGACTTATCTGAATCAGTATCACTGATGTTCCATCCAGTGGTGGTAGGATCAGTGGTGCTGGTCTTGTCGTACCGGAGAACACCAGTCTTCATATAAGTGTTCTGATCCACGTGATAGTAGGACTCCAAAACATCCGAGTTTTGGGGGGCATAAGTGCGGATCCAGAAGTTGCCGTCCTTGGGGATAGGATTGGCAGAGGGATTCGAAACGTTCACAATCGGCGTTGCCTCAACGATGATGTTGTACCTCTGGCCAATGGCGACGAGGATCGAGGTCGTGTTGAAATTGTGAACAGGGACGAAGTCGGCCTCTATCACTGTCAAATTGTGGTTGTCAATTGTAAAGATGAAAGAGTTTCCGAAGGAGGTGTTGATTAGACGTAGGAGATAACGCTTCGCCCCAGTCATCGGATTGGGAGCAGCATCGTCAAATGAAAGCTCAAAACGAGGTGGGATCGTGTCCGTGTTCATTGTTTGACCACCCGTAAATCGAGTAATGTCACCCGTTCCATTCAGAAGAACGTCCATGGTATCTGCACGTCCACCTCGACTTGGGGCTATGTTTTGGAACGCGCTGTTGTTCGCTGCAGTTCAAGTGTCAGCCCTTGTCCTCTTGCGGTGGTGTTAACTAGAGGTAGCAAGAGTAATCGTCGACTGAAGGCTGAGAGGAGAAACTTCTATTAACGTACCCCAGTCAGTGATGGTGATCGGTTCGATGGCGACATCATATGGATAGGAACTTGGCCCATGGATGGTCTGGCAAATGTGAGTCGACCATGTCTAAGAAAACGAAGTTCGTCATAAGAATGAGGTAGATAACTTACTATAGGGGCTTGCAATCCATCGGCATACTGCACGGAGTAGTGGCTGTGATACCAAGAGCTACCGTACTGCATCGCCGTCCAGTTATAAATAAATTCGGACCCGGGGGCAATTGGACACTGCGTGAGGCCGTTGACGCCGTCCATATGCATCGTCTGCCACTGTCGGAGACCGTGCCAGTGGATACTGGTACCGTTATACTGGAGATGGTTGCGCACATGGATTATTACGGTGTCTCCCCAGCAGGCCTCAATCAGCGGACCAGGGAAGGTGCCATTGAAGAGCTTTCCTTGGCGGAAGTCCAGTCCGTTAGCGTTGATGGGCCCGTCAGTAACGTTAAGATAGTAAACGCGTGTGACACCTTTAGGTGTTTGTTTGATGTCTTCGTAGTCGGTCAAAAGGTTGAATTCTTCGCCTGTTGTTGGGTTGCGCAGCCAGCAGCTTTGGTCTTCAGGCGTACCGCAATGCTCGAAGCCAGGCATAGTTGTAGAATAGTCGCACCAGAAGTCATCGATATTGCTGCCAGGAGGCCTAAAGATGGGACCTCCGGATTTGACAGCCTCTATGCCGGGGCGAGACGCGCCAAACTTGGCTCCTATGGGGTATTGGAGTCCTTGGCCGAGGAAAGGCGATCCAAAGAGCGAGTTGGCAACATCAGTGACAATGATCCAGACATGGCGAAGGGACAACATGTTGGACTATTTTCATGCAGCTCAAAAAACTGCCAAGTGAGAGGGAGTAGAGCCTATTCCTCAGCCTGTGCATCATGAAAACGCTCATATAAAAGGGGAATCAAGCAATTTTAAACCGTATCTAATTGATCTACTTTAGACTACTTCAACAAAATCAGAATCATGAATTCTCACGTATGGAAAATTTGTCCTGGAGACGACAAATTGAGGCTTGCAAAGGGCGAACTCAAAATCGAAATGGCTTGTGCTGGAACTTGGTGGCGCTTCTCATCACATTCGAAACCGTCTTTCGAGGGGTCGCTGCCAAGGAATTCTCATTCGCATCAAAATTCCATTGCGAGAGCAAATGGCGACGAAACGCAGATCAAGACCTCAGACCCTACCGAGCCCTGATTGAGGTACATTATTGACTTCGCTCATACGATGCAGTCAGATGGGGTCTGAAACCTTTTGTGATGGCCGTATAAAATCTCTAGCATCGCGAACAGTGGCCATGGGCATCCTCTTGATTCAGGATGAAAATCACAGAGAGTGGAAATTCGGGCCTCATGGCAACTCCCACCGGTCCAGCAAAAGGGACGGGCCGGCACGTGGGCGCCAAGCAATTAAGGGCGGCGTTCCGTGCCGCAATAAGACAACATCAGAAGAGGGTTTGAGCCGGTATTTCCACTGGCCTGAATGCGGCCAGCCAACCGCCATGATCTACGGGTGCAGGTGAGGGGTTGAACGGTCGACTCTCAGCCAAGCGCGCATTTGAGCAGCTGAAATCTTTCAGCTGCCCGCGCTTGTTTCAACCTGAGTCAATAGTGTTCGTTCTGGAGCGTGGAAGGCAGAGGCGGGGATGGGGGATTGCCGTGTCAAGCGTTGAAAACTGGCACGCAAGCGTCTCATATTGACCTCCAGCCAATCAGGCAGGCCATTCCATGTTCTTCTCCATGCCACCACTTCCTGTCAAAACGTCCAACCAGTTGTTTCGGCCGATAGACATCGTTCGATGTGTCTCAGTGTCTCCTTCTCCCGCGATTATGCCAGCGGGCTACCCATACCGGGCAAGGTTGACAAGAGACTTTCTGTATATGCTATGCTTCGGCGACATCGAGCCGTCCTTGACGAATCTCGTAGAAGAACCCCTCCTGACTCCTGCTGTCTTTACGGGGAATCAAATTTCCGCAGCATACCCACATTGATCTTCATCAACGAAGGGTATCGTTAGTCAGCGGCCATGGCATTCCCGCTGACATTTGATACGATCAGTTGCATGGGGCCTGAAGTAGGTGCTGCCAAATGGATTCGCGATCAAATTAGAATAGTTGGCTACGCTTGGAGTGGATGATAGAGGAGCACCTAACAACCCTGGAACTGGTGATGTGATGGAAAGCCGTTACATTCTGAGGGAAGGATACAAGACCGGGGGCACGGATGAGATCAAAATATTATTCTCACCTTATGTACTCTGTACGGATACCAATTTTGCCAGTCCCCAGTCTACAGACCAGCCTCCGTGTTGCATGCTTAGGCGCTGTATCCGTAGGTACAGATATTCAAATCAGGATACAACATCACTGCAAGGCGTTCTTCAGAATGCTACTCTGTACTCCGCAAAGTCCTTGGACCTTGATACGAGGCTTGCATTGATGAGGCGAGACCGAAATGTGGGTTCGGAAGAGGTTTCGTCAACCCGGAAATGCAACCGTTTTCGGTTTAGCCAATAAAGTGGGTTGAATCAAGGGCCGCGACTTGGCGGAAAATCCATTTTCGTAATGGCCCACAGTCCCGTCAGTTCTTCTGATAAGAGGTTCGTCGGCTATCAATGACTTAGCGGAAACGGGGCAGAACCGAGCAGCAAAATGGAGAGAACAAGGTATATGGCCAGATTACAGCCTGTGCCAGCTGTCAAGCTTCTTCAGTGGGCAAACGCAGTATTCCATGATCAAGTCGAGATATCGAAGACATAAGGTGGAAACATGAGAACTCGGCGTCAGGAAGCAAGGCAGCGGAACTTTTTGTTGGTAACCACATTACTTTGTTAAACTATAGTACATTATCTTCGTGGTTTACATATCTCTCATCAAACTCGCAGTCTCTTCCAGACCCCTGGGTATTGCCTGGGTATATCCTCTGTGAGCCTCTAATGATTTCGCACACAAATGCACCGAGGACGATGTTGATCCGGATCAACACTCGGGTACAGAACGGAGCTCCAGAGCTCGCGCATAGTCTGTTCTTCGTGGCATGCCCGTAGACGCATCTTTACGCGGGCGCCTCTGTCTTTCTTGACGAGGGCCAACATAGACGTTGGATTGCTCTTCCCTGTTCAACCGATCTACCGGACCTCAACCTTGTACTCGCTCTTAACCTGAATGCCCCCATTATACCTCGCTTGATCGTCGAAGCTGCGATCGTCGCTACGGTTGTCAGCGAACGCGCTGGTCTGGTTTCCCCCCTTCGGCTTCACGATGTGCTCCTGGCTACCAACCGATCCGTCGTCGGGAATTCTCTCGTGGTCTTCCCTCAAGCGCGATCGCTTGTGGTTCGAGCCGGTACCGCCGAAGGTGACGAGGCCGGTGGGGGTATGGCTGTTCGCGGTCGATCCCTTGTGACGGCTGGGGAAGAGAGGCTTGATCGAAGGCGCGTTGGTGCAGATGATACCGATAACCTGAGAGACTAGATGTTAGAAGAGCGCTCCCTAGTAAGTGCAATGTGGGGAGTTCTCACGGTTTCACGGATCGACCAGTTCAGACCCAGATCAAGTCTCTCGGGCGTCTGCAGGCAGATGATGCAGCGGAGAAGGGTGCAGATGACAATGAAGAAACCGGCGCAGAACATCAGACCGAAAGACAATTTCCTGGTATGCTATGTTAGCACACGCCCCAAAGGATTGGCAATAATCAGCAAAACCTACCTCTTCAACGTGGTTTGCAACCTCCACAGCAGGGGGATCGGGATGTACATGATCAAAATATCGGTGCTTTGGAACACGAAGTTAGCCAATGAACTACGGATATCAGAGATGCAGCACTCAATCTTACAAGACATTTGTCGTGACCAGCGCGTAGTACTTGGACCTATTCTGGGTACAATCATCTTCGGGCCGGTGTTAGTATTGTCATATTTGATTGACCAAAAGGCTGGTTAGGACGCTATCACCTACCTCCGGCGTAGGGGTACACCTGCCAAAGCCTGTGAATTGGGCGGCAGTGACCGGTGATGACTGCAAGAGTTGCCAAGTATGCGGCAACGGTGATAACAGAAACCACCTTGACCAGGCGTTCCTCGGGCAGAGACTTGCTGCACATGGTGTTAGCGACTGCGATATTCTGTAGCCTCTTCCAAATTGGAACTTGCTTACGTGACCCTGAAGAAGAAAAACAGCATGATGCCCTTCAAACTCCAGATCAAGCTGACGTAAATGTACCACGCCGCGAACAGCCACTTAGCGCCGGTCTCGTGACTCTTGTACTCTTCGGGAGTCAATGTGAGGGCAACTGCATCTGTCATGCCAGTAATGCTCCCCTTTTCAACTAAAGTCACAGTGTTAGGAGCAGTTGCGAGGTGGTCACGAGGGAAGCGCAATTACCAATGATCTGGCACATCATGACCTCAAACTAAGGGGATGTCAGCCAAAGTCCCGCTTCGCGCGCTCGCTGTGTCGCGTGACATACTGTAAAAAATAGAATGGCTGAAATCGCCAAATAATCGTCGCCTTGCCATTTCCAGCCAACCATCTTGCACCGACTGAAGACGCGGAGAAACAGGACGAGTATGCCGATGGCATATTCCACCCACATCTCAATGACGGTGGGCCATAGAGACTCTGGTACCAAACCCATGTTGGCTGCTGTGCGTGCGGTCGCGACCGTCTTCCTGCTCACGACAATCAAAGAAGAAGATGAGTAAACAAGGTCTAAAAATGTCCGGCCCAAGACTAACGCAAGGCGGAGGGGAAATGTCCGACTGATGAAGGAGGTTTATCAACAAGCAGGAGGAATCTCCAAACAATCCAAATCGGGACGATGCAAGGTCTTTGAATTGCAGTTGCAAAACTCGGACGCTCTTCCGGGTTGGCCTTCAGATTCTATTCGGCAGTTGCGATCGACCAAGCACCCGGTTCCTGAATCGCGGCAGCCTACGGCAGGGCCAATCCAATACGAAATGAATGTGGGCTGAGGTGGTAATTTGAAGTCCTACGGAGACAGTTCCGGGGGTTCCTGAGGGAAGATGGAGCTCAATGTCAGGGTCCACAGCGAATGTATCGGCCGTTGGCGAGTATTACCCCTTTCCTGTTTTCCCTTTCTCTTTCGTCTGGGGAACACTCGACACCCAACAGCTCTTTGCAAGAGGCTTCTAAGCGACGCGATCGGCGAAAATTTTGCCCAAAGGGCGATGCCGTGAAATCTCACAGTGATCAAGCGAATAAGTGTCACGTCAGGGGGTCCAGTTCGCACTGACCTCCGGATCGTGAATGCGTTGCCGCCAGTGGCGGCGCTGCAAGGAACATGGAAGGTTGTGGTATCATTTTAGAAGATGAGCTCCGCTGCAGATACTGCACAAGAGTAGCATTCCTAATTACGCGATCACGCAATGACAATATGCATTCTGGAGTTGGTGGACTCTGGATATGTTTGTTGGCCGTTGAACCGCGAGTCTGGGACGTCCGTGTTCCGTACTCCATTCCCCAACTCGAAGTGATTGTCAAGTGATCTGACCTCTTCGTCTAATTTTGTGGTATTCGTGCAACCTTGTAGGTTCTCGCAAAACATGGATTTGTTCATTTCTGCATCCTTCCAGTCATGGACTCCTCCGGCCGGCAAGTGCGTCGTTTTAATACCCAAAGTGGAGAAAGCTGGAGACGGTCTCTCCCGGGGAGGGGAGCCGGGAGATGGGTCCTTTGCTGGGGGCCCCTGTTAAACTTCTGACATACACCGCCAGCCGCTGAACTCTATTTTGACCAGGACTGACTCGCTCGACCATAATACACGGGAGCTGATTGGCCAGAAGCATGGAAGTGCTGTTAAGGAAGCTCTTGTCTTCGTGTCGAAACTTACGTGTACGGATGAACATGGTTGCAGTTGCATAGATTGGATCAACCCTCCGTTTATGACGCGTTGTGCCAGCAACAATCTCTCAACACAAAGAAGTGTGAATGGAGGCATCAAAATTTCGTATCTTCATAGATCTAATCGGATTACATTACCAGGTTACCACTCAATAGGCTGGGACGGAATGGGCTTGTCGAAGAAGGACGGGAGCTGCGAAGCCTCCACCACCTCGCTAGCGAATGCCGGGTGATCGTCGTACGCCAGGAACCCTGTACCGTCGTAGCAGCCCACATATTCAGCGTCCATCTCCTCACCCTTCAGGATTGCAACGTCAACCCAGAGCAACAAATCACCGCCCTCCATAACTCCACCAGGTCCATACGCAGCGAAAAAGTCCTTCCTGAGCTTGACGTGGACCTTGTCGTAGCGACCGATGTACTCCATCTTTGAGAGATCCAACCAGAAGAGGATCTGGGCCTGGCGAATGTAGTCGAGACCAGGGAAGATGGAGTTGGAGGGGCCGTTAGTGTGGCCGTTGGCGCCGTTAGTGCCGTTGGTGTGGCCGTTGGTACCGTTGACACCGTTGGTGCCGTTCACGCCATTCGTTCCGTTCGTAGCGTGTCCGTTGACAGCGCCGTTCGTCGCTCCGGGTTGCTTGTCGCCGGCGAAAGCATGGCAAGCTCTGGCGTTGACCATGCCCTTTTCGGGGCCAGCGTTCATGACGTTAGTGACCCATTGCTTGGTCAGGCCGTCGAAGTTCTCGTTCCAGTGTCCGCGCTCGTTATCGTTCATGTAGCTGTAGTCCTGGCCCTCAACGACGAAGTTGATGTTGTCGGGGAACTTGGAAACTCTGACTCTGCCGGACCGGATCTTATCGGTGAGGGGTCTCGGTGTAGGGACGGCGGGCAGGGGAGACTCGAACTTGTCTTCCGGGGAATCGGGGGTCATGCGCGAGCGGTAGGCACCCCAGTAGCCGGTCTTCGCGGTGAGGGGGATGGCCTCGCCGCAGTGGCCGAAGCCGGACGCTTGGGGCTTGTTGGACTCGTACATGCCACGGGTGGCGGGGATGCTGACGGTCTCTCTCCAGAATCCGGCATCGGCAGGGAGGGCGGACCAGAAGGCGGCGGTCTTCGGGCTCTCCCACCATGTCTTGAAGGCCTGAGGCGAGGCCCAGTAGCTCATCCAGACCTTGGAGGGGAGGTCATTCTGCTCGAGCTCCTCGACATGAATCGCAGCGCCCTTGATGAGTCCGTCGAATCGGTTGATGAGAGCAAGCTTCTCCTCTGAAGGTGAGTCGGCGTGGTACTGGGCTCCGAAAATGGACACCGTAAAGTGGTGGGCGGTAGGGAACTTGGAGCGAAGCATGGTTGCGGTTTCTCGGCAGGAATAATCGGCTGATAATGACAGGAGTGACTACGATACCCGGCTGCTGCTTGACGTCCGGGCCGCTTGGGCTTTATACAAGTAATGTTCCATGTTCATCGCGGGTAATGCTTACCCGCGATGCGCCCTCGAAGCCCACCTCTGGCGGCCATTGGTAATGAGACGTTCCTGACTGGAAAGGGCCGCCGCCATCTCGACGGCTTCAGCGCCTGGGGTAAACCCTTTGTGCATTCACATATCAGGCACTAGTGGATGTGCAATGTGGCACTCCTGGTGGGCTGTCCCCAACGCAGAAAGCCCATCCGTGCTCGAGCCCAGGCCCATGAATCCCAGATCCTGCGACTGTTGTCACCGCCCACAGTCCAGGGCCAATACGGTAAACCCATCCCAGTTTACGACAAATGCCGCTGGTGGCTGGCGGCGGGGGATTGGGACTTCGCTCCGTTTTGGGTCGATGCTCCCGCTGTCACATTCCCCGACTCATGTACGTACATACGCGAGTGAAGCGTCCGTGGGTCTGCCTCTGGGGTTCGCGGGAGAGATCAACGCTTTGATCTCCCAATTGAGTTCGAGATGTGGGGGCTTGTTTTGTTGTCTGTCTCCCCCTCGCTGAAATTCTTCAACGGCTTCTGCCGGATACTCGGTCTCGAGTTGGAACGTGTCTGCGATAAATATGTCTCTGGGACCAGCTCAGTAATTTTAAGCGTCGAGATCATGGTTTACCTAAGTGAAGGTAAGCAAGAAACTTGGCAGTAAGTGGGAAGATCCATTTGATCGTCCAGGGTCGGTGCTCAGTCCTCCTCCATGCGTTCATCAATGTTTGCTTAAAGTGGAAGCAGAAGATGTGTCCAATTTGATGGAATGAAAAGGAATGTTACTGCTTCTTCAATTTCTCTATAGAAATGCCGATTTAAAGTGTTCAGAGGTGTTTGACGGTATTGAAAATAACTCACTGGCGCAGTGACATGATTAAATCTACTCAATTTACCACGCATGTCCCAACTTAACTACAAGATGTGGTATTGAAATCTTCGGGCCGCTTGTTCACCTCAAACATACGAGCCGCTTAATGACCTTTCTGAGGACATAAATACAGCGGGAGGCCAGGTTGGTACCTGAAATTGTGCACAGTCGGTGATAGGTTGGTTAAAATCATTGTGGTTGCCTTCCCAAAGCCTCGGGATCTCGCTAAACACGTGTGTCTGTACGGCAATGCAAGTAAGAAAAAGAAAGCAAACTGCATCTGGCCCGGCACCTGCAAAATTACTCGTGGCAATGGCCTGATGACCCGGAAATTTCTGCATGTTATCTGCGCTGTCAAGCTGTCAAGTTTGCCGAGCTCCTTATCCGGTTGGAGTCTGTTTTCGCCATTGTCCCAAGCCACAGTCCAGTGTCTACCTAGCCACAGTAATTAGCCACTCAAACAGATCACGCACGGACCCAACCCTCCGCAGAGACAACCACAGAAGGATCTGATCACGATGGATCAACCATACGATTATTTAACGTTCAACGGCCTTCGACCTAACTTATATTCTACTCACTAACACATACGACCATTCTATTTGCGAGAGCTGTATTCTGTTCCTCAAGGGCTAAATGTAAGCCACAGCTTAATATCAGGAGGCAGGCGGTGTACAGCTGTAAGAAGGAGAAGAAAACGAAAAGAAAAAAGACGTCATATTCATCTAATACCAGTTGTGAGGGCTCTGCAGCAGCTACGCTTAAGGTTGACGTAAAGGCTGATCGCCACCATACAATATTGGCCAGTTTCTCTGCTAATTTAGCGGACATTTTTCCAAGAAAAGGAAACCTATCGCAACCATTTTCACGCCCGGCACCATAAATCCATTAATAAGAAATTTAGGAACAACCCCCCTAATGCTGATGCTTACTTTTTGTTCCACAGCATAGGCAGACCTTGGAAATATGACTCACCATATAACGAGCAAAAGGCATATGCTTGTTTCCTGTCTGCTGAAGCTAGAGATGAGTTGATGACGCTTTAGTAGAGGATGATGGCATTAGATGTAGCTTGGAGCAACAACAAAGCTATATATCCGAAATTTGCACTGTCTACAGCCTTTGCGCTTTTTCTGCGGCTTGTTTGTTTGAGATGGGGGATGTGTCTGATAACTTGCGTTAATTACCTAGTACTTGGCTCTGCTCTCGATAAAATATACACCCGGAAGCAAGCTAGTGGAGGTAACTCAAATCAGTCACAATGAAGCCTATTACGATCTATGTCTTAGTATTTTCACATTGCCTGGACTCCACGGCGCGCTCCATCGCCCTTGCCTGCCTGTCAGTTGCGCAGTTGCGCAGTACGCTCAAAGGTTCCTCCAACCTAGGCAGCAGGCTAAGTAAACAGCCAGGACAATACTGACATGTGGATGCGACCGCAAAAATACATGGAACTTCTGTCTTGCCGGGCCAACAAACAGACATGCTGACCAGTTGCTTGCAGGTGGAGCGCCATCGACGCCTAGTCATGTGGACTGATATTGCTACAGACTAGCTCGAACGATTTCACATTCTTTTCGTGCTGATGATTGAATTTGCATACGAGCCTTAGTTATCATGAAGCCCTTACTCGACTTATTCTTGAAAACAATCAAATATGGTTGTTTCTGTTGGGTAGGCACTCATATCGCGAGTTGTAACCGGGTACATGACGACTTTGCACGAGGTTTAGTCATTTCGCACACGGCGTTCGCAAATTCAGTTTGTCTTATTCACATGGCGTTTGCCAATTAGAATGGTGAATGTCAAATGGAATTTGCCATTCAAATGCAGCGGCTTTATAGCGCAAATAATACACACACGAACAAAGATGCTCAAAGGGCAGCGCTGCGGCGGTTTCAGAGTGTTCCGCGCCATAGGTGGGCCAGTTTGGCGAAATCTGAGCTCCGTTGTATCTACACGCTAACGTTGCGAAGCTGCCGTTTATGAGACGTGGATTCACCGCAGTAGATTGATATTAGTGGGCGAACGGAAGTGGTAGAGGCCGTTGCTGACGAATTTTATTGTCGCAACGGACAAGGAGGGTTGGCCTCCATTTTAGAGTATTTTCGGCGTTGCGCATAGATACTCACACACGCCACCGGCGACAGCAAGATCGATATGGTTGCCGAATAAGACACGAAAATCAGAGAAAATCACGATTGGGATGCTATCCATCAATTGACAGAGCCAACTTAAATAGATTGTCTCGGTAAGGGACAGTTCAACGGTACTCGCAGATTTGGGAAGCCCCGTTCTCTAGAAGAGTCCGAGGAGAAACAAGTCGATGAATCAGGCTCTTTCGATTTATTTTGGCCGAAGATATTCTCTGCCAGTCGAAAAACCGCCGCCAGGCGCATAGCAGGACCAGCGGTCGCGGCATCACCGGGAAACGAAATGGGCGTAGCAAAGACAGTTGAAAACGGAAATCACTCCAGCTCTCTCCGGCTGCACGAAGAAGCAGGCTGAAAACCCATGTCGGAGGACGCAGGACACATTCCTTGGCACACCTTAAAGTAACCAATCGGAAACCCTCAAAGAGTCATGGTTTAGCAACTCGTCACATTGATGCCAATGAACTTGTGGGAATACCTGCAGGTAAAGGGCGCAGCCTGTTCTCCCCCACTCAATAACGCCCGCCCCATTACAATGTCAAACACGTGTACCACAGCCTGCTCCCGAGGCAGATTTGCGAGTGGTCGAGAGACCACCCCCTCCCCATCGGTGCCTTAGACACTGGTTCACAAATCCGACGTTCCTCCAGCATCTCACTTGATAATTTCTCTTTCAACCACTGCGAGATTATTCTGACGTTTGCAATTGAGCGGGCTACGTTGCCAGCAGCCTGGTCGTCATCACGATGGCTGCCGATCAGCGACCTCGACGTCGCGAAGATTTTCGAATTGCTGTGTTGTGCGCGCTGCCCCTTGAGTACAATGCTGTCACTCTGGCCTTTGACGAATTTTTTGACGAGGATGGCGACAAGTTCGGAAGAGCTCGCGGAGATCCGAACAGATACACTACCGGCAGGATAGGCAAATACAACGTTGTTATGGCTCTGCTTGCTAGTATGGGGACAGTAAGCTCGGCATCTGCTATGGCAAGCTTTCGTTCGAGCTACACTGAGCTCAAGCTAGCCTTCCTAGTGGGCATCTGCGGCGGAGTTCCCAGTCCAGGGACCGAGAAGGAGCTCTTACTGGGAGACGTTATTATTAGCAAGACGGTGGTTCAATATGATTTTGGCCGGCAAAATCCTTACCGTTTTGCGACAAAAGACACACTTAGCGATAGCCTCGGTCGACCTAACAAGGATATTCGCTCGCTTCTGGCCTCGCTTGAGACCGACCGGACTTTCGAGCGCCTTGAGCGACGTACAGCTGAGATCCTTACTGGTATCCAGCGGACCGCCGCCTATGCCGGACGGAAGCGCACTCGGTACCCCTACCCTGGAGCAGCCCAAGACAGACTCTTCAGTCCCAAGTATGAGCATAGACACCGAGACGATGCTGACTGTGGCTGTGACGATACGTGGATTTGCGACACTGCCCCGGATGCATCATGCATCGAGCTTGAATGCGACAGAAATCCTCTCGTTGTCAGGGAGAGTCTCGAAGTCAAAAAGGAACTAGAGCGTGAGGGCAATACCGCAGAGGCCCAGAAGCCGCACATACTCATTGGTAGCGTCGGATCGGGTAACACCGTGATGAAGTCAGGCGCGCATCGTGACGAAATCGCTCAGAGGTATGACCTCATTGCATTCGAGATGGAGGCCGCGGGGGCTTGGGACGAGGTGCCATGCCTCGTCATTAAGGGGGTTTGCGACTATGCCGATAGCCACAAGAACAAGAAATGGCAGACGTTCGCGGCTGCTACGGCGGCCTCGTCAATGAAGGCGCTTCTCGAGTTGTACATCCAAACTGATTCGCCAGGGAACTCTAGAATCGATTGTGAGTAAATAATAAATGGTGCATACTCTAGCTCAGGCTAATCAAGTTCAGTCACAACCCAGCGTGTTAACGAGATCTTGACTTGGATATCGAAAGAACCATACAAGCAGCATCACACACTGAACAAGAGTGAGGTTCTAGAGGGAACAGGCAGGTGGCTTCTCGAGGACGACGTCTTTCAGTCATGGAAGAGCTCTGAGGCGTCATCCATTTTATGGCTGCACGGCATTCCAGGCTCCGGCAAGAGCAAGCTGACGTAGGTTGAGGCCCATTATCCAAAAGATGACCAGATCTCACATAGGAAACACAGGTCAATTGTTGTTGAAGATGCTTTACAATCGTCTTCAACAGCGACGGTGTATTTCTACTGCTCTCGAAATCCGGCCGAGCCCGGGCGTTCCAGTCCCACCAGCATAGTAGCTAGTATTGCAAGACAACTGGCAATGCCCCAGCCCGGCGCGGATCTTCTGGATGCGGCAGTCGAGGCGTACAGAAGGTTCGAAGAAAGTGCTTTTGCCTCTCAGTCTCTCACACTAGATCAAAGCAAAGAGCTTATCCACAAGCTTCTTGATAGCTATCGAGGCCAGACAATCACATTGATTATTGACGCGCTGGACGAGTGCCACAGAGAAACTCGACACAATCTTTTGGACCTTCTCGTGTCTCTTCTTGAAACACCGACTATCATAAAGGTCTTCGTCTCCAGCCGAGACGATAGAGACATCGTCAATGAGCTAAATGACTACAGAAACCTGTACCTTTCTTCAGAGCGCAACTCTGAGGATATCGAAATCTTTGTGCGGTCGGAGACAAGTCGTCTTGTCAGCAAGGGGTCTCTCCTGCGAGGAAGCTTGAGAAAGGAGGAACTTCGGGACAAGATCATTTTTGAACTCATCTCTAATGCTCATGGAATGTAGGTCGTAACTTCGAACTATTATCTTGGGTATAAGACTTACAACTCTAGGTTCCGTTGGGCCAGCCTACACATTCAAGAGCTTTGCCGCCAGGCTACCGACGCTGCCATCGAGGAGAGGCTCGTCAAGATGCCGCGAACGCTGGAAGGTCTTTACCAAGAGATCCTCGATAAAATTGAAAAGCGAGATGCCACTGCGGACAGAGAATTGGCCAAGAACGTCTTCATTTGGCTACTTTGTGCTCAGCAGCAATTCAAATCCGACGTCTTCCTCGCAATGGTGTCCAGAGCCAAAAACGGATCCACCCCCACCATCACAGCAGACCAGCTTTTGGAATTATGCAACAATATGGTCCTTTTCGATGAAACAATGGACGCCTTTCGATTCTCTCACTTATCAGTTAGAGAGTTTCTCGAGGGTCAATTCGCATATCAAATTACAACTGCACACGCACTTGCGGCTGAGCAATGCATCGTCAATCTCGCCGACACCCCTTCCATACTTACTCCTATGGCACCGGTCTTGGAATACTCGGTCTACTTTTGGGCAGACCATGCAAAGCAAGCGGATCATGAAGAAAGACAATCACGTTTGTGCTTGATCTTGGGCAATTTCTTTGCCGGGGATCAAGACCCACATTCGCCATTCTCTCGTTGGCATGATCGGATTTCATACGAGGATTGGAGCCTGAACATGTATTGGGATAAGGTACATAAGTTCAAAGCCGTCTGGTCCTATCCGCCATCTGTCTTGCTGGTCATATCTATGTTTGATTTGTCGGGAATTCTCAGCCCGGGACGTTGGCAAGAGCTGGCCAAAGCTAAGCCCAAGAGCTTAGATGGCGCCGCACCGGAGGACCTTGTAATACGTTACGGCAGTATTAAAGTCCTCCAGTGGCAATTTGAAGCCGACATCCCCTTCAATCTGACTATGAAGCATATTGAAGTGGCGGCGAGAAATAAAGAGAACGGGGTTCGTATATTGTCATTGCTCCTAGAAAGGTTTGCGGCAGATATTCGAATCACGCCAGAGGTTGTCAAAGCTGCAGCTTCAAATGCATATTGCGGCGACATAATCCTATCGCATCTTCTACAGAAACGAGGTCACGAAATCAACATCACTGCTGACGTCGTCAGGGCTGGAGTCAATAATCGTGGCAAGGCCGTGGAAATCACCTCACTCCTCCTCAACCAACACAAGAGTCAAATCAGGATCACTCCGAATATCGTCAGAGCTGCCATTCGGAGTGGTGCGGAAGTGGTGAAGATACTATTAGATCTGCGAGGAGACGAGATCGAAATTTCCGCAGATCTGATCTTGTCTGCAATCCGAAGATCTCAATATTGTCTGCGAGGCTTCTTCAGACCTGTTTTATCGTTTCTCCTCGAGGTACGAAGGGACCAGATTCATATCACTGAAGACTTCATACTATCTATTGCCCCCCAACCAGCATGCACTAGAGACGTAATGGGAATACTCCTTGATGTCTGCGAGGATGATATCCAGATCACTGGGGAGCTTTTCGATGCCATAGTAAGCAACATGGATGACAGAGATGAATTGATGGCGCTGCTACTCGATAGAATCGAGGTAAAGCCTGAAATTTCCGACAAGATGATGGAGCTTATCGTGAACAATTTCAATGATGCCACACTACGCAAATTCATTGACCTGTACGGCGATGAGATAAAGGTCACGAACGGAATCGTCATGGCTGCCGCGAAAAACGGCTGGTGTGGCGAGGACGTGATGCGTGTGCTTCTAAACGAGTACGGAGAAGGAATTCGCATCACTGAAGACGTTTTGGAGGCCGTGTTTGAAAATGAACACCGTGGCAATTGGATAATGGAAATTCTGCTCGAAGTGCACGCACACGAGATCCACATGAGCGAGAAGTTCATCAGAATGGCGGTACAAAGTGAGCCAGACATGTTAAAGCTGATCCTTGACAAGCGCGGGGATGAGATTCACATCACGGATGAGATCATACAATCGTGTTCTCACGCCGAAAACACAATGATTATCATCAGGAAGCAAGAGAAATTTGAGTTTCAGGTCAGCGAAAATATTCTTCTGCAAGCCGCTGAACAGGAGAACGGGATAACAGAACAAGAAGACGGGCTGCTGCAGTTTCTGCTTGATCATAGGATGGAAAAGGTTCGACTGACTGAAGACGTCGTCAGTGCTGCAGCTGGAAATGGTATTTACGGCCTTCGGTTCATCACATTACTCATTGACAGATGTGGAGACGACATTCCCATCACCAACAAGGTTCTCCAAGCCGCAGCTGCTAATCGTATTGGCAATCAAGTGATGGCCGTACTGCTTTCCTGGCGCGGGGATAGCATTCGGATCACAGAGAATGTTGTCAAAGCGGCGATCCGAAACTGGAATGCGAGCCACAAAGTCATGGCAGTGCTTTTCACAGTACGAGGTAGCCGCATCCCTGTCCCCGAAAAGGCTCTCGAACTTGCAGGCGCGACTCCTTCGTCCTACAAAGTCATAAGGACCCTTCTCGAAGAACGAGGAGACACGATTCGAATCACCGAAGAGGCAGTCAAAATTGCCGTTCGAAATTCATGGTGCGGCAACAGAATTCTGGAAGTTTTTCTAGAATGGTACGAAGGCGAAGTTCCCGTCTCAGACAGAATTGTTAGTCTTGCGGCTGGAAATAGCGGCTGCGGCGACAAAATTATGTCGTTACTTCTTAAGAAGCGTAGAAACGACATCCGGATCACCAGAGAGGTGATTGTGGCCGCAGCTCATAATCCGAAGTGCGGCCGCAGAGTTTTGGCGGCAATACTTGACACAATCGGCATTATGTGCAAGGAGATTGAACAGCTCTGTGAAACTCTCCATAGGTCTCCCGACGACACATCCCATCTAGACCATAAGGAGACTGTTGAGATCCTTCTGAATCATAATGCAGACGATAATGCGAAGGGATACGAGTACGGCAGTGCCCTTCAGGTCGCTTCGCTTTCAGAGCACCGCAAGACACGCTCCTTCAGCTCGCTGGATTTTAAAGATCATCCAAATGGTCTTCCAAAACGGAGCAGACGTTAACGTGCAGGTTGGGCGGCCGAAAGAGGGCCCATTGCGGTCGTGAGGACTCTGCGCTCTTAGCCACGTACTATGTCGACATCGACTCTCGGAATTGCTTTGGCCGGACACTTCTATTGCTGGCCAGAAGACGCAAGCTTGTCGAGACTTTGCTTCTGCTTGAAACCGCAAAGAAAGGCGACTTGCCACCAGAGGACTTTCGTATTGGAGAAACAGACAGTCAGCTATCATCAACAGACACGATCACCCCTAGAACGCCATCAGTCCTAGATTGCTACATCTGCACTGTGGGCGTTCCAGAGAATGATACATATTATCGGTGTTTGGACCAAAGATGGGGCCTTGGACAAGCGAAAAGACTGACGACTGTGCTTTTTGTCTTGTGGCATCTCATCAACTTGCTCCCGTGGTGGCGGAAGCATGTTTTAGTAGTGAGATGAGACTTCTGCAAGTCGACCCTACCATAGTGGTGCCATATTGATGACTAAATAAAAGGGGAAGCGTTTGAACCTCATGAACGCACAGCTTTTGAGTTTACCATTCCATCCAGGTGTCCCATCGACGATCTTGTCGGTTTGAGCTATCCGCTTCCCAATTGGGATAGCTATTCCCTGCGTCTCGATACAGTTATCAACGAACCTGGCCGCGGTTCTTTTTTCGACTTGGCAAGTTTTAGGCCAGTTTTCAAAACCAACTATCTAGATGTTGAAATTGAAGTTCAGTACGTTTACTGCACGGGCTCCTCAATTTCACATGGCGAACTTTGAAGTAAGCCTCCGTATTCAGTTACCGCACGTTATCTTGTATAAATGTGTATTTCGCTCTTTAATTCGTCTTATGCGTCAAGATTGGCGCAGCTCTAAGCGCATGGTCAATTTGCTCTTCATCTGGCCCTAACACTCATTCGTATTCAATATCATGAACATATCTCCGCGCTGATCAAATACCTGTGTCTCTGCGTCGTATTTGATTTGCCATTGTGTTGTTGGCTTGTCTGGCTCAAACCACAGCAGCAACCGTATTGTCCTTGAACCGATCGGCCTCACGCTTGAGCATGAGGATACAGCTGGCGACGATGAAAGCTTCGGCGTCCTTGATTCTCGTTTTCTTGTCATCCGTCCACATCCCAAGATTCATGATCAACCGGCCGCCATTGCCGCCCATCCAGCGACTGGTGCCGGGAGTACGGAGATCCGCGTTCCGCACGAGCTGAGCAATCGGAACGCCGTGCTTGCCCACCTTGCCATTGCTGCCCAAGGCCGGGGCGGCATCGTCGGTCCGTTCCAAGACTAGAAGTGAGGATGCTCCGAAGGCTTCTTTGCGCTCGTCGCGCCCACCATAGCGCCACTCAAACGTGCCAAACGAAGTCTTCAGTTCCTGCGTACGCGACATCATGTTGCGACTTTTGACCTCGACCACCTCGCACACGAGATGGTCTGATTCGATTGCCTCTTCTACTGTGGCAGCAGCTCCCGGGGATAGTATCCTCATTCTGGGACGCCGACCCGGGCCCCAACGGTAAATGGTTGATATTAGAGGTGTCTGGCTAGAGTCGGCACCACAGACGAGCGCGCAGGAGTTGGAGTTCTTCTTGAGCCGGATGGATGTGTACTCTAGCTCGCCAGAGCCAACACGGTAGACGGAGATGTTTTCCAACACGTTGCCCGTGAGGGCCTGATTCGTGTCATAGCCAATGGCTTGGATGTCAAGTTGGCTGATGATACCACTGTCGCTGGGTGATACGAAAGTTCCCGAGGCGAGCGACTCCTTATAACCAGGAGGCGCGTCACCGTAGTCGGAGCTTCCAGACGACACTGAGCTCATGATTAAGAGGGTACAAAGATGATGTGAACAGCACGCCTCAATTATCGTGTTCTAATCGAATGAGTAACTTGACGTTTTTCAGGATGAATTTGGGCGAGCCTATCGCCTGACGTTAATGAGTTTTGAAGCGGTGTTGGATTTGTTGAAGTGACTTCAACTAGATGGATGTGAATTTGAAGGTCTCTTGGCAAGAATTATATAGCAGGTTTGGGCGTCAGAGACGTTCCCAGTGATAGGAGAGGCTATTCCCAGTTTGGCAAATACGCTGGGGGCGCCAAGCGCCACCAGTCACTAATCCTTAAAGAGATATACAAAGTCACTCGGTAGGTGAGACAGCGGCAACCGCCTATTGGCGACCACTGGACGCCGCACTGATGAAAAAATGAGGTCGGTGGCGCAGGGATTGAAAATCTAAGCCGACGTCAGACCCTGACCTGGTCGTCGACCACCTCTTGGCCAGCCTGGGTGCCACGTGCATGGGCTGCAGCGAGCTACTTGATCTTCGCGCGTCTGCCTGTCTGGGAATACACCACCAGCGCATCTGCACCGAATTGCAGGCTTAGCATGTGCTGCGGCAGGGCGTTTTTGACTAGCGTCTGCGCACACTCAACAGTAGAAGCCTGCGACATTCATTAGTGCGAAGCATTTCACACTTGTCCAGGATGTTATAGGGCGATTCCTTGGACGCCTCGCCGGCTGCGCCTGTAGTTTACCAGAAACTCCAACTTTCAACCTCGGGAACTGCGGACGGCCCTTCGCACCTGGGCGTTGACATGCGTATGCCTGCCTTTCTTAGTGTATTTCGCTGTGAAGTTTCCGTCACAAATTCCGCCATCCGAGGAACAGACTTGGGTTAAATAATACCAAATTGAAGAGAGACTCCCTGTGTTTAGTGAATTAAGTAGTTATAACTTCTGTTATTTCTGCGAGATTAGAGCATGTCTTTTTATCGCCTTCCAGATCCATGATACAGGCGCCAAAAAGCTGATAATAAACCTTCTTCTCATTTAGGATTCGCTGGCCAAAAGAGAATAACAGGAGGGAATGTCGTCGTTAGCCCCAGAGAGCAAACACTCAAACATGTCTCCTTCCTGAACGGGACCATCTGGGGACATAGGACAGTCCACCTTACCTTTAACAAATGTAGGTAAGCTGGGATTTGGCGAACCCTGGAGATGTGAAACCATCTCGACATAAAATTCGGTTCAAGGTGACATAGACTATAATTATTGGATACGAAGAAGCGGATCCCATTCGCTGAAGGACACATTCGGGAACCTCCTTTCATGTGGTTCTTCACCATTTTCTGGGGCATGCAAACTAACATTCGCTCTTGTTTAAATCTTTGAAGAACTCAGTAGATGAATTTCTGGGCCGATCATATATTTCATCATATATTTCGTGGGGCATTTTCAAGGTCAGCGACATTATCTTCGGCCTTCAAGCTTCGAACCTGCGTCGCATGATTGTTCCGGCTAAGAACAAGCAGTTGCCGACAAATGGGAATCGGACATGCCGTGACACTTTAATTAAAGGTTCTTGAAGAAGTAGGTCCTCTTCGAGCCAAGCATCAAAACGGAGGCCGCCGTACATTTGGAACTCTCATGGTGTGTCCCTCCGTCATGACAAGACACATCATGGCCCCGCCTTGCTTTACGGGCCTAGGATAGCGGCGAAACACTCCGATGGACTTTTACGACGCAGCCAATCACAGCAGCCCTGGAACTTTTGTACTAAGATGGCCCAAATCTACATTCGTGACCTCGTGGAGAAAGTTCCAGATTTAATCTTAAGACTCGGCTTCAGAGAATCATCAAGGCTTGCAATTCGAGCAAGCCACTCCTGATAAAAGCCAGCCATTTACCCAGTACTCTGTACCATTTCAACACAACATTCAACAACCATTTTCACACGAATTTGTCGCATTCGCTAAGTTGCCCAGTCAGCCAACCCCGGTACTTGTCCTCCATCGACCGAGCTTCATCATTTTCAAAATGGTGAGTACTTACCTGGGCCTTTCCTGCCCATCCTGCGCTGGGGCCTTCTTGAAAGTGCAGGATCTCGGCTTGTAAGACTTTGGCAGTTGATATTAGATATACCAGGGCAACTTCTGCGCATACATACTTGCATTGCTCTTCCCGCCTCTGGCAGTCGTTTTCCGCTGCGGCTGCGGCTCTGAGACTCTCATCTGTACTTTATTGTCGATTTGCGGTTTGTTACCTGGCTCAATCTGTAAGTCACGATGCGAGAAAGCTGGGTGTGTGGTAGGAGTCATGAGCTAACTTGAGAAGATGCTTGTTTGGTTGTTCATAGGACCGGCAAAAAGGACAGGGGAGACGGGACTGAGGCTTGATATGGAGTTGTTGAGGGCGCGGCTTGAGGAGTAGATTGTTCATTAGAGAAATCCGAAGACACGTGGTCGACGTCAGAAGATCACGGTTTGCTGCAATATCAACTTTGACTTGTCCACACAATGCACTCAGTCTCTTGGGCCTCCCATGACAGCTGGCGTTCTTTTCGATGCAAGGGGGGCAGAAATGTTGCCTTTCTCGATCGCAACGTCAGTTAACGCGCATTCAAGGCTGGATAGTTTTCCATTTGTCTTGAAAACATTTAGATAGAATCCTGACATTGAACTGGTGACAGGTCCCAAGGTCACGACTTGTTAGGGAATGGGGTTGATTGCCATTTAGACTGCCGAACCTCGGGATATTATCCCATCGGGATCACGGCAAAGTGTACTCAAAATATACGCTGTGATCGCTACATATGAGAGACCTCGTGAAAACGTACTTGTCGACCGGGCCAAATCTTCCGAATACCGAAAATTCGCTCCAAACCCAGGGGACATTGACGAGATGACTCTTGCTACATATGACTGTTTATTTTCTATTAATCATGCTTGCATCTATCAGCTTGGTACCTTTATACTATTCCGACAAAAGAGGAAGCCATGTGCACACTCTTAGGGCGTGCTTCTCTTTTAGCAACGGCTGCACCCAAGAAATGAAAGCCCTTCCCCCCTACGCGGCCCATGGGTTAGCACTTAACCCTTCCTCATTCCCAAAGCTACCAAATACTCCTTCTAGAACCCAAGAACCACCAATGCTAGAGCCGTGGCAGCAAAGGAGAGTCCAGACAGCGGCTTCATGGTCCCGGCGACGCCCTCCACTTTGACTGCCTCTAGAAGCATGCGCGGGGTGTAAGGACCCGGTGTTGTAGAGTTCGTTGCCCCATCCCAACAGTACTTCGAAAAACAGTCACGGCACACCCCAGGTACAGTGGTGTTTGTCCTATCCCAGCTACGAGACATGATGGCACATCCAACGCACGTAGGCCACTGCGAGTCAACTGTAGCGTTGCCCCTCGTGGCGACATCATACCCGTTCCGGATGATGGCATTCCGAACATCGAGTTCGTAAGCTGGTGTGAAGGTCGACACGTTGGAATTGAACACGTAAGGCGAGTGGGGGAGGTAGACAACGAGCGGCGCGGTGCTGTTGGCGGTCAGGTTCGCGGCATCGCATCCGAACATGGTAGGACGGGAGTTTAGTCCCAGATTGACGAAAGTATTAACATCGGGTACCGGTGGGAAAGTGGTACCCCGGTCTTGGAATAGCGAACGCTCGTAGGTAGCCACCATCGCAGTTCCGTTTGGCCAGTTGGGCCCTTCGCGATCTAGTGTGTCGGCGGAGGAGTCGACGGCAAAGATGACGTCGACTTCGCGCGCGGGCTGTAGCAGAGGCGTGAAAGGGATGTTCTGGAGGTCCTCGCCGCCGTCAACGAGAGTGAACTTTTTCGTCTGTGAATTCGCATTCGTTCCGTTGTTCCAGTGGTAGAATGGATCTATGACCAACGTTAGTCGAGATTCCAGACCAGGCATCGTATGGGACCTACTCGGTGACCAATCGGCAACATCCATGTGGTTTTGGTCCAGGTCGACAAGAATGTTGGTGAGGGAATCCTTGAGTATGGCTGGTACCATGTCGGTACTGTTGATCTGGAGTAGGAACTGATTGAATAATGAACTTGAGGTTCCAAAGACGAAGCTCAACTGGTCAAATCCAGTCACACATCTCCCGTGAGACGCGATTTTCCCAGCTTCGAAGTCTGATCCCACATATTGAAGAGGAACGAATCCGACGGAGTCGAAAGAGCCCAACTCCCATGGTGTGAATTCGTAATTGGTGGTGTTGGTGGAGAATAGGAAGGACTGGTGTTCCTGGCGCTCATCGGCCACTAGGATTGGCAAGGGATGTTCTGCGGCAGCGAAGCCAGTCATGTTCTGGATTGAGGAAAATGTTGAAACTAGGACGAATAAGCCAATGTCGTATACAGAGCCCAGTGTCGCTAAACTTACCAAGTTTGCCAGAGGCATCAATCAGTTGGAACGACAAGGCCCGGCCCCAGAAGTCGGTGAGAGTAGTGTTGAAACCACTGTCAACCTTTGCAGCAACTTGGTCAACGATCGCCTCGAAATACGCTCCAGCATTCGAAGAATCAGTGTCTCCCATGTCGGGCCCCTCCAAAATGGAGTTCTGGAATTGCCAAATGGAGGTCGAATTATGCGTGTCGACAATACTCTGCACCGTGGGGAAGTCGTTGGCGTACAGGGAAGACACGAGCCATCCGCCACCAGACAGCCCCGTGAGGTATGTTGCGGATTGCAAAAGACCGCCGAGCTGTCCCGCGCCGGTAGAACTAGGTGTGCGCTGATCGTACGCGGCGATGGCTCCAGCTCCGTTCATGAGAGCACGCCACCCGCCTCCCGACAGGGCAATGCCGATGTTGGGCAAAGCAGAGACATTGTTCGCGCTGTCAAAATAGCTGTCCGCGTCGAAGTCGGTGATTCCGACTCGCTTGACTAGATCGCGCAAGGCAGGTATGGTATTGGCCCGTCGTTTCTGGGTCCACAGCTTCTCGTCTGCGGAGAGGGACTCGAAGTCCCTGATCGCGGGCTGCTCGTTGACGGGGCAGTCGATGGTCGTGGTTCCGTAACTGTTTGCTGTTCCGTCAAGTGTCAGTGGGATGTGACTGGGACAACAATTCTGGTTGAGACGACTAACATGACGCAGCGAACAGCAGTGTCGGTGCAGTCGCCAGCGATAAAAATAGGGCATTGAGCATCATTGCTGTGAAGAGAGAGTTTCTAACGATAGAATGTCGTCGTTAACTCCCAGGCTACCTCCCCAAGGGGCGGCTCACTATATATACTCTTTTCACGGTGAGCTGGAATCACATTTCAGGTCTCATCGTTGTTTTCCAAGACGGACTTGCGGAACCAACAGGTCGCCTCGCCCCGTATTCCATCAAGGGCACCATCTCTTGGCGTGCTCCGTTAGCTTCTCCCGAGGGACCGGAATTGCCCCACAAACATTTCATGCGAAGGCTAATGACCGACAACATAAGCATTGAGAGCAACCACGATAGCTCATGGACTGGATTCTCCTCTATACGGTGGGTATCGAAGGGAAGGAAGTCAGCCGGAGAGAAAATCTTTGAGGTTCACCGAATAATATTACTGAATTCATGATTCATGGGCACAACAATTATATTACGGTGGAGCTCGAGAAGGCGCTGCCGCTTAGTCCGCCTGAAACATGGTTTGGTAAAACCCCTGCTTTTACGATGCAGCCAATAGGAGGACGTCGTAGCTGTTAAGCTTGTGCGCTGTGTATCGATCGGCCCTACCGTGACCCACAGCCAGGTTCGGTAAGGCTAAGCAGCTCGGCCCGGCCTCTAATGACACTTTTTCTGTCTTCTGTCTGGGTAAGTCCTTTTTTGCGCCGGCAACAGCAACTCTTCCGGGCCTGACATTTTGTCCAACAAAAAAGCCTCTGCCCCTTGAGCCACGAGCCTGCGATAATTTGACATTGATTGCAAGATGAGTGGCACGATGGATGTCCGGCCGAAGCCGAAGTACACTAGAGCTTCGGCGCCCAAGGTTAGAACAGGATGTCTGACATGGTAGGTGGCGGCCCATTCAGTCCGCGGCACACCATTGCTAAGAAACGACACAACTGACCGTACATATCCATCCACAGCAAGTGAGTAACTCTATCCTATTGGTTCCTCCGTAATCCTGACCCCGTTCGTCCAAAATCAGGATCCGCCACGTGAAATGCGACGAGGCCAAGCCGACTTGCAAGAAATGTGAGTCGAATATAACCCATCGTTTGATATATACGGCTGGACCAATCAAGAACAGGCCAGGTCAGCAAAGTGGTATGCGACGGCTATCCTGTAACGGAAGATAAGCAAGTCCCCCAGTCTAAAAAGTCACGAAAGACGCGCGCGCCCCAAAGGAACGAAGTGTCATCTCTCTTGCCTCTACCTCGGGCATGCCTGGACCCTGATGCTCTACGGGATCACACAGGCTCGGCCTTTTTTTACCACTTTCGAACATGCACCCTCCCGGATCTTGCATTGCCGCCCTACTCCACCTGTTTCTGGGACCGGCACATTCTGCCTCTGGGCAACGCAGTCCCGGCTGTGAGATGTGCCGCCACGGCTCTCGGCGTCGCTCATCGAGCATTCTTACTGGACGCTTCTGACCCTTCAGCATCCGAGGAAAGAGAACAGCTAGAAAGCATTGCTGTTCAGCAGTATAACAAGGCCATTGGCCATCTGCTCCCAAATGCAGCCTCATCTGGGGTGATGGACGTTCGAACAATCGTCACGTGTTCCTTGTTATTTTACTGCCTCGAGAACATGAGGGGCCGTCCAGATGAATCCATACAGCATCTAAGATCTGGTGCAAGACTGATCACGTCCCGTCCTCCTCACCTCGTGGCCGAGACAGGACAGACGGACGCGGGTGCAGAGAGTTCCATAGAGGAGATCGCCAGGCTGTTTGCCCGCATTGGCGTTCAAGCGTCTCTGTACAAAGAAGACGAGGTCGTACCGGATCTAAGGGCCTACATAAGACCCACCGAGAGAGAACCCCATGATTCGTCGCAACCCTTCGGCGATTTCGTTGTCGCACGAGACACGCTTTACGATCTCGACATCGATCTTGCCACATACCACAACAGGGCATTCGTTCTAGCCCAGGCTTACAAAAAGAACCTCCAACAAAGGGCCTCTGAACCGCCGATCTATGTGGACGGATTGGACCCAACGGCTTCCGTTCCAGAAATTTACGCCATTTACGGCCCATCGTATGCGGACGGCCTCGACATAGGCCCTGTCATCAGCAGATTCAGGATCTGGAGGCGGCGATTCGACAAGACGGTCCAACAAGCCGAGAAGAGAGGGCCAACCAAGCGCGAACGTCATGAGATCGCCATGCTCGAACTACGAAGGCGCGTATGGGAAACTAATCTCGACGAGATTCCCAGCGGATCCCCCGAGCAAGCAGACAGGATTCTAGACCAAGCTGAATTTGTTCTGCGACTCTTCTCCTCGAAACATCCTATTTTCACCCTCGAGAGCCACATCTCCCCATCCGTGTCATTCATCTGCTTTTATAGCAATGAAGAGAGACACCGACGACGAGCGTTGGATATTCTCCGCTCAGCTCGCATGCGTGAGGCAGTGTGGGACAGCGGGAGCTTGGTCAGGATAATTGAGCCTCAATTTTGTGATACCGAAAGAGGGGTTTTGTAATTAGTCTGATGCTGCCATCATTGTTCATGCTAGTGTTAATTTGGGTGTTCTAAGGCAAGCACTCGTGTTATCCAAGCGCAGACATGACGAGACGATTTCCTCCATTGGCACTAACAGCAGCCCCATTGACCCAACGGGATTCTTCGCTGGCAAGAAACCCAACAACATAAGCAATATCATCCGGGACTCCGATGCGGTCAGCCGCCGTCGTGTCTCGAATTTGCCCCTCCATATACCCTGCAGGAAGCAAATTCTGACTGTTTTTGATTGTATCAGTCGCCGTCAGACCAACAATGACACTGTTGAAGGTAGCCTTGGTGGTCTTGCCGAATTGCTCAGCGAGCGAGCGCGTGTAGCTCTGAAGGGCAGCTTTGCTCGCTCCATAAGTCATGGTGGGATCCAAGTTGGCCTGATAAGCCAGGACACTCGATATGGTAACAACTCGGCCCCCATAAGGTGGCAAATGCGGCAGGACAGCTGTGGTCAAAGAGATGGGAGCGAATACATTCGCCTGCATCACTTCAAGAAAGACCGGCAATGTTGTGTTGCTGACTGGCTGCACTTTTGAGGCGTCGCTAAGGACGGCGTTGTTGACAAGAATATCGATTGACCGGCTGGAAAGGTGTTCGAGAGTCTGAGAGACGACCTTTGTTCCAAAGGAAGGGTCAAGAGCGTCTGCTTGGATGGCGACGGCGGCTTCGACTCCGAGCTTGCGGCACTCGTCCAGAGTGTCCTGTGAAGCTTGAGAGTTGCTTGCAAAGGTAATTGCCAACTTGGAAAGACCCTTGCGGGCTAAGTGAATGGCGATAGCCTTTCCGATGCCACGAGATGCTCCGGTGACGATGGCTGTCTTGCCAACGAGTGACCAAGGTTCTTTAAAGCTGGGAAACGAAGTCATGTTGGTGTTTCTGAGGCTTTAGGGTTTTGGACTAAAGAGAGCGAATTTGATGGCGATTTTAATTGTTCAAAACTGAAATAAGAGACCGATAGGAGCCAATTTATGAAAAATAGTCTCGTGCGGCAACAATGTTTTGACCAGCCACGGCTCTGCAATACCTGAACATCTCCAAAGTCCGCTTGACGTATGCCTGCAAATACAGCAGAGGAATCACGCAGCGGGTGCTAAAATGGAGCATGCGGAGCGGAGCTGGGCTATCACGACGGCACCGAGAAGGGAAATTTCGGCCGGGCTTCCGGCAAGAGTGGAGTTCAGCTGGCAAAGTTGGTATTAGTCGCCGAAACTCAATGCCTCACCCCATCAACTACCGTCCTCCTGGAGAGGAACCACCGTGCGTAGCCGGCGCAACTCCCGACCGAATGTCCCCACGATCGACGTAAAGTCTCCGAAGTATCAGTGGTAACCACGGCAGTTCGGGGAGTTGACGGCATCCGTCTTGCGCCGACATGCAAGCAACACTATGCGGTGCCGGAAATGTTGTGCGGACTTCAGCAGGGAGAAATTCTGGAAAGCATCGGATTTGAAGATTCGTTCTGCATGAACTCAATCCGCATCATTCATCGCTCAAGTTGAACAGACTTGGAAACTTTCGCCTGTCGCCAGTGATGATTAGCTTTTTGATGCCGAACTCGGTTCACGCGGGGAACCCTTTCCTTTAAGCTAGTTATATAAAACAGAGCGTCCTGACGACTGTTCAGAACATTCTGAACTCATGACAACCATCCACAAACCAGCGAAGATGTCAGCTAATCATTTCTCGGGCCGTATCCCAGATGTCTTCAAGGCGTCTACGCCCACCGAGAAGCCTATTCACTACATCGTTACCGGATTTCTGCTCTTGTTGGTTTTCTACACAGTCGCAAGCCATGACCAAAGTGTCCCAGAAATCAACCCTCGCAAGGCACTTGAAGTTACTAACCGGCGTCGTATCAATGATTTCATCCACAACGGAAAAAGACTCATGGTTCAGGCCAAAGCGACTTTTGGGAAGAACCCGTATAGGATCCTTTCTGAATGGGGCAGTCTTGTGGTGCTTCCTGCGGACTATCTACAGGAGCTTCGCAATGACCCGCGCTTAGACTTCATGACCCCATCCAACGATGTTAGTGTTGTCGGCTCTGCAACCTATGCAGCTAATTTGAGTAGGACGGACACGGCTATATCCCGGGCTTTGACCCATTTACGGCGAAAGAGGGTCATCCACAAATGGTGACAAAGTATCTCACCAAGGCCCTCAGTTAGTATAGACTTCCGTTAGTGACGTGTCGGGGTCCTTGTACTGACATGGCTTCACAGCGAAGTTGACCAAGCCGATTTCTGACGAAGCCACGATTGTTCTACGCCAGGTCATGACTGATTCAACGGGTAATGCACAATTCAATCATTTTACACGTCCCAAGACATTTCTAATCATAGACACTAGATTGGCATGATTTTGTACCTCGCGATGAGATCATCAAGATTGTTTCCCGTCTATCCACCAGAGTCTTTATGGGAGAAGAGCTGTGCCGCGATGAAGAGTGGTTGAGAGCTTGTGCCGACTACACTGTCACTGCATTTGGCGTCGGGTATCAGCTCGGACAGTATCCCAGATGGTCCCGGCCATTGATTCACTGGTTTCTTCCCTCGTGCTGGGAAGTCCGCCGGCTGTTGTCCAACGCACGTCATGTCTTGAAGCCCCACATCGAGAGACGAAATGCCAAAAAGGCACAAGCTGTCGCATCCGGTGATACAACTGCAACCTTCGACGATGCGATTGAGTGGTTCAGTCAAATTTTCAAGGATAACTACGACCCAGCGACACAGCAGATCACCCTTTCGCTCGTCGCGATACACACGACAAGTGATCTGCTCCAGCAGACAATGGTAGATTTGGCTCAGCATCCAGAGCTTTTCCAACCTCTACGCGAGGAACTCGTGCGCGTGCTGGGAACCGAAGGGTTGAAGAAGTCGGCACTTAACAACCTAAAGCTTATGGACAGCGTACTGAAGGAGTCTCAAAGACTCAAGCCTGCATTACTATGTAAGCTGATCCCTCTCACGAAAACTCATCAGGCCTGCCCTGCAGAGCTGTTGCTGACTTCTGATTCCCAGGCACATGGCGGCGTTTGGCCACTGAGAATATCGAGCTCTCCAGCGGTTTCGTCGTCCGCAAGGGACAGCGCGTGATCATCAACAACACGCACATGTGGGACGACGAGTGGTATGACAACCCGGAACAATACGACGGATACCGCTTTTTGCGCATGCGCAACACCGATGAGGAGAAGCATGCCCATCTCGTGAGCGCCAGCCCAAAGCATACCGCGTTTGGCTACGGCCAGCATGCCTGCCCAGGCAGGTTCTTCGCTGCAAATGAACTCAAAATTGCCTTGGCCCATCTGTTGCTCAAATACGACTGGAAGTTGTCCGATGAGACGGGAAACCCTGAGCCTGTGCCCTTTGGCATGGCGTTATTGCCAGACCCCAACGTCAAATTCCTGATTCGGAGACGCAAGGAAGAAATCGATTTGAATTCGCTAGAATGCTGAATGTGGGATTGAAACCAAGACAATTTTATGCACCCCAGTCTTTAGTTTACCTTTGAAGGCACTTTGTTCAAACTGGAAGGCTACTTCGAGAGCATTGGACAATTCGGAAGTTGGAACATTGCGATGTCAAATAAGTGGGATGATAAGTCAATTAAGCTGTCTACTAGGTACTCAATCAGGACCAATCCCCAGCCACCGCCTTCGGGATCCCGAAGCGCTCGCTCAAAGTGACCCAGGCAGCCACAAAAAGCAAGATTCTAAACGCCTTTACATCGGCCTTCTCGCCAAAACCTCTATCTAAAGCGTCCTTGACCTGCTCGTAATCTACGAACCCCAGGTTTTCCACCTTGTCTTGCGTAAGTGTCTTCTCTAACATTTGGTGCAGCGGCCCACCCTTGGGCCACATGATCGGTGCAGTGAATGGATGCTTCTGCCTCTCGTACAGCTCTTTCAGAATGAAGGGCTTTGCCGCTTCTCTCAGGATCCACTTCTCAGTGAGAGCCTGCGACGCGACGCCGATGCCCTCCCACCACGGCCCTTGGTGGCGTTCGGGCGGGATCTTGTCGGGCGTGTACGCCATCTTCAGACTCGGCGGCAGGTTGTTGATGTACTCTGTCAGCTTGTGGTCGAGGAAGGGTGTGCGGGCCTCGACGCTATGGGACATCTCTGTCAAGTCGCCGAGGCAGCTGAGGAGGACGTTCGGCAGGGGCCCCTTGCTATAGATGTACTGCGCCGTATGAAGAGGGTGCCACTTCTTCTGCATCTTTTCGTGGATGGCTGGCTTGAAAGATTTGACAATGACGTCTTTACAGTCAAGGTCTGTCCATCTGTCGTTTTCTCTCACCCATGGAGAGAAGATGTCGATGCTAGGGTGCCATGCGAGGATGCACGGGGGCAAAAGTGTGTCGTTGACCTTCTTCATCGCAGGTGTAGATTCCCAACCGTGCTCGAAGGCTCCGGCGCGGGGAATGAGCAGCTTGATGTCTCGCTCAGTGGACCTTTGCATATTCTGACGAAGTTCCGAGTCGATCACCAGAGGTGAGCTTGGCATCGACAAGTCCGGCTCGCGCAGGTAATCCGGTGGGAAAAAGGCGTAACCGGCGAAGTGCTCATCAGCACCTTCACCGGTCAAAACCACTTTGACGCCGTTCTCGTTTGGAAGCGACGACAAGGTGAATTTCCCAACGCAGTTCAGATCAAAGTGATGATGTTCACAGTGATATGCGCAGTCGGCAAAGTTCTCCGCCAATATGCTCTCGTTGACCTGCGTCTTCTGTATCTGGACTCCAAGATGTTGTGCCGTTCTCTCTGCAATATCTGCGACAAGTCTTGTTACTGGTGGTTGGGTTCTAAGGTGGGTGGTGAACATACCGGACTCATCAAAACCTGACTCCTTAGGAAACTGAATAGTGAAGCAACTAATCCGACTGGTTGCATCCTTGTTGCCAATCTTGATACCCTCATCTCTTACAAGGTGAGTGACGATTCCCGCTACTAAGGATGAATCGATACCACCTGAGAGGTAGATGCCGATCGGCACATCGGCGCGAAGTCTTAGACGAATAGCTTCTGTAAGCCTCTCGCGGAGCCCAAGGACCATCTCATCCACGCTCCTTGTCTCCCCCTCCGTCTGTCGACACGTTAGCAGGGGTCCCTCATGATGCCACATATTGAAGATACCTTGTCTTTGTAATCGGCATCCCAGTATTGATGAATCTGCATCACGCCGTCTTTCGAAATCTCCATCCAGTGTCCCGGCGGCACTTTCTTAACACCCTTGAACAACGATCGACCATCTTGCATCCATCCGCCATCGACAATAGCAGCCACATCCCATTGAGGTTTCCAGCCCAAGGGAAGGAACGCCTTGGCCTCAGGCGCAACGATCAACCTATCTGTCCCATCTTCCTGTCGGACAATCGTCCATAACAGAGGCTTGATACCGAACCTGTCACGGCCCAAGATAACTTTACCGGCTGCCTCGTCGTACAGCACGAACGCGAATTCGCCGCGTAGGTGCTCAAGAAACTGAGGAGCGCCGTAGGCCTTGTACAGTGCTAGGATCACTTCACTATCGCTATGACTTTTGAACCTGTAGCCCCGCTGTTTGCACTCTTCTCGGATACGATCGTGATCGTAGATCTCCCCGTTGACGATGGCATGGATTGTTTCATCGTCGCTGTGGATAGGCTGGTTGCCGTCGAGCGTCAAGTCATTGATGGCCAATCGGCAGTGACCCAGCCCTGACACATGTCAGCCATCATGACAGGTTGTCAGACAATCACACCTCTGCACTGACCGATGAACCCATCCTGACTGACCCAGACCCCTTGCGCATCTGGTCCTCGGTGGGAGATCGCCTCGAGGCTCTTGCTCAGCTGCTCCCTGAGGTCCTGAGTCGCCTTGACTTTTCCGTTGGCCTGGGCTTCTGCCGCACTATTGGTGCCGCTGGCATATCCGTTCAGGGCTTCGGTGTGAAAATGCTGCCCTGGTCTGAGGGTGAGACAAGCCGAGATACCGCACATTTTGGCGAGTGTTTGATCAGCGATGCAACTTTCGTGAAGATACTGAGTCAAGAACGGTCCGGACTTCTGCTCCGTGCGTTGTTCAGAGACGATCCATCATAGCGACACCACCTACAGCTCTGAGCCGTCGTATATCAATGACAGGTGTCCCGACTCCGGCGCGGGCCGTGGGGCTGAGACTTTCGGGGTGGGTGGAGATGGGTCCGGGCGGATGGGCCCGATGTGGATCTATCCCGTCGGGCCGGGGCCAAATGGGGAAGGGCCGGGAACTAGAGTTTAAAATCTGGGGTTTGCCAAACTTGACTTCTGCATGAAAAGCCCCATACGCGCTAATCGTTGGAAATTGTCATGCGATTGAGTAGATTCCAAAGACATGTGCAGCGAGAGTTCGCCGGCACGTCGGTTGTGGACCAAGGCTCGATATGAGGATTGCCGCCGTGATCTTTCCTGTTCAACCAGCCATGGAAAGCATATGCATCTTATGACTCGGGTCGATGCTGTTCATCCCAGTAAAGTGACCAAAGTAGCGATTGTTTTCCCGCGTAGCAATGAATCAGATTCTTACATATCGGGCGGGACGCAAAGCTTATGTTGCTTGTTGCTGGAGGGATGGCCCAAGATGAGCATGACTAGTGCTATTAGTCCGGGTGCTGACGGCAATCTGTAGTGGCTGTGGAACACATTGATTTTCGCAAGTAATCATCCGCAGGCCCGATTGCTTCGAGTTCCATGCAGTGTCAATTATACAACTATCTTAGTTTTACGGCAGTGAGAAACCTCATAGAACCCTTCTTTTGGTGTCCTCAAGCAGCCCTCAACATTGCAAGGACACCAGCCCAGGTCTCACGAACAGTAGCCTGTATCTGGCTGGCAGGCAGAGAAAATCCATAAGTTCCCCTATCCCGCAGCTCAAGGGTGTATGTGTACTTCGACTTGCCAACACCGTGGATGTAGTCGGTGCTATCACCCGTAGTCGCGTAAAGCGCACGGCAAGCGTTTCCAATCGTGTAAGAAGTGCCGGAAACGCCCCGAATACTGGTGGCACCGATCTGCGCCATGGCTTGCAAAGCAGCATCATCTGGGGCGACGTAGCTGCAGTCATATCCGTATGCTACAACAGATCATGTCAGTTGAGTGCTCCAAGGGAAGAGGATGAAAAGCCTTACGCCAAAGAATGTACTGTCCGTAGGAGTGGAAGTCGATGTAGAATTGAATGCCCCTGCTGGCGCTCAGCGAATCGACTTGAGCCTTTAGGCCCCTGATCTCGGGTGTGTCCGCAGCGGCAGCGCCCTTGTAGGTCTCGGAGCAGGGGTTGGTAGATGCGCCGCCAGTGAGTTCCCACTTGTAGGGCCAGTTGCGGTTGGGGTCACGGCCAACACAGCTGCTGCCGGATTGGGTCTGACGGTTCTTACGCCACAGACGGTCGTTACTCTGGGTGTAGACGAAGCCATCAGGGTTGACGACCGGAGTGATGTAGCTTGAATTGTGTGTCAGCTAGTGTCTTTGCCCAAATCCTGCACTGAGAAACATTTAAGACGTTCGCACATACAAGTCAAACTTGTCGACCAGAGCCTTGACCGCAGAGTCGGAGGAGTACTTGGTCAGAAGTTGGAAAGCCATATACTCAGTGGTCTACTGTTGTGTTAGTCTAATCCTAATGAGCTCTGAAATGGGGTTTCTTGCCATGGTGCTGATCCACTCGCGAGCGTGAACGGTGCCGTGGAAGATGACGGCTGGCTTGGAGCCCTTACCTCCGCTGCCCCAGATGTGGATACCTGTCAGAGCACGACCCTGGACGGAAGTTCCAACAGTGACAATCTCAGACTGGCTAGGGAAGCCCCCTTGAAGGTCTCTAAGGAACTGAAGGTGGTCGGCATAGCTATGGTACGCGGTGAACCATGTCTCACTGGGAACTGTAGGAAGACCGAGGTGAGTCACAAGACGGAAAGTTGGACGACTTAATTAGTCAGATCGCCGCGCAGATCGCGAACATACCAGCGTAGACAGTAGCAGTCTCCTCCTCAGCGAAAGCCGCACCGATGTCCTCGACGAGAACTGTCGTGTTGACTGCAAGCTGGGAGATGGCATCGATATTCTCAGGAGATGCCACCACGTCGAGCTTCTCCTTGGATCCGGGATTGAGAATGGCAGCCGCCAGCTCGGTGATCTGATCAGCAACACCCTCTGCGTCCTCGGGAAGAGTAATGCGAAGGCCCTTGAAGCCGTTGTAGTCAACCTTGGTTGACTTGGGTACCACAGTGGTTAAGGCTAGGGTGAAGAATCCAGCCGCCGACAGGATGGAAGCCTTCATGGCGAGGTAGAATATAGAGGACGTCGGCGAGACACTGGAAATGGATCCGGGAGCCAAGATCAAGTTTGGCAAAAAGTCGCGACTTTGGGGCTTGGCACCAAGAGTGAGGAAGGCCTTGCCGAAGGATCTTGCCGTTGAGAAGACCCCATTTTATAAACATGAGGAGTGATTGAATGCTGCGTCTTCCTCTACGGTTTTCCGTCACAAGCTAAAGCACTAAAGAGAAACTCCCTCGTCAAACTGCGGAAGCGACAGGCTAAAGCGGTAGGTGATATTCCAGCTGGGGAATGCGAGAGCAGTTTGATGCGACTTCACCCGCCGCCAAGAGAGAGCCAAGAGGGAAATCGCATGTCTTGGCAATCTACCTTGCCAGAACAGGAAGTTCCCTGCCCTCAACTTCGGCAGAGTCCATGATATTGGGTAGGTGACTACTACTGTCAACTGAAAGAAGTCGCTTCGCTTACGGAAGGTGAAACTTACTGGGTATACCCAGAAATATGAAAGAGCACAGCTATCAAGGTGGTTCTTTTGTTACTCGCCGCAAGCGAGAGGACATCCGATCTGAACTTGGAAGCTGGTATAGCACATTGTCAAAATCGTATTGAAACATGATATAGGCGTCAGACTAGGAGCCGCCGCTTGCTATTGGTCCACCGTGGACTATTTGTCGCAGATTGTCCGAGAGGCGGACGGAAGGCGGGCCGCAGGTTCGCATATAGTGGGGTAAGTCTCGGCAGCGGGTCCGGCGGATGCCCCGGTCATCCCTGCAGGCCGTTGTCAGGTATGTTATTCAAGAGATGCCTTCTAAGACACGATCGATGGACAAATTAGGATGTTTTTTCTGCGGCCCGATTTAAGTATAATGATTTTCTCTATTATTTTCGTACGAACCAACACAATTATTCAGAAGTATCCCATTCGTCGCGCCACCATGAGCGAAACAGCAGCAAACAAGATTATACCACTCATGATGCCGAAGAACGCATTCAGATTCTCATCTCCACCCCAAGGGACCTTGACGTTCATACCAAACAGACCGCAAACCACGTTTAGCGGGACGATGATTGTCGCAATCACAGTGACACGGCTCAAGAAGTCATTGGTCCGGTTGCCCATGTCGATGTTATCGATGGACAGCTGGGCGAGGTAATTGCTGTGCGACCGCGAGAGCATGGTATCGAAGTGCACGAGACTGTTCATCATCGTTACCGCATGGTCTTGGATATCGCTGAGGTACAAGGCAATGTCCATGCGGGGGGTGACATCGTAATCTTCGGTGCACCGCTTGGTGAATGCGCGCAGGACATCTGCTTTGCCGCCGAGCAGACGCATCAGGCTCATGACGTTCTTCCGAGTCAGCCCGATGCGGCGGAGAAACACTTGATTGTCTTCGGGGCGGGTGATGAACACTTGATCCTCAATTGCGTCTGCCTCGTGTTCGATTTGGTTGATGCCTGGGCCGAACGAGTCGACGATGTCATCACTGGGACACAGTTAGTCATGACCAAGACAGGGGTATACACTGTTTCCAGGATGGTCCTTACATCAATGCGTAGCAGATCCAGTCACTGCTCAGCGACACCTGTTCCTTCAACTGCGAAATGCGGAAGCGGACCCGGGAAGCATGTGAGTTTGGCGTAAAGCTGAAGCTGATGATCCCCTCTCGAAAGACAACGACGTAAACGTTGAAGGGATGATAGTCAACTCCATGACCATCAGGCTCGTCCACGGTCGCAAAGGACCTGAAACAAGCGAAATAGTACGACGGAAACAGTTCAATCTTCTCCCGGCTTTCCTGGTGAATGATGTCCTCAATGGTCAGAGGGTGGATACCAAACGCCTTGCAGATGGTCCATGCCTCGGAGCCAGTAGGGTTGTTCATGTTGAGCCACCATACTCCATCCGGCTCCTCATCTGGGAAGTCGAACAAGGTCCGGATATTTTCACCGGGCAGAACAAGGTCCCCAAACTGCGCAGCGTGGATGGTCGACTCCAGAGCAGATGAAAAGAAATTGAATCGGCTCTGCTCGGGGTGCTGCTCGCTAACGCGGGTTTGAGCATTGCTCACGGCCTCAGCCTTCTCCTGCGAGATGGAGACCCGCTCAGTAACGACATCAATAAAATCGCCGTCCGCAGTGAACATGGGTGAGCTATGCGGCATCGCACTGTCGGGCAGATTCGCGAAAACCGTGCTGTCGGGGCGGTCCCCATCCTCCGCATGGGCCAGCGTCTCGAGGTAGTCGAAGTCGATATACAACCTGTCTTTGGGATGCACCTGGTCTCGCGAGTGCGTGCCGTCAACCTCCGTCGTTGCCAAGCCCAGCGAGTTGCGGTGGCCACATGTATTGTGTGAGCGGCTGTGGCAGCTCCGGCTACTGCCAAGAGGCTTGTCTGGGACACCTTCGTAGCCGTCTTCGTCCTCGCTATCGCTGTCCGGCCGATGCTCCTGGCCGCGGCGACGTGCTGCGGCGAACGCCTTGACCGAATTCGGTGGCGAGACCGTGCGCCTGGTCGAGTCAAAGGTCGGACGGCGGCTTAGGGGTTGCATCGTCGGCGAGCCAAGGAAGGCGTCGAGAATGTCTTCGCGGGTCGAGGCATGGTCGGCGCTTCTATCGCGAGGACGCGGGCTGGGTCCAGCTTGGCGAGCACTCAAAGGAGAGAGAGGAGCGGATGCATCCTGGGCCCGGGTGGGCTTGGTCGTCTCCTTCTCGGGCATGTTGGATATTGAGGATTGGTATATTAGATCCGAAGGTAGGTTGGATGAGCGAGGTGTTGTTGGGGGACCATTCTCTTTCGAGATGGCACACTTGTAATGTAAGTTCGATGAAGCAATCTGGTGAGAGGATCTTGGAGCTCCTTATGGTGGTTGACGAGAAACGTGTGCCATTCTCAAAGGGTTATTCAGAAAGATAGAAGAGCGGTCGGCGATGATTGTTGTATGACAGTAGGTCTCTGCGATTCACCTTCTCGTCAGGTGTCGTCTCATGATCAACCGGTTGATGTAGTTGCGACTTGGCAAAAGTCCAATAAGGCAATCGACGGTGTTTTGCATGGATTCAGATAATGTGGTAAGGATGGATGCCGAAGAGAAAAAAAGACGGTAATGGCGATGTCGAGGAGAGATTAAAAGGTTGCCCGACCGAACGGGTGTCTTGAACTAATATTTTAGCACAGCCTCAAAAGCGGCGGAGTCAGGTTAAGGTTTTCAGACATCGGTCCAATACCTCACCGCGCAAGGGACTATCACAATCGTAACCTGGGGAAAATTCAGTCAATCGAAACCCCTGTCAAGCCTACCACCAAAACACGGTGACGTGCAGCCCAGGCAGATTGTAGCGTGAGGGAATTTCGTGCCGGCAGAGAAAACACGGCCCCAATGCTGGGATCTGAAGAAGCCGATTCCTTCACAGATTACACGACGACGCCTCGCCTCAAGAATATTGAGCTTAAGCCACTTCCAGCCAAGCTTCCGTCCCCCATTCTTGCGGGCTTCTCACATGTAACACGGAACTAATCCCATCTTCTGACTCGGCTGCCTCCTCCGCACAACCACAGCCCCCGGCTCCTCTTCCCCAACCAGTCGACGAGTAAGATCAGCGACGCAGCACTCAAATGCCTCATAGCAACAACACCTCGCAGCGGGCGCTCGCGATGTTGCGGCATAACGCATCTGGCTCAAAGGATCCATCAGCGCCCCCACGAACACATCTCATGACCTCTATTTCTAGATAAGAGGTCTTTTCATATTTTAAGAAGGTGAAAGTAATGCCTCAGTTCGCGCGTCTGGGCATAATCTGCACCACACACAGCTGAGACGGTTAGGCGGCTGTGACGGCAACCGCTCTGAAAGCTAGAAGTTAGACTTTTGCATCGTCATCATCAAGTCTGGGGGAGAACACGCGACCGTATTCTGCAGCTAAGCAGCTGGCCTAGGTATCGCACGTGGAAAGTCGGTGCGGACAGGCTGTCCAGCTCACCGCCTCCCACACGTCTGGGACATAGTGCAAAGCCGGTCGCACCCGAAAGACTGGAAGAGCAATGGATTCAATTATTGACAACACGTTGATTTGCAAACTACACGGCGCGATCCAAGGTGCTACCTCAGGGCCGCCCGAACTTCGTTTTCGCGGCGCACGTGCATCAGGAACACCGGCTACAGTTGGCCCACGACTCCAAAAACGCTCAGACCGTCGCCTTCAACCGATGCTTCGAAATTGCGCTGAAGACTCATCATCGGCTTTTTTGTCTTTCGTTCTCATCTCACGGACTGCAGTATTCAGATGACGATCAAACTGAAATGACATAACCGATACACAGTTCTGACTGACATTCAATGATTCGTCTTTCTACCTCTTTCATCATATGCTATTAATGGCAGCAAAACGCCGCAAACTTCGCAAACTCATCATCTTCCAGAAGCTGGTCCATCTCATCAGCAAATAGACTGACGAGCAGCTCGATGCCACCATGACTCTTCATCGGCAGGACCATGCAAAGTCTAAAGTTGGCGTTGAACGCATCCATCAGCGGACGCAGCGACTCAGGCTTGCCGTCGTTGTCGAATATGTCCGCCCCGAAATTGATCTTGTCCAGCGGCAAAAGCAGCACCGACGTAATCATGACATCGAAGCCATCGAGCCGCGTGAATGCGTGCTTCAGCTTGGTGTAGTCTGGAACTTCCCTCATAAGAGTGAATGCATCCTTCACAAGCCCTGGGTTCACCTTGGCAGCCTGGGCGCGCACCTTCAGAGCGACGTCGCGAAGGCTTGTTGTGGGCGCCGCGAGGTCGACCACCGGCATGGGCACCTTATTGACGATAACGAGATTCCCAGCGTAGGATGACGGAAGAGCGGGATCGAAATCTGTGCGGCCGTCTACCGGCGACTCGAGGTAAGACACCTCATCTGGTGGGGTGGACTGCCCGGTGGCAATAGCTGCGCGATATCTCGCCTTCATCAGGGCTCGCCAGAAAAGGGCTAGCAGTGCATCGTTGGCCGACAACCCCGAGCCGTCGTTTCCATCCGAAAGCACCTCCCGCTTCAGTGCATTGAAATTTTCAGGCGAGATATAAAAGATGCTCGACTCCATCGTCCGTGTCGGTGCCGGAGGTGGGGCCGCATGCTCCGCCGGATCATCCTCCGCATCCGGTGGCTGAAAGCCGAGGAAGCCCCACGTGTCGCGCGGGATCTCCGCGACTGGCTTGGCCGGGGATTTGCTCCACAATCTTTCCAGCAGGGTCCGGTCGAAACTTTCTGGGGCAAGCCAGTCGCAAACGTTGCTGTCAGGATTTCCCAAGTTTCGACAGTGCTCTGCCCAGGCTCTCATCGCGGTGACCATGCCGGTTGCATCGCTGGCAGAGTGATGGAATCCCGTCGCGAGGATGCAGCCACCATTGACGAAATTGGCCTGGGCCAAGAACACATCTGCACCGCCAGAAAGATCCGGCACGAAAGGCGCGGAGAGGACGAGCTCGTCGTCGAACGCCGAGAACTCGAAGCCTGCGTCGCGGAGGTCTTCGAAGTCGGGCAGGACTTCCGAGAGGTCCTTGAAGACTAGTTGTCTCGGGGGATTAGTCCTGTCGCCGGACCCTGAGGGGTCGTACGACACTACGATGTGTCCCGGCCTCCAGCCCGGCTCGCGTTCGTCTCTCGGAAAAATGCGACCATCCAGGAATGGAAACTGGCGAAGCGTGCCTTGGAGCCCGGCTTGCAGGTGTGCAAAGGCCTGCTGGAAGGTGACTTTGGGTTGCAGTGGGAGGTAGACGATGAACTTGATGTAAACTCGCGGTGGAATCAGATCGAAGACGCTTAGTTGTGTGGTCACGCTGCTAGTGGTCTCAGTGGTCGCGTTGACGCCAATATGCGTGGACGTCGTGGCATACGTGTTGGTCGCCATTGTGACAAATCTGGTGATATTGAATGCAGCCTTTCAATGTCGGCCTTCGTTAGGGTTATTGAGAGTCTTCGTCTCGTATTTCATGTACTGCTACTGCTGTCATAGCCAACGAGTTCCAGTGTCCCTTTTCTGGCCCGTCCAGAAGAGTGCCGCAAACTGGTCAGAGCGTGAGCCGGGATGACCCAAGTTGGGCCCGGAGCTGACCGAAAGAGGAAATGATCTTGCTGAGCATCGTGCCAGTGCTCCTGGAAAAACACGGGAACTGTGGCCTGTCTGCTGGACAAGTTCCAGTGCAGGTTGGAAATAGGGACGACGACGTAGATCGCGAGCCATTGAATCCCTTCAATTGGAGCGATGTCTGCAAAATGACCGAAGTAGCCTGACTAAAAATGCGACAAACAAGGACAATGATTACAGTGACGCTAGGATACAACAAGATCATTGAAATCAATTTGAGATCATACCATTGCTAGAACCCAATCTCATCATGCTTGCTTCTGTGGCCACTTCGTCCGCCTCACTGCTCGGGCATAGAAATTCAACGGTCGCACAACAATGAACTCTGGATCATACACCACAGCCTCCGTCGATGCATCCTCAAAATGATACCGATAAACCAGTTTCGCCATGGCGCTCTTCACCTCCAGCAATGCAAGATTGTACCCCACACAGCCCCGAGTACCCGCTGCAAAAGGTGTGTAAGCCATCTTGTGCCTGCTTTTCACAGCCTCAGTCTCCCACCGGTCGGGGTCAAATCGGGTAGGGTTATCCCAATGCGCCGCGTTTTTATGTATAGACGGAAACGTGGGGATGACGACCGCGCCCTTAGGCAGGAAGTAGCCGCCTGGCAGAACAACATCTTCTTTTGCGTTGCGCGCTGTCTGGAAAGACGGATTGTGCATTCGCTGCGTTTCCTTGACAAACTTATCCAAAAACGGCATCTCAGTCAGCTCGTCGTATAACCACTCTTTCCCCGCCTCTGCTCCATTGTTGACGAGCTCTTGAAGCAGACGCTCTTGGTTTCCGGGATACTTGACCAAGGCGTAAATCAGCCATGCCAGAAGGGACGATGTGGTGACGAATCCAGCTCCGACCAGAATAACGCAATTGCTCAACATAATATCCTCGGGGAGCTTTTCCCCATTGTCGTCAGTTGCCCGGCGTAAATAATCTGCCACGCAAGTCGCGTTGAGCGCCGCATCCTTCATCGGTAGGTCTGAGGAAGTCTCCGGTGGCATGGATTCTTCGATGCCTTTGGCAACTCCGTCCCAAAGCAATTGCCGAACGAGGCGAAGTCGCTTCGGGGTGCCGAACGGAAGGTACCCGTACCAACTTCCTCTGAGCGAAGTCTTCTTCATCAAAGAAAGATATTCGCCGAGCAATCTGATGGTCTCATGTGGTTTTGAATCAATTGAGTCAAAGTGCCCCAGATCCATCCCGAGGATGACTTTCCAGATGATCTCCCCGGCCATCTTGAATGTGTACTGGTAAACATTGAAAGCGAGCTCCTTGTCATCGAGCTCATCAAACACCTTGTAAGACCTGTCCACACAGGCCTGCACAATTGGTGTGTAATGACGGACAGCCTTTGGTGTCAGACTTGGAGGGATGAACTTGTGGGCGAGCCTGAATGCCGGAGCATCGCTGTCGCAAGTGAAAAGCGCCTCATTGTTGCGCATGTAATACAATGGGTGGCTGGGATCCGAGGTCGTCTTGGTGAAGAATTGACCCTCGCGGAGAACTTCGCGAGAAACGTCTGGGTCGTTGGTGAGATAGATCGTAGTTCCCATATTCACAGTCTTGATAACTGGACCGTATCTGTCGAACAGACGGTCATAGTTGCCGAGTGGATCCGGATACAGCTCATAGCGGTTTCCAACGTAAGGCAGTGGCTCTGGTCCAGAAGGCTCTCTTACGATTTCCCCATTGACCCTGATCTGCACTGGAGCATCGCACTTTTCGATGTCGTCCAGTGATGTTAGAACATCTCTTCTGTTGTAAAAACAGATAGCTTTTCTATGGTCAGCCGACAAGCTACTGGCATATTTGACATCTCAAACTCACAATCACAGTCAGAAACAGAAAATACTTTGGCGATACCTGCTTTGAGCTCCTGCATGCTCTTGATGCTCGGAAGGCTCAAAGTATGACATCGCTCAAAAGGGCCGTGGCCAATGGTAAATTGTTGCTGAAACATCGTGATGCACAATCGAGGGTCGAGCTTCAGCCAACGACGATCTTTGGTTTGGTGAAGGGGAGGAACCAAGACTGACGATAACGGGACAGTGAATCCAAACGCATGCAGATTCTTGCTCAGTCGTTTACTTTGAGGTCCTGGATACTCCACGATGCTCAAAATCAGTTGAATGTCTTTCTTGCCTCTTTGGGCATTGCGAAGCTGGGATGACCCTGGAACATGCCATCGGCGAAGGACAAAATCATCCAGCCGAAGGCCGAAAGGGGCACCCCCGCTCGGCCCGGTCCTCTGATGCTGCCACTTTCGGCCGTCCGGACCCACACTTCCAGTCCGATCCTGGTCCTTTGGCAGCCCGGCTCGTGGAAATGGGATGGCGAGACGGGCGAGAAACTATTCGCAGAAGACAGCTCTACGAGAAATGTCAATATCAGAAATTTGACGACTTAGCTGGAGGAAGCAAAGAGCCTCTCAACTGACATATCCGAGTTGACGATGGACGTGATCACGGAATCTGAGCTTGCGAAACACCACGAAGTTCATAATCTGTGGGTTTCCATCCGCGGCAAAGGTAAGTAGCGGCGACACCACATTTGACAACAATATCTGACGACCGCAGTATACGATGTTTCCAGCTACGTGGACGACCACCCTGGCGGTGTCGAGGTCTTGAAGGATGTCGCAGGATCAGACGGCACCGAGAGCTTTGAGTATGTTGGTCATTCTGAGGACGCGTACAAAACGCTGGCGAAATTCCAAATCGGCGTTCTCGAGGGAGAGGTGAGTTATAAGGTCCCAATGTGTTCCGAATGGCCGGCTGACTTGAGATGGAGACGAACGAGGCGGCGCCGATCTCTTCCCAGGCATGGGATGCTCAGAGAGCACAGCTTCAAAGTGCTTCATTGAAACCAAAGGTGGCTGGATGGCCCGTAGCAGTGACATTTCTGCTGGCTGCGGGAATTGGCAGTCGGTGGTTGCTCCGAAATCAGCAAGCGTATGAGAAAACGGCATTCATCTTTGTGTGGCATGTGTCGTCTCCGTTCTGGACAGGAATTTTACTTGCAACGTTGGCAAGCTTGAGTATGTATTTGTATTTATATGCTAGATTTACTAAGACGCTGGAGTATTACAAGGAGGTCTGGGAGTACCCATCGTACTTCACCTGCAAGGCAAACAGGGCCAATATCTGAGATAGTTGAGATGAATTAAACCCGAACCAAAACTTACAAGTGGGACATGACTCGCTCATACTGGGACAGGTCGTGGCGAAGGTGTGACTGCGAACTTAAAACCCTCTGCGTCCCCTGCCACAGAGATGTGTTGCACATTGCATGCCATTGAGCATAGTTATCAATCTCAAAATGCACACATACTTCCTCGGGCTAAGTCTCGTCGGCTACGATGCCCTATGGGGGAGGATGATCCGCAGTGGTGTGGCCGGGTCTGTGGGTTCAGTAAAGCGGACAGGCACTTTTCCGAACGGCGATGTTCTCCGAACCAGCTTCACCGGCATATCTGGCTTTGACCAATTTCTCGTCCCGGCTGTCATCTTCTACAACAACATTCTCGGTAACGGATCTTCAGCCGATCGCAGGCTGCTCGTCAGTCTTTTCACAACAATGCAAACGGTGTCACACTGTATGCTAGTCCTAGGATGGGACCGAGGGATGCGGCCGCCTTGGGCGATTCTGTGAGCGTGTGCCACCATGCGATGAAGAGGAGAAGCCTGCTAAACAATCGACAGAGAGCATCTGTCTTGGGGCGTTTTCAATCAAGCCTGGGGCGCTGCGGCTGTGTATCCTCTCTACTGCTTCACGCATATCGAGCGTTTTCTCAATACTGCCCGCGGTCGTGAAGAGTCGGAGGTCGGCCCATCCGATTCCAACGAGGCATTTGCGCTGATTCCGACCGCAATCCTGGGCGCCATAACCCCAGCGATGCTGCTCTATCCCGCGTTCAGTCCATCCTGCACCACAGGCCAACGACAAGGACTTATCGCATTCTATCGTTTTACCCCTCTCGCTTTGGCAGTCGCTCATGCTGCTTGTTGTTGGGCCCAAAAGAAATTGTCAGCATACTTGGCGTGGAAGTCGGCGCCGGCGAGTGCAAAAGCCTACACTATGGCGTCTTTGATGTTTTCGGGTTTTGCTGCCGCAGCTGGGCACTTGTGGGCTTTGCTGAGCCCGTCGGAGGGTGGTTTGCGACGCGTCTTTTGGCCGGCCGAGTACATCGACAAAGCCTCAACTACAGTCATTGCGGATGGAGCACGAGACTTCCTTCAATGGGACATGTTTGTAATTACAGCAGCCCTTGTCCCGTTCGCGGATCAAGTGCTGAAATCATCGGCATTGCTTCATCGATTGAAAAGGCGGAAGCGGTTCTCAACTGTAATGGATTCATTTATAGGTAGGATGGTTGTGCTTACCGTCGCCAGCGGGATACTCTCGCCTGGTGCCGTACTGGCATTTTCGCTAGCTCTGAAAATGTCTTCATGAAGTTGAGCTGAGACGATGAGTGAAATAAACCATTTGGGTGGCTAGCAATTCAAGTCTAGGTCTGAGTTCCAGAAAAGTCTTTAATCATTCTCATTGATATGTATTCTACTAAGCACCGGCCTTTTCTGTCAAGTTTGTCGTCAACTTGCTCCTGCTCGCAATTTCCAACGCCAGCTTGGACAGCGGTGATGGGCTCAACAACTCAAACACGGACATGTCGGACTGAAGATCACGGAAGATCCTGTTGCGAAGCTCTACGGCTTTCAAGGAGTCCACTAAATCAAACACTGTCAGTATACACGAGAAAACACCGGTTCGTGGAGTAAAGGTCAAACGTACCACCAAAGTCATAAAATGCTTTTTCGGGATCCACCTCGCTCGGAGCAATGTCCATGACTTGCGCAGCATATGTCCTGAGGACATCCTCAAAGATGAGCGCGGCGTCAGCCAAGGTCTCGGCTTTTGCTATCCTTTCTGAGGCTGACTGCTGGCTTTCCGAGGCGCCAGAGCTAGCTGACGCATCATGGTTGACTCTATGACTGAACTTGGGATCTCTGGTCCAGGCTGCTCCAATTGGCATGGAGCTTCCTAGACCAAGAACAATCTGGGGCTCGATTCGCCGGCCGTCGGCGGTGCGACCCCGCATGGCTGCCCTCAGGACACTGTCGAGCTCCGTTTGGGTTGTCTGGAGGCCATCCCAACGATGCTCATACATCTGGAGGTAGGCATCCATGTCAAAGTCTCCGGTAAAGTGGGCTGAGTTAGTGACAAGACCAACGTCGATCGCAGTTGCAGCGAGTCCTTTGCTTCGGCGGTAGTGGGCAAAGGCGTCCTCAAAGGTGTTGCCGGCGGCGTAGTTCGATTGGGCTGCATTGCCGATGACGCAAGTGATGGAAGAGAGAAGGATGAAAAAGTTTACGTCTTTCGGCATGTAATTGTGAAGATTCATGGTACCTTGGATCTTAGGCCGTGTCGACCTCTGCCACTGATCGTATGTCATATTCTCGAAAATGGCGTCCTGGTGCTGTTAGTCAAGTCTACGATGTATGCCCAGCGAGCAGGCAATACATACCTCTAGAACCATGGCACACTGAATGACGCCCTTGATGCGACGTTGACTTTGCATCAAGGCCTTGACCGCAGCTTCAACTTGAGAGGGTTCAGAGACATCACACTTCAATGCGTCCACTTTCAACCCTCGCTTGCGGAAGGCGCCGAGCTCGGCCTGGGCCTTGTCCCCTCCTGATCGTGAAAGGAACACAACGTGACCGGCGCCATGCTCGAGCATCATCTCAGCAATCTGAAGGCCGAGAGCGCCGAGACCACCGGCAAGGATGTACGTAGCGTCACTGTCCAGTCTGAGTTCTGGGAGCCGAGATGGGGCAACAAGGGCCTTGTCGCCTGGATCTAATCGAAGAACAAACTCTCTGGGGCCAGCCTCTCCAATGTTGGTGAACTCGGCAACAGTCCGTATGACACTTGGAATCATTGGACTGATCTGACCGCTCTCGATGAGATCGCAAGCGCTCTTGAACAGTCTGCTTACAAGTGCCGGCTTCGCTTGAAGAAGTTGAGATGAGTCGGCCATGACGAATGTGGCATTTCGGGCCGGGCTTGTGTTGACTGAATGAGAAGCATTCTCTCCGCTGATGTCTACGAAGAAACCGAAGTCTGCCAGGCATTCGAACCATGTTGAGGTCGGGAGAGCCTGGCGGCAGTTTACGATGAGGTCTACACCTCGTCCATCCGTCTGTCGCAATATTGACTTCTTGCAATGGTCTGAAATGTCTTCGAAGATGCGTGTTGAGTCAAGACAGAGGGCTTGAGTCAGGTTTTGGCTTTCGGAAGCACCCTCCGCAGTCACAAAAGCAGTCGCCCCCAATAAGCGTGCAAGATGGACAGCCATCTGACCGACGGACGTCTCTCCTCCATGAATCAGAACATTCTGTCCATCTTCAAGTCTTCCGACGTGGGACAACGCATACTGCGCCGCAACTAAAGCAGGAATAGTTGCGCAGGCCTCTTCGGGTTGCATGATGTCAGGTAAGACTCTTACCAGTGACTCTTGAACCCGAGGCTTCGTATGACAAGAACCTGAATGCAAGGCAATCACACGCTGTCCAACGTGAACAGACATGACCTCCGGTGAAGCCGCAGCAATAGTGCCCGTGATGGCCATGGCTGAGACAACAGACGTTTGGCCCTCCGAAGAATCTGCACCGCTCTTCTTGACAGCCAAGTACTCAGTAGTAATCTCAATCTCTAATGAGCTGAGAGACGCCGAGATGTCATCATCAACCCAAACAAGGCGGTGGTCTTGCTGGGAGAGAGTGCGTGAGTTATCAACTCCCAGAGCCTGCATAATTGGCTTGAGCCTTTGGTCTCTTGGACCCAAGTCGATATCGATACCTTCGTCTTCATCGAACCTGGGCACGAAGATCGCCCCGTTGAGTTCTGCGTACTCCAGCTCAAGCTGCGAAGGATCATCCGCGATGGATGCGTGCCAGATATTCATGATGAGATCTGCAGTTGCTTCTGGAGGGAGATGGCCACCTCTGCTGAGATCCAAATGTGGCAAGGTGATGTGAGAATACTCCGTGCGCATCACTCGGAGAAGTCCTTGGGATGGCGCGAACTCAAGCCCGCCATCCCAGTTCTGCAGTTCTCCACCACGCGTCACCCAAAACAGGTGCTTAGCACTAGAGACGAGTGTCTTGAACTGCAAGAACTCTTCAGAGGTCCAGGAATACACGAGTGGAGATTCAATCTCAAGAAGCGAGATGACATGCTTCCCTCGCAGTTCATGAACCTGCTCCAGCGTGGCTGAATGGGTTTGGCAACCAAGAGCGTTGAGTCGACTCATTAACATGGCGTGCAGATCCTGAGACAGAGCCGAACCAGGTCTCTGGAGTAGAAACACATGCTCTGGAAAGGTCGTGGGGTTCAATGCAGGAGGCTTCTGCGAGAGAGCAAGAGCACGGCATGACTCTGCGTCAGAAATGGTGACCCTTGTCTGTAGGTCAGAAGAGGGGATTTCTCCCACGGTGCCCATACTTGAGCCAGACGTGACAAGAGGCTCAATAACGCCAAGGTAGCCTTTCGGCTGCAATACTCCATGTAGTCTATGGAAGCCTGCTGAGTTATATATGGTATTGGAGTGGTCGTCGAGAACCAGTAACAAGTCGAAGCTCTCGTCTGAGAACGGGAGTGGCTCATCATCTTGAGGAAGCCATTCTTTTGCATTTGTGGCATGCTGAGAGGCCTTCGGGAGACATTCGACTATACTTCTGGTGTCCTTGGTTGTTGTAGCCAATGCGATCCTGTTGGATGTTTGGAAAGCTCCCTCACTGGCAATGGTGGATGCGTGAAGTAGATGCTGCAAAAACCTTTGAGCCCACTCTGTCGCATCCGCAACTACGACGAGTGCTTTGTAGTCTGGCTTCTTGTGATACAGTCGTTCCAGTAGCTGCAAGACAGTTGCTACCACTTTCCCGTTGCTCTCCAGAACCCCAACCGGAGACGAATCCTGCAGCGCGACCGGGTCGCGAATGAAGTCGAAGTCTTCTTTCCAGCGGAGCTTGGCACATGCCCTTCGTGCAGACTCGCTAGTCAGAGATGATGTATCTCTAGATGAAGTCACCTGTCTGAGGGCAAAGTCGCGGACGATGAGCTTTGGCGCCGACCAGTCCTCGTCCGAGACGATCAAGTCACCGGATGTCTCGCGGCCGTTGGTTCGGACGCGTCTAGCATAGCCAGTATATATACTGCCGTCACCCTGGGGCAAATCCGTCGATATGTACATGTGTTTCAACGTGTACGGGACCGCTGCTTCCTCCAACGGCTTGCCGTCGGTAAAGGCGATAAAGAGGAGGTGGAAGATGGCGTCCATAGTGGCGGGGTGGANTTGCCGTCGGTAAAGGCGATAAAGAGGAGGTGGAAGATGGCGTCCATAGTGGCGGGGTGGATCAGGTGGGGGAACTCGAAATTGGAGGGCATAACCGACTTGGTGTCAGGGATTGCGATAGAACCGCAAGCAGTGTGTTCTCCGGGCACGGCTGCAGCTTGAAAGACATTTCTGAAAGTTGGGCCGTACTCAACACCCACAGACTCAAGGTCATCGTAGAAGGAGTCCATGTCCAGCTCCTTAGACGCATTCTGCTCAACGTCCTGTCGCTCGGCAGCGAAGGCTCGCCATTCTGTCTCTGAAGGACCAAGACGATTCCGATTATCGTTCTCGTAGTCGAGCGCAAGGTATCCGTAGCAATGCTTAGTCCATGATCCCACCGAAACTGTGGAGTAGACAGTGAAACTCCAGGTTGAGGGCATCGAGTCGTCTGGGCGCAAACTGACTTCAGTCTGGACGGCTTGATCTCTGGAAGGCACAACGAGACCTCGCTCAAACTTCAGATTCTGGAATGTGATTCCTTTGAGGCGTCTCTCGGGATCAGCCAGTCGTTGAGCAGCTTCCATGGCCATCACGATCATGCCAGCTGCTGGGTAAAGCATCGTTCCAGTGATTCTGTGGTCTTCAATCCAAGGGTTTTCCGAGATTCGCAGGTAGTTCCGCCACCTCGGCTCCATTGGGTTCTGCAGGTCGACGGCAACGCCAAGAAGATCGGTCCGCGGGCCCGAGGGAAACCTGTTTGAACGTGCCACTGTCGACTCATGCCAGTAGCTCTTGCTGTGGTTCCATGGATACGACGGGAGATCAGGCAACGCCATTGGCAAAGTTTCAGGTATGATGCCGTTGACGTGAAGAAGATTCACAGCGTGTCCAGAGGCCCATAGCTGTCCCGCGAGTTGCAAAGAGGTAGACTCTGCATTTTTTCCACGCGTAATGGCAGAGAAATACGGTGCTTCTTTTGCAGCGTTGCTCTGGCTTGCTTTGACAATCTCGCCAACGGGGCTTTGAAGCGCGCCGTGGGGACCAATCTCGATGAAGGCGCTCCATGCCGTGCGATTGCGATTCCGTGCCTTCGATACGTCTGGTGAATGCTCCAAGAGATTGCTCATGGCCTGAGAAAAGCGGACTTGTTCGCACATGTTCTTCATCCAGTAGGGGCCGTCGAGGTCTCTAGAGGTAACGAGGTTGCCAGTGAGAGATGAAAACATGGGCGCAACTTGATCTTCATCGGCAAGTGGCAGCATCACTCCCATGCGATCAACATACTCTTTGGCGACAGTGCTCATGTGAGGAGAATGATAAGCCGTCTTGACGCGAAGCATTCTAGCAAACTTGCCATCAGCCGATATTAGTTCGCACAATCGAGAGATGGATTCACGATCTCCAGAGAGTGTTACGCTGGAGGGGCTGTTGACACATGCAACCACAGCCGAACCTGGGGGCACTTGGTCCAAATATGCGGTTGCCTCCACTTCGCTCAACCCGGCTGCTAGCATGGCGCCAACTCGAGGGCTCACAATATCGGCGACCTTGGCGGAACAAATTCCACGGAGGTAGGCCACCTTTACAGCGTTGCAGCGAGAAATTAGTCCGGCAGCGTAGGCCGCGCCTATCATAATGTTAGCGAGTTGTCGAAGAATTCCATGAAAACGAATTCATACCTATTTCACCACTTGAATGACCGACGACAGCTTTCGGGATGACCCCCCAGGCCCGAAGAAGATCTACCAACGCGATCTGAAGAACCGTGCATAGCACCTGGCTGTACTGAGGGAGATCAACATTGGAGTCAGCAGTCTTTGATAATTCATCGATCAAATCCCACGGGCAGCCGTAGTGCTCGAGTAGGACCTGCGACTTGTGAATGCTCGTTCGGAAGATGCAGTTGTCAAGTAGCTCTCTACCCATGGCAGGCCACTGAGCTCCTTGGCCAGTGAAGACGAAGATCGGATTATCGTGCTTCGAAGCGCGTTTGGACTTTGGTAAGCCCTTCTCGATTTGGGTCTGTAGGTCTGACACGGACTCTGCGACAGCAAAGCTTCGGAACTCGAAATGAGATCGGCGTCCCGCGAGGGTATAAGCCAGGTCGCCCAGAAATCTTGCGTTCGATGTGGCTTCCTTGTTTGACAAGAAGTCGCTGAAGAGAGGGCCAAGGCGATCGATCCCTGTCTGGTCTTTGGTGCTGAAGGCGAAGAGTCTTTTGTGCGACTCTTGTCTCGGTGAATCAGATCCCATGCTGATTCCGGACTCTGACGAATCATCTTCCAAGGTGGTGGTGTTGTGATTGCCCAGCAAACCTCGATTTCGTAGATAGTTGTGAGCGTCATCCAGGATAACGTGAGCGTTGGCACCACCGAACCCAAATGAGTTGACGCTAATTCTGCGCTGCCCTTTGGATGGCCAAGACATGTTTTCTGAAGGCAAAGCCAAGTTCCAATCAGTAAGCCTCAACTTCGGGTTCACCTTCTCGATGCCAGCGGTGGGAACGAGAATACCCTTTTCGAGACACACGATGGACTTCAGAACACCAGCCAGCCCTGAGCATCCTTCAGTATGGCCGACGTTTGCCTTGATGCTACCCACAAATAGTGGCCCAGAGTCCGGGTCTCTACCAGTGCCTAGTGTGGCGCCGATTGCTGAGAGCTCAATCGGGTCCTAGCAAGTGTCAATATTCGCGAACGGGGGAGGAGAATGGAATCTTCTTACTCCAAGAGGCGTACCAGTGCCATGAGCCTCGAAGTACTGCGTATCGGACAAAGGCAAGCCTGCGGCCTGATATGTGCTCCTGATCAGATCCGCTTGTGCTTCTGAGCTTGGTTGCGTGATGCCAGGCGTCTTTCCGTCTGCGTTGGTGCCCGTACCACGAATTACGGCGCGGATTGTGTCTCCATCCCTCAAGGCGTCCTTCAGCCTTTTTACGATTAAACATCCAATTCCCTCTCCTCTGCCATAGCCGTTTGCTCGATGGTCAAAGGAATGAGAGATTCCCTCGGGACTCAACATGTGCATTGACGAAAGTTGATGCATGAAATTGGGATGCAAGATCAAGTTTACGCCGGCAACAAGTCCCTGAGATTGTTATTTGATGTTTTTTGTTCCACACGAGCGGGCACCTTCTCACCATATTGGTCTCGCCCAACTTTAGTGACTGACAAGCGAGGTGGAGAGCGTACAGGCTTGATGAGCAAGCAGTGTCAAGGGTTAGACTGGGTCCCCGGAGTCCAAAGTACCAAGACACTCGGTTTGCTGTCATAGCCTCACTCATCCCGGAGGCTGCAACATCTCCAATGTCGTAAATCTCATGAGTCGATAATTGCTCATAGTCGTTCGTCATGCATCCAACATAGCATCCAGTTTGGGAGTTCATAAGGGTGTCCACAGGGATACCGGCTGAAGAGCGAGTTAGTACCAAAACTTCGCAAAAGATACACCGTAAAACTCACCATTCTCGAAGCCCTCGTAACTCACTTCAAGAAGCAATCTTTTCATAGGATCCATACCCGCCGCCTCCTTCGCTGTCATTGAGAAAAATGGGGCGTCGAACACAGAGACATCTTCTTCCAGGAAGTACCCGTGCTTCACACTAATCTTCACAGCCAGTAATGTTAACAAAATACACCGTTTCCACAAAAAGTCCTCACTTACAGATCCTTTGCGATCTGGATCAGGATGATACCAAACATCTGCATCCCACCGCGAAGATGGAACTTTGCCGTGACCGCTCCTGGCATGACTGATCATGTCCCATAATCTTCCAAGTGACGTAGTCTCACCAGGTAGGCGACATGCTGCCCCAATGATGGCAATTGGTTCTTGCTCGCTGCACGGACTCATAGTGAATTTGGGGGTTCAATGTGTGTAAGTTACCTAAGCTACGATGGTGTCTACGCGTGTAGCCTGTAGTGTGAGGAATGGATAGTTATCGAAGCTTAGAAACAGCACAGAGTTGCCATTCTTCTCAACTCGTGTTTGCTCCATTGCAGCCAATTCTACGCATTGCCATACAAGTAATGCCTCTTTCGTTATCGTGGATCCACAGCCAATCCCTGTCCGGAATCTGATCCAGCAGTCTGTTACCTACCCCAAAGGGAGTATCGGTGCTGTCAAAAGAGCACCGGCGTGGGCCCAGATGGGTAAATTGTACACAGACTTCCCAAACCGGACGGCCCGCGTAAACTATCAGATGGGATGCCAAGGGACCTGACAGCTAGAGCTCAAGAAGATAACGTCGGATTCGGTTTTTAATTTTCTTTCTTATCCTGCATCTGCGAAGGTGTGCATGAGAAGTTACTTTCCTATTGACTTCGTACTCACTGCTGTCATTTCTTTCTAGAAGCCATGAGAATTCTCGCATTGCACGGCGTCGGCAGTTCTGCCAAGATTCTTGAGAGCCAGCTCGTAGGGCTGATGAAATCAGTCGATGCAAGCTACGAGTTTGTGTTGGTTGATGGGCCGGTTCCCTCTCACCGAGGACCTGGTAAGTTGAACTAAGAAATGACCTGCATTCTGCGAACACCTAAGGAATGACCTGCATTCTGCAAGCACACGAAGCTGACAATATGCTTTCAGGTATGAGCCCGGCTCTTCCGGGGCCATTCTATTCACACCTTACTGGGTATTCTCCCCGAGAAATTGAGGCTGCACATCAACACATTGCCACCACGGTCGACGAGCTTGGTCCATTCGATGGAATATTGGGCTTCAGCCAAGGGGCCTCTGTCGCTCTCTCTTACATCTACCATCAGCAAGTCAGTGGCGAGGAGCCTGACTTCAAGTTCGCCGTGCTCTTCTCCTCAGTAGTGCCATTTTCGGCCGACGCAACATATTGCGAACCTGAGATAGAGGAGCTCTGTGCATATCGCCGTACCGGAACAAGCGCCGTAGACCTCCCTCCACGGCAGCAAGTTTTCAACGACTGCCTCGTACGCACTTTCCAATCGGCTCTTAAGATTGGAGCAGTTCTGCCCGACTTCAATCAAGATTTCTTTCGGGATGTGGGTGGTATTGTTCCACGGGTCCTGCATCCCATGTTACTTTCAGAGCGCATTCACATCCCGACTGTCCATGTGGCTGGCAGACGGGATTTCCCATTCATGCACGACATGCATGAGGTAGGATATCAAATGTGCGACCCAAGGCTATCGAAAAAGCTTCAGCACTCGGGAGGACATCATCCCCCGAAGAAGGATTCGGAGATCAAGGCGGTTGTCAGGGCTATGGAGTGGGCTGTGGATCAGTATTATAGACAACCACCGTCATTTCTATGATACCAGACGTAGCTAGATGGGAAGCAAAGCCGGCATATAGATACTGAATTTGAAATTCGTGAGAATACCTATGTTGTCACAGACGAGCGTGATAAGCAATACGGCCCTATTTTGAGAACCACACGCCTTCGTCTCATATAAATGCCAGCCGCCGTCATCTCGTCTCATTTGAAACGTCTTTTGGGCCTGTGTCGTCCGTAACTCCATAGTGATTGACAAACTTGCAGGACCTTATTTACGGAGAATCTCAATTCCTAATTAGCGCTCATTACCAAAACGACGCAAGGCTCCATGTAGGAATCAATGCTTCGACAACATTATTCATATTGAGAGACTAACAAGCGCATGTGAAAAACCAGTTTCAAAATTAAAAAGTCTATAGAAAATGAAACAACTACGCGAGAACCGTGAATACCCAGCCGATCCGGGCTTTCTGTTACCATCCCTCAGACAGCATCGTTCCGCTTGTTAAACACATCATTTGCATTGTAATCGGTGGGGCTGAGGTCCTGTTGCTTCATTTCCATCGCGTCCGCCGCTCCACTCATATTGTTCTTACCGTCTCCGTCGGCAGGAGGGGGTGTCTCAGTACTTTTCACACTCTTCCACTGAACTAGAGTACTTCCTGCAATACTCGCACATGCCAGTCCCAGAGCGACGTACCAGGAGTTTGTCAGAGACTTGCTGTAAAGACGTAAGACAGGCTCAAGCATGCCCGGAGGCAATACGCCTGGCAATCTTATACTCGTGGCTCCTCCGTCAACGATGGCTGTCGCGTTGAGATTTGGGAAGTCTTTCGCTAGCCCATTGCGGAGCTCATTGGTGAAGACATTCTGCGCCACAGAGATGAAAATGGCTCCTCCGAATGTTTGCAAGAACATTACGAGAGCTGTGCCGAGTGGAATCTCGGCCATCGGGAGCACGGTCTGGACTACCATCAACGGTGTCTGCATGCTTTGGCCGGAGCCTAATCCGTAAAGAACCTGGTATCCAATCCAGTCTCTGGAAGGGACATCGGGCTTCCAAGTTGTGAGCAGTCCAGCGCCGACCGACATGAACAGCGTAGCAGCAATCATAAAGGGGTTGTAGTATCCGATCTTAGTAATACCGATGCCGCTGACAATTGAGGCGAGGGCTGTGGCCAGAATGAGTGCCAAGTTCATCAGACCAGAGTCGACCGCCGAAACACCCTTAATCGCCTGGAACCAGATTGGGATGTATTGTCGAAGAGTGAAGTCAGCACCGGCGGTACACACTGAGAACCAACAAGCCGCTGCAACGCTCCTCTGAGAGATGACGGTGATGGGCAAAGTGGCGTTTGCGCCGTTACGAATCTGGATAAAGACGAACACGATGGAAAGAACTCCGAACAGCACGAAGAGCACAATCACTCTCGCATCGCTCCATGGATAGATGGTTCCGCCCCATTGAAGAGCGAGAAGCAAGCAGATGACGGCCGGCATCAGCGCAACTGTGCCTAGGGGGTCCACCTGAAGGAACTTCTCCACCAAAGTTAGGTCTTTGTCAGAGTCTGGCCGTGGCGGTGACTTGAAGACGAAAATCATGATGGCCAGAGACACGGCGCCGATAGGTAGGTTGATGTAAAACTACGTGACATTAGTAACGGACAGGTTAATACAATTGTTGAGGACTACACTTACACACCACCTCCACGTCACTTTGTCTGTGAAGGCACCTCCAAGAAGTGGCCCAACCACAGAGGCAATCGCGTAGACCCCGCCCACAAGTCCTGTGTAAGCAGGTCTCTTGGGCAACGGCACGATAACGGCGATGATCGTAAAGGTTCCGGCCAGAATCCCCGAACAGCCGACGCCAGCGATGGCTCTTCCGACGATGAGGACAGCTGACTGTGGAGCTGCACCACATATCGCTGATCCGACTTCAAAGATGAAGATTGAGACAAGGTATGTAGTCTTGACGGAGAAGAGGGTATACAGTTTGCCAAAGGTGAGCTGAAATGTGCACGTCGTGAGCAAGTAGGCACTCCCGTACCAGCCGATATCGTTGATCGAATGGAACTCGTCGGTGATTCGTGGTATAGCCGTGGATATGATGATGTTATCCTACGTACCGTCCGCGTTAGCATTGATGGTGAGAGGGTGGTCACAGGATCCCTTACCAGGCCAACTAGGAATAGCGTCAAGCATAACCCGAGTGTAATCGCAAGTAGCTTTAGCCCAGTCGGGCCATCGGCACTAGGGTCTGCAGGCGGACTATCGGGAACCTGCTGTTCAGTGACCGACGGCTCCTCGGATTTGACGCTCGACTTGCGACCGCCCATTTTGGCCCATTTGGACAGATTTCCTGCAGAAGGCATGTTGAATCCGAGTTGTCTGGAAGTCGAAGAGAATGTCAGAATGGTGTTTGATAGCGTTACTTCCGATGTGACGCTGTAATCAATTTGATGTTTCCAGTACGATCATTGAGTTGATTGCAGATACTAGCAGGAGCAATTGACAGGAACCAGCGATTTCAATGTGTTCCGAGTAGTCCTAGGTAGTCATTCAGCAGCTAAACACGCGTAATGCAGCAAACGATTCTCACATGGCATTACAAATCGGGTCAACCTTCTAGGGTCGCATCATCAACGCGATGCAGCCTTCAGTAGTTACATTCGCGTGTCACTCTCAGCTCATCGTCCAAAGTTGCACTGCCGTTGGTGCCACGAGTCGTGATGAACTTTACCGGGGCTCTCACCGCGGACCCCTGACCCCAGATAGCCTAGCGACATGCCCATGAAATAGAGTTGCCGCAATTGCTACGAGACTTTCCGGGGCGTATGTCCCTCCCGCTTCATCCCGTGTTTTGCTCCGGGGAGGGGTGGGAGGGACACGGCGCTTCCCATTTAGGAAGTGCCTTATTGCATATCCAAGATTAGATCTGGGCTGACCACAATTGGCGGAAGGTGGGAGATTGTTTTCGAGGCCGAGTCGTTCGGGCCTCATCCTTTTCGGCGATCCGGTTGCTGAGGTGAAGATTGCATAGCCAAACCTTCGGATTTGCAGCTTGGAGACACAATTTTCCAGTCCGATTCTGTATCAATAGAGGGACTGCATCAGAGTTGGCAGGCTGGAGAATGAGTTGAGCCTCTTAGTAACCATTCGCCCATCGACGATTCTTGTGATCACGGGTACCCACCACTTGGAAGTCCTAGTTAACTCTCTGCCATAACCAAAACACAGCTTACTGTGGCCCGTGTGAAGCAACTGAGCTCAGAGACCTATCACAATAATCACCTACAATGGCGCCTTACATGAGTCATGCAACCTCCTCAGAGCTGAGCTCTCCAGTGGACAGCGTCCAATCACCTAGCGGGGCACCGGCAGAGCCCATCGCCATCATTGGCTTGAGTTGCAAGTTCTCAGGCGATGCAACAACACCTGAGAAGCTATGGCAACTTGTCGTTGACGGACGTGATGGATGGTCTGCTATTCCAAAGTCGAGGTTTAACTCGGAGGCATTTTACGACAAAGATCATGCGAAAATTGGGATGGTACGTGTTCTCAATCCATCGGAAAAGCGTAGCTCGATGCTAACAAGTCACCAACTAGTCCAATGTGGTCGGTGGGCATTTCATTCGCGACGATGTCTCCAAATTTGATGCATCGTTCTTCAATTTCACTGCGGAAATTGCCAATGTGAGTTGCCCTGATGTTTTCTATAAACGGCGTGTTAAGTAGCTTACTCCGTCACCCAGGCTATGGATCCGCAAATCAGAATGCTCCTAGAGTCCGTCTTTGAAGCCTCTGAAAATGGTACATCACATCGATCGAAATTTGACAACAATAAGCTAACCTCGTCGAAAATCTAGCCGGAATTCCTTTGCATAAGTTGGCAGGAACCGACACTTCGGTTTTCATGGGCTCATTTTCCCGAGACTACCACGATAGTCTTATGCGAGATCCAGACACGTTGCCAAGAACTGCCTTGACAGGTAATGGTGTGGCAATGATGTCCAACCGGATTTCCCACTTTTTTGACCTTCGTGGCCCTAGCTTAACGACTGATACTGGGTGTTCAGCAAGTATGGCTGCCCTTCACCTGGCAGTTCAGAGCATTCGTAATGGGGAGTCTCGGATGTCTGTTGTTGGAGCATCAAACCTTCTGTTAAACCCGGACCCATTCATCGTCATGTCAGGTCTTGGGTAAGTCAAAGAGCATTTCTGTATTAGGTTCCAAAGCCTAAGCTAATTCTCCACAGCGTTCTTGGGGCCGACGGTCGATGTTTTGCTTGGGACAGCCAGGCTAACGGTTACGGTCGCGGTGAGGGAATCGCCATCCTTCTTCTGAAGCCCCTCCGTGATGCCTTGGCGGATGGGGACCCGGTCCATGCTGTCATCCGGGAGACCGCAATCAACCAAGATGGAAAGACCCCAACAATCACTTCACCTTCATCAGAGGCCCAAGAAGACCTCATTCGCGCCTGCTATCGCCGAGCAGGACTAGATCCTTCCAAGACCCCTTATGTTGAGGCCCACATGACGGGAACACCGACTGGCGATCCGATAGAGGCTAGTGCGATCAGCCGGGTATTCGGCAAAGGTCGGACTGCCGACAATCCAGTCCTAGTCGGTTCCATCAAGACCAATTTGGGACACTTGGAGGCTTCAAGTGGAATTGCGGGAGTCGTGAAGGCCGTTATGATGCTGAAGCATGGCATCATTCCACCCAGCTTGAACTACAAAGAGGCGAATCCGAAGATCGACATGGCGGCCTTGAAGGTCAGCGTCCCACTGGTTTCCCAGAAATGGCCTGAGGGTATGCCACGTCGCGTCTCTGTGAACAACTACGGCTATGGGGGAACCAACGGTCACGTAATCATTGACGGTCCAAATGAGCATATCCATGACACTCGTGTGATAACCACGAAGACAGAAGAACCACGGCTTGTCGTTCTCAGCAGCAAGGACTCCGCGGTCACGACACAAATGGTTTCAAACTTGAAGGCGTACTTGGAAAACCGAAAGTCAACAGGCGCC